TGGAAAAAATCTATCAATTTTTTATTCTTAAGAATTGGAGAAAATTATTTCTTCACTTAGGAAAATTATTTCTTCACTTGGGAAATTTATTTGTTCATTTGGGAATAGTATCTGTTTGTAATTGTATTTCTATTTTAAAAATTAAAAGTAGCATAATTATGTTTGGAAATAAATACCTATAAAATATATACATACATTTTTATTAAAATAATAATAATAGTAAAAATCAAAAAAAAATTCCAGCAATTAGGAATTGTGTATAATATAAATGCCAATACACATGAAGACACTGTTTGACACCTGTCAGTCTATTATCCAGGTATCATATAATTATAATATAACCCCCTCATTAATCTCTGAACCCCCACTCCCCACTGAGTGTGTGAGTCTGTAGTGTTTGTTGTTGTCTAGAAAGATAAAATAAGACAAAGAGAGAAAAGAAGGAAAGAAGGACAGAAAGAAAGAAAGAAAGAAAGAAAGAAAGAAAGAAAGAAAGAAAGGAAAAAAGAAAGAAGAAAGAAAGAAGGAAAGGAGGAAGGAAGGAAGGAAGAGGGAGGGATAGAGAAAGAAAGAAAGATTGATTGATTGAATGAATGAATGAATGAATGAATGAATGAATGAATGAATGAATGAATGAATGAAAAGGAAGGAAGGAAGGAAGGAAAACAAAACAAAGTTGCATTATAATTATTAACATGTATCATCATTAATTGATTTTTGCATAAAAGAATAAAGTTAACTATAAATCTATTTATACTAAAATCAATAATAAAAAAATGTAAAAGAAAATAAAGGTTAATTTTTGCTTCAGTATTTTCATGACATAGTAGATTATTATATCATGGTGTTTTTCTTTAGTCTACAAAATACATTTGTGGTGTTGGCTTTGTTTTTAAATGTTCTATATACAAAGATTTAATGTTTGGGGGAAAAAAACTTTATAGCAGATAATTTGACTTATAACATTCCTTTTGAAACATTAGATTAGATAACCACATACAGTTGACATTGTTATAATGATAGATAAAATCACTGTCAGTATATAAACCCTGGCCAGATCTTTGTTATCATTTATAACTATATAATGTTGTTCAGCATCTTTTTATTATGCTTTTACAATCCGTTACAATCCGTTACAATTTGTTACATGTCGGCACACAACGGGGTGGCTTATCAGTAAAAATTGAATAATAAGTCATCTATATACATATACATTATATACTTACATACTTACACCCCCCTAATCTTGTAAAAGGTGAACCTTTGCCATTTTTATGAGCATGTCAAAAAGAAAGACCCCTATAAATCGTTACGGCAACAAATTAGTTAATCAGTTATAAGAAAGAGATAAATGTGAATATTAAAGCGGATTAAATAGATAGTGGATAGACTAGAAAAAAGATTAGATAAATTTGTTAATTTAACTCCACAATCAGATTATATTTGTTCTAAAGGACAAAATCTTATTATATATATGTGTTTGATGTGGGAACGTGCATTTCAGTAAATATGACGGACATTATAAGGTATGTTTTTTGATAGATTGTTTTTTTGTTGTTGCTTTTTTTTCTCTGTTGTTCTTCAGATTCAGTTGATACACTGTCCTATTTATTTTGTATATTTTTGTACTGATATATATGATTAAAAATCAGTTATTTTATGCACAGGATTTTTGGTTGACCTTGACAAAAGAAAAGAAAAAAAGGCAGCTATTGCTGTAATAAATAAACATATATTTCTGTAGATATAGTATACATCATGTTAACAAAATCTGAAAATGTTAAGGCTTTTTTTTTGTGTATAAGTAAAAGTATATAGGTAAAAATACTATCTACAAAACAATCAAATTTAAAAAAATTGCATTTGATTTAAAGTATATAATTATACAAACTGTTACATTAGTCTTTTTTTTTCCATTAGTCATCTCTACTTTTGTTAAACAGTATATTAGTATGGATGAAATATATTTTGTTACCTGATTTCCTGTAAAACCCATTGATTATATCTATATTAGAAACATAAAGGAAGGGAGACAACCTGTACTTGTAATCAGTTTTTACAATTAAAGGGAAGGAACTGCTACACGGATAATCTTGTATATAAAGACTTAATGACATTTATTGAAAAGACGCTTGACTTTTTACATGCTTGAAAACAAGGATGTCCTATTGGTTAGTTGTCTTTTCATCAATTTGAAGTGTTTAAAACTTTCATGATTTTTAAAAGCCGACAAACCACTTCTGAAATGACGTTTCGCGAATAGGATTTTCTTTCTGATTTGCAAGTTTTATCAAAATAAGAAATAAAACAAATGTTCATTTTCAAGTATAAACAACTTCTTATTAATGATCGATAAAAATCATTCCATTAATTTTAACATGTGGATAATTATCATTTATTTAACATATTAGCTACTTGACGGTTACACTCAAGTGTTTCCTAGCTGCACTTAAAAACTATCAAAAATTATCTTTCAATATGTATTGGAAAAATTGAGATATCAAGAATTTAAGGCCATTATGACAGTTTTTGTAAATTTTCTGTTTTTCTCGTGCTGTTTTTTTTAAACAAAATACTATTTACTAGTGTCAATAAAACATCTAATTTAATAAATAGTGATTATGTATATAAGGAAAGGAAGAAAATAAAAAAAATTGTGATAATTTTTTTTTGAGTAGTTTTTCAACCTGAATTTATATGATAATTGATTGGGATTATAAACCTATTGTGTAAAATGTGCATGATTATTGGCCCAGAGTTGATGAAAAACAATTAAAATTTTAACAATTTTAATGAGTTTGGGATGGTGAATATACATATATATAAAATGCAATTTGAAGACAATGAGTACTTGAGATATAGATACACCTACTTAGAAGAGAGGTAACCTTTGTAGTTCACTTTTCATTTGTTTGAACTGCGCAACGAATTTTCTTTTATCGTCTCTAAGACAATTTGAAAATATAACAGTTAAATGTGTTATTTTGGATTTATCTATACTTATTTAAAAGGTATAAAGTTTTTTCTTCTAATTTACTACATGTATTTGTTTTTCATTTTGTTTATTATCATTCATAAAGTTTCATAGATTTTTTTATTATATTAATTAAACTTAATTTGTCATGTAATAAATTTGTATAAATCAATGGCCACATTCATAATGAATATTACGTATGCAAAAAAAAAAAAATTAAAAAAATGTATATTTAGATATAATATGACTTGGAATTTGATTACGGAAATTTTTCCCCCTGTGTATATTTTTCAATTAAATTGCCTTTGATATTATCGACAATAAATCTACAATGGTCGGTAAAGGCATTGTTCATTTTTTGCGTTTGTGAAATGTATTATTTATACTTTGTACATTTTTCGGATTAAGTTTTATTACTTCAAATTCCATTCAATAACCCAACCTTTATGTTTTTTTATATCGCTATACAAAAGAACTTGACTTGCAAAAAAATATTTGCATTAGATCTTTTATTGCTAAAGGCAAATGGAGCATTTAATGTTGTTTTTTTTCGACTACACAAAAAATTCTTTTCACGGGAGTTAAAAAACAGCTTTTACAGGGTAAAGCTTTAAGATATATCAGTTTTTACACTTTGTCATATAAAATTTATTAGCGGGACCTGTTTTTTAAAGATGAAGTTATTTCTCATTTAACAGAGAGAGCGTACTTTAGTGTAGCGGGGTTAAAAAAAAATACAAACAAGATAAGATATTAGGGTCAGCGTTTGATAAAAAAATTAAGTGTTTGAAGACGTGAGATAGGTGGGGTCATATTTTAACTTGTATCGTGTACAATATGGGAAATAAAAACAGCGCAGTAAGTTTTTTATTTGTTTTGGATCTTGTGAAATGTTGAAGTTTTAATAAAAGTGCGGAGCATCAGTTATATATAAGGAGTGTTTTTAAGTAAGGACTTGAATGAAAGAGTTGAAAAGTTTGATAAATTGAATATTGAAATTGAACTGTGCTTTGAGTTAAAAGGTATATGATTTTTTGGTATTGGATATATTGTTATATTGAAAAATAGACTAAATATATGGTGTTTATAATACTGCATGTTTGTAACATTGCTTTTCATTGGAAAATCATGATGATTATATAGTTTTATATATAAGTCTACTGTCAATTTATGAAGAAATCTCACTTTTTTCTCTAAAAAGGATCCGAAGTTTACTGTATTAGAAATACATGATAAATCTTCCTGACAGTGTGAATGTATATAAACAGTTGATTGAAATATAACCCTCGCCTAGCAGCTCTGGTTATATTCCCAAACAACATTTTATATAAGGTCATATAACTTGTCAAAAATTCTTATAACCTAATAATGTAAATGTCTGTGACTGGTGTTAAAATAATATTATTTTCATATGTAATGAAATATTTCAGTTTTGTATCTAAAGATGATTTTTGTTTTGTTTATTAGAATGTTTGCATATACATGATAACATGTCTGTCTGTCTGTCTTTGCGCATAACATAATTGACTTCATTTTTTTCACTGATAGAAATTAAGGTCATATGACAATGTGTAGGAAGGTGGCCAGGCTTTCTGTTCTTATCTGTTAAATAAATTATGTGAATGTTGTAACCTGGAAGAATTGATGTTACAATGCTGTAACATATACTTTAAGTTAATTATGTTGTAACAGTGGCCTGGTGGTTACTATGACATTAATGGCTACAGATTCATATATTATTTCCAGCAAATATTTTCAGCAGTTAAAGTACACAATTACTGTATTGAAGTAATTTGCACAAGTTTTTATGCATAAAGATTTCAAGCTTACGATTTCTAACATAAAAAATTCTTCACCATTCACAATATAGCTTTCAAATATGATGTTTTTTTCCGTTAAGATGGCATTGTTTAAAATGGTCTGTTACCATCATCGATGCAGTATTGAAAAGATGAGATAAAAACACTGCTTTAAAAAAATAATAATAGATAATTTATTTATAATTTTTTTTTCGATCTGTTTTCAGGAGTGAAGCAGTTTCTCCGCAGGCCGCAGATGTCATCGGCAACGGGCTGAATTCGCACGAACAAGACATCGCTAAAAAGTTAGAAAGAAACTTCGAGAAATGTGACAAGAATGGTGATGATACTATAAATAGAAAACTAGACATTAACGCAGAATCACTCCGTGAAAAATATCCGGACTACGTTCGTTCCGGTTCGTCAGATGTAGACAGTGACCTAGAAAAGGAGGAGTTGAAACAGGGCGAAGGTTTTTCCGAAAGAAATCATAACTTTGGTTACTCGCAACACTTACCTAGCAATATTAACCCGTATGCGTCTGCCTTCGGTGCCGAGGAAGCCCGTCTTAGATTTAATTTGGAATCGGCCAAATTTAAGGAACGTCTCGGGTCAATCGGGTTATCTCAATTCCGGGAGGAGGAGTTACACAGGCGCTACTCACTTCAGGACAGTGTTCAAGATTCCGGCAAGCAGGCGGCACCGAGTTCAAGTCCAGAATTGAGTCCAAGGTCACATTCTCTTCAAAGTTCACCTCATCAGTCATATAAACTTCAAGATCATGGTCCAAGGTCAATCCATGATTTGTCATTTGAAGAACAAGATACCAATTCTTTCCTGCCACGTATAAAAGAGGGACTGTTCTTCTGTCATCTTTGCAGTTTCTCAGGTAAATAACATTTGAGCCACGTCACGACAAAACCAACATAGTGCGTTTGCGACCAGCATGGATCCAGACCAGCCTGCGCATCCGCGCAGTCTGATCAGGATCCATGCTGTTTCGCTTTCAGTTTCTCTACTTGTAATAGACTTGGTAAGCGAACAGCATGGATCCTGATCAGACTGCGCGGATGTGCAGGCTGGTGTGGATCCATGCTGGTGGTAAACGCACTATGTTGGTTTTGTCATTTACTTTTCTGAATGACTGTGAATTCACTTAATTTCGCAGATATGAAATTTTATGGTTTTGTCACAAAGGACATTATCTTGGGTACTTAAATTTGTGGTCTGTTTATTTTTCCAAAAGGTAAAATGTAAATATTGTGATGCAAAATAATCTTACAGCAGACGAAATGAAATTTCATTGGATCTTAACTTCATGGATTGATCTATCCCCGAAAACCGCTAAAATAAGTACCCCACAAATATTTTTTTTTAGATTCTGTTTTACATTACCTTATCATCATTTACAGTCCTCATTAAAGCACATTATATTCCCTAAGTTTTCTTTTAAATCGACAATGCTTGCAGCCCAGATAAGCCCATTTTATTATTAGTTTGCCATGATTTAAATTTCGACTATCAAAATATCAAACACAAAATTTTCAACAATATAGATTCTTGCTGGAGTGCATGGATATTCAGACAAGCTGTTTGAGATTGCTAAAGAAAACAACAACTTGCCCCTGATGGGGTTTGAACCCAGACAGCTAATGCTCTTTCTAGTCTGACCATAAAACACTTGGCCATGCAGCCACAATTTTTTAATGTTTTGATGAGGAAATAATAACTTCACTGTAATTTTTGCTTTTTTGTGATCATCTGACTTGTTTATATATTGCTACAAAGATTTTGCGTTATTACTCTGCCAAATTAATTTTTATATTATACCAAAAGGGATTTTATTATACAAGTAAAAAGGCTATAACTGGACAACGGTCATTTGTTAAATGTTTATATTTTCTGTCCAAAATGTGACGAAATGAGCATAATAATGTAACTGACCTAAATCCAGTGGTCATTTTGACAAAAAACTTGCTATAATGCCCCCAGAATGCGAGAAAAATAATGACTATTTACTCATGCCTGACATTTAACAAATAATATGACCATTGATAAATTGTAACACAGTTTTTAGTAACAGTTTTGGTTAAGTTATTTTTAGTTTTAAAGCTGCATACTTCCAGATGGATCAGAATATTTTAAGAAAATCAAACTAGAGAAAAATTTACAATGATTTTTGGAAAGGTTATAATATACAAGAATTAAGTAAAAATTTACTTGTTTTGTGCCCATTAAAGACTGATTTTTGTAGTATTTAACGCAGGGGCTATTTTTCATATTTTGATTGCGTTTTGGTAATTTACGTGGATTGTAAGTGCCATTTGTAGTGCCTAAGTTACTTTCTTTCTGCAGTTCACAATATTATACTTTTAAATACATTTTCAAAATTTTCATGAAAATTATTATGAATGCTGCTTTAACATTTTATGGTACTTGAGGGTACAATGATATTACATTGTGTATTTTGAATTTTGATCTTATATACAGTATGATTGTCAATACCTAGCAATAAACTTGAGGGGAGGGATGATTTATTTATTTTTGACCTTGTTTGTTACTCAGAAAAATAACTCCCTTGTTTATAACTTACTTTTACTTTACCCTTTGCGTCTTAGTTTGATTTTGTCAAGGTTGAAAGCTGGACCATTTGAGCTGCACCATGACAAAACCAACATAGTGCGTTTGCGACCAGCATGGATCCAGACCAGCCTGCGCATCCGCGCAGTTTGATCAGGATCCATGCTGTTTGGTATCAGTTTCTCTACTTGTAATAGAGTTTGTAAGCAAACAGCATGGATCCTGATCAGACTGTGCAGAATTAACAGAGTTAAAAAAAGCATTCATCATTTTTACTGCAAAAGGTTACCACACTGGTCACTTGGGTAGCAGCAGGCAATTAAAGCGTTTCAGCACTGGTTTCTTGGGTAGCAGCAGGCAATTAAAGCGTTTCAGCACTGGTTTCTTGGGTAGCAGCAGGCAATTAAAGCGTTTCCGCACTGGTTTCTTGGGTAGTATTAAGCAAAGCGTTTCCGCACTGGTTGCTGGGGTAGAATTAAGCAAAGCAGTTCCACAATAGTTGTTTGCGTAGCAAAAGCAAGCAAAAGGTTACAAGTATGTGAACAGGAGATTTGGTTTTTTATTTTTTATACAAGAGTATAAAAAAGTGAAGGAGGCTTAAATATTAGAGGTTAAATTGATAAGAAAGAGGTCAGAGGTCAATTCATTGATTTTTCACATGTGATTTATAGTTTTTACATTAGAAAGCTTGACTTTTTGTTTTGACTTAAGCAAACAGGTCATAAACCATGTGAAATATTGACCCTCACTCGTAAGAGTCTTTTTTGATGTCTTTTTATAGGAGAAAAAATGACTTAGGTTATCAGCATAGGGACAGTTTAATAGGTGACATAAATCTGGAACTTAAGTTTAAGGTTAAAGATTGTATCTTTTTAAAAAGTAGTCCTCCTGGATTATAAACTGTTAATTTAGTTGTAGTGTTTATATTAGATGGTTTAGGTTTAAGTTCTTTTATGTAAGAATATTACTTTATTCTTCTTGAAATTATAGATTTGATTTAATGTGAAGGAGCAGGGGATTAAAAGGTGTAACAGTAAACAGTTTTGGAATTCATTGACTTTCCTTAAAAAAGAAAAATGAAAAAAAAAAATGTGTAAATGTTACTATAAATAGTCATAAATAGAGTTCCTATTCATTTCTTTGACACAATTGTCAAGGTAACTAACTTTTCTTCGTTTCTTTCGCTCAGGTACTGGATAATTTTCATGCGCTGAAAATGCATAGAAGGGGGCATAAATTCAGGGACTCTTCCTCCATAGCAAAACCTTGAAGGTCATCATAAACATAGATTATGACTGTTATTATTTCACTGTTTGTGTTAGGTAAAAAATGAATATATGAATAAATCTATAATATAATATGTTACACATATATTTTAGGTACAACACAGGGAGATTTTGACCAACATATGACTGTACATTTTGAGCATATATGTCCACACTGCGACTACAAATCGAGAACCGAAGGTCGATTGAAGAGACATATTAAAGATTTCCATACGGAAGATCCGGACGGTGGTTACAATAGGACAATGCCTGGTCGACCGAAGGTGTTCCGGTGTAAACAGTGCGAATATTCCACTACAGACAAGGTCAGTTATATCTTTTGTATTTTTATCTCAAATTATCGTTGAGATGTTAAGAAAAAACTTCTGAGCATGGTGAATTAATTTTTACAAAAAAATAGTGATAAATTCAATGTATTTATATTGTGGCCGAAGTTCTGCTAAATTTTACTTTTTGATTAAAAAAAACAGATCAGCTGCAGAATGTCTTTGGCTAAACAAGTTGCATAATGATGTCTTTGGCTAAACAAGTTGCCTAATTACGTCTTTGGCTAAAGGATGTACTTTGTGCTGTCTAGTTTAAAATTTATTTTAGTTTGATTGTGTTGGAAACTATAAGCTTATTGAAACACTCTTGAATCTTTCTGGAACCAACCAGTACTGAGCAATGAATGTAAAGTTTCTTGCTCAAGGAAACAATTATGGCTTGCCCCTGACAGGGTTTGAACCCATGCAGTCAGCAATCCTTAGATTACTAGTCTGACGCATTAACCGCTGTCTTTGGCTAAAATACTCTGCTATATTGTGTCCGTTTTGTGAAAGCTCTGCTAAATACTGATATTTCTGTTATCTTACACATAAACAAATGCAAGGAACAAAAATTACTTATACATAATATGGTACATTTATTACTTTCAATTACATGTGGAAACATTTGTTCCAGTTTTAGTTTTATGTTTCATGACAAAAAGAATTAGATATTTTTTTCACAATCTTCTATAACTTCTTAATTATCGTTTCTTCAAAAATTTGAATGTGCCAAGATTCATGGTTTTCACAAGAGGTGAACAATTCGCCTTATTTCATGCACAGATTTCTTTCACTAGTAATTGTATTATTAATATTGATATTTTTCTTTTAGATTGAGTTTTGGACACATTCACGATCTCATATCAAGGAAGACAAGTTGTTGCAGTGCCCAAGATGTCCGTTTGTAACAGAGTACAAGCATCATCTAGAATACCATCTACGCAATCACTTTGGGTCGAAGCCGTTCAAATGCCCAAAATGCAACTACGCCTGTGTGAACAAGTCAATGTTAAACTCGCACATGAAATCTCATACTAATGTTTATCAGTATAGGTAGGTAAAACACCCCTAAATCTTTGTCAGTTGTTGCTTGTCTTTTGTTTAATTTTGTCAGTTTTTGCTTGTCTAAATTTGTTTAATTTTGTCAGTTGTTGCTTGTCTTTTGTTTTTTAACTAAATATTTGAATATGATTGTTGAACAATTTTTTCACTGATTCATAATTAGACTGTGCCCCATCCTTACTTTCAGACTGTGCCCCAACTTCACTTTAATTCTATGTTCCAGCTTCACTTTTAGACTGTGTCCCACCTTCAGTTAAAGTCTGTGTCTCGGCTTAAATCCAGCAATGAAAATAAAACTGGGACACAGTCCAAGGTCAGAATGTGATATTGTTTCACACCTTGACCTTAAAAACAAAAGTACTCTCTAAAAAGGAATCACAGCCTTTTTACTACAACAAAAACAAAATTATCACTTTTGTTGAGATATTTTTAGGGAAATAGATCTTTTGAAGAATTAATATTAACTTTGTCTGTTAATTTTACCAGTATGTTGTTAATTTTCACTATAGTTTAATGTTACTTAAAATCAATATTTAAAACAGTGAGCATAATCATATAGATATACAAAAGATGATAATGGAAATATTTTTTCTTGTTTCAGATGTGCAGACTGTACTTATGCCACCAAGTACTGCCACAGTTTAAAGCTTCATTTACGCAAGTACAATCACAAGCCCGCTGCCGTCCTCAACTCAGACGGCAGTCTACCGCAGGGAGTTGATGCTACAGCTTCGGGCCTTTCCTTGATGGCTAAACGTGGGCCACCCCGCGGTCCTCGAGGGCCAAGGAAAGATAAACTTGACCAGAGTCCAGGCAGCTTTTTACCAATGCCACCATCACCCATGGCACCACTCCCTGGCCTACCAGGTATGATTTCACCATTCTGGCCTCTTATGCAAGGTCAGATGCCTGGCAGGCTTCCACATCCTCTAAGTCTCGGACCACGTTTCAATCCGCAGTTTGCACGATTTCCAAACTTTGGTATCAAGACAGAAGAAATGACATCGCCAACTGCAACATCCAATTCAGATCCATACAAGTGCAATTTATGCAGTTTTGTCGGCACCAGTCGGGAGGTTCTTACGAGCCACTTAGTCAAAGTGCACGCTTCGGAAAATCAGGATTTGTTCACAATGTTTGGTCTGTCATCGGAAACATTGCTAGAAGATAATCAGAAGAGAATGAATGCGCTCAGTTCCTTCCGCTCACCAATGAAATCCCCGAAATTAGATGCAGTCAGCCATGGAATGGACATCAATTTGAACGGAAAGAAAGAATCCAATGAAATGAAGAAAATCAAGCGTGAAAATGAAGAAGCCATGAGTGTGTCTCCTTTTGCATTTATGAATGGTAAATTTCAGGGAGCAGGAAATGTTAAAGATGAGGGAATAGACATTTTGAAGCAGATGACTTTAAAATTTGGTTCAGGACCAGTTGATTTAAAACGTAAACGCCCCATCGAGCCAGTACCTGTTGTACGACAGGAGGCTATGACCCCTGATACCCCTGATAGTCCTCTAGATTTGACAAAGCCTAGAAGTTCCCCTTCAGTTTATCAGCAAGAAAGCATTAACAAGCACGAAGATGTTGATGGGGAACACTCAAGTGGTGAAAACTCGGTCTATTCAAATGAGGTGATGTCACCGACTCCAAGGAAGCGCTCAAGGAAAGGCAAGGCATATAAGCTTGACACGTTATGTATGAAGCTACAAGAAAAGCATGGAAATATGTACGGTAGCGATGAAGATTCTTCCGCAGAAAATGATGAAATGTACACGTCTGACTTACTTCCTGTTGAAGCAGACGGTCAATCACCGGAAGATTACAGTGGAAATGATAATAGCTACGCAGATATCGACTCGGACATTGATAAACAGGAAGAGAAGACTGAGAAAAATGTTGATGAAGAAACTAGTGACATCATGCCCAAGTTGGATGTCAATATGGCACCAATGAATAATGGTGAAAATAAAAGAGATGGACCTCCAGCAAAAGAGGAAGATAAAAATGAAAACAATTCTGAGAAACTGGCAGAAGAAGATCTTAAGAAAATCCATGCCAATCTTGAAATGTTGAATGAGACGTCTGGTTTGAAGAATAATAGAATTGACAATTTTGAGGACATGAAAGACAATGATGTATCTAATTACGAAAAAGTGTTTCAAATTGACGAAGATATAAAGAAGTCACCATCGCCACCTGGATTTTCCAGTCATAATCGGCGGAAGCCAGTGGCAGCAGCTATACAGCGTGGCGCAGATATTGCTTGGAAAATTTTAAACGATCCTAAAATGGCTGATCCTGCGAGACTTATAAAGAATGGCGATAATGGACACAAGCTTGAATTGTCTCCCTTAGATAAGAAGCTGTGGCTTGATGCACCTTATTGTACGAAGTCACAAAAAGGCGATTACGAGTGCCCACATTGTCAGATTTCCTTTGGAGACTGCATTATGTATACCATGCATATGGGTTACCATGGATACAAAGATCCGTATAAATGTAATATGTGTGGTGACACGTGTAAGGACAGAGTGGAGTTCTTCCTTCATATTGCAAGAGCTGCTCATAATTAAAGACACCAATATCAGATAACTTGCACAGTTAGTGCTTCATTGACTTTTGCTATTGTTCGAAACGCGGAGATAAATAAAGACGTTAAGATATTTTGTTCATATTAAGAAATTATCACATGTTTATTCAAATAACATGAGTGTTATTGAAACAATTGTTATTGAAATCCAAGCTGTTATGGATATGTAACAGACAAACTGCAAAAACTGCTAAACATTTGTAGAAAACATCAACTGTAAAAAAAATATCACAGTGCTGAATACGGAACAGACTTGCTGCCCTCTAAAAGTGACCAATCAGAAAACAGTATTTTTTGAGAGATGGTCTGTATGACTGGATATTGTACCATTTTTATTAAGTTAATCATGAAGTTATACAGACATATACAGGCATCAGTCCTAATATTTCCAATATTGACCTGTTTATTATGTTATATTTGATTTAACTAGTCAGTTTTACATTATTATGTATATATATAATACTTTTGTGTATAAAAGTCATGCCATATGTTTTGCTGATATATAAGCAATCATATTTTGTTTGTCCATTTGAAAAAAAAATCAAACAGTATTTCTTTTTATAGTAACATTCCATGTTTCTACAAAATTATTGCTCCAAAGTTTTAAAATACTATATAGAACTTAAGTATTCAAACTTTTTCTGGAAATTCCATTGCTTTGGTTCAATATTTGATACTTTGGTTTTATTTTTGTTACTTATGTTCGATATTTGATTCTTTGGCTTTTTTTCACCTACTACAAGATACTTACATTAAATTTTATGTATTTTTATATGCCAATGTATATACTGTACCATTCTGTTAATGATGTGTATTATTATTTTATTTTCTTTGTTATTTATTTTTAGCTGCATTATTTTGTTGATGTACATTTGTAATCAAGATAGTGTATTTTTTTTCTCCGTTCTTGTCTTAAAATGCTATGATTGTATATGTATGTTAAATATTGTGAAATTTCAGAATACTTCAATAATATAAATCCTGTAATTCTGGAAAAACTTGAATTTTCTGTTTAATATATATACATATTTTTTCTTTTGACATTATTATTTGAAAGACTTCCTATTGGTTGAATTTAGGAGAAAGTAGTCTGGCAAGACAACAGTGAATATACAGAAAATATGTTTCACTGCAGTGAAAAATAAATTTTTTCAGTAACAATGGGAAAATGAATATATGCATCTTATTTCACCAATATTTCATATATGAGTATATATAATAAATAAGAAAATCACAAACTCCGGAACGAATAAACATACTTTGTATAATTATGCTATTTAAAAAATCATATTCAGAATGATGTAATCTTGATTTTTTAAAGTTATGATATTTGTTTTAGTTCTGATTTAAACAATATATTTTTATTGACTTACTGCGTACAGAACTGTACACAATGCAATAGTAATAAGAAATCCTCTTTTTGTTTTTTGTTATTTTGTTATATAAAAGTTATAATGTATTCTTGCATTATGTTAGCTGCTTTTTTGACATATGTTTTTAGAAAGAATTATCTTAAATTTCTTGAGAAATGGTTTTATCATAAAGCAATAAGAAATATAAACACGTGTCACTATATATAGAATGGTTATGTTACTGAATAGACTGGCTTACAGTATGTGGACTGTACTTGCATTGGTAGCCAGCTCGATTGGGTCACTGACATATTCCAACATGAACAACACTCTGGTCACTGACATGTATTCCCTCATGTAAGACTCTCCATTTGGCCACTTACATGTATTCCCCATGTCTAAGACACTCAATTGGGCTATTTACATGTTTTCCCCATGTGTAAGACACTCAATTGGGCCATTTACATGTTTTCCCCCATGTAAGGCACTCCCATTATGTTTTTACATGGTATTCCCTCAGGACACTTGACTGGAATGATCATATGAATTCCTTTTGATAACACAGTCCAACTCAGAAATGTGATGCAAAAGAAGAAGTTATTGTTTTATTTTCTTGAAAACAAGTTAAGTTTTGTTGCATATTGCCAGTGCAATTTTATACAAATACCTGGTATACGCATAAACCTTTCTGTTGACATGTTTAAATTATTTGATCTCTGTTATTGTTTTTGCAGCTAATACATTCTCATTTGTTATCATAGTATTATTTAAGCAGGGAAATAACTCTTATCATATCAGGAAATTAGGACACGCCATCCTTCCATTTTCATTTTGTTTTGAATTTTGTTGTTTTCCTTAAAGCAACCTTCAGCTTTTATTTTTTGTTGATAAAACAGTTTCGTACTTTTTCAAACTAAGTATTTCAGTAATTTTATCTTGGACCAATGGAGTGTTTCACTGTTAAGCCTTCTTCAAAACAGCGCCACAAGAGCTATTTATATCGCGCAGTGACGTTTCTAAAAATAGAAGATTGGGAAACGATCCTCTGCTTTACTAATTTACATATAGAGAGCAAATTAGAGGTATCGAGGGGTTTTCCTTATTGTCTTTTGTATTTTATCGCCAACAGATTTCATTTTACACCTTAATTCTTTTGATTCGACAATTATATGAAACAATTTATCTAAAAATAACATATTTAACCTTCAGAAAAGCTGAAGGACGCTTTAAACCTTCAAAGATTCATTACAGACAATAAAGTTTTCTAACTTCTAGTACTGATGCGTCTTTAGTAAAAAATTTCAAACAGCGACTTCCATTGCACAATTTAGTCAGACATTCCAATTAATACACTACCATGTTTATACCTTCCATCCTCATCCAAACCTATAGCTCAAACTTGTGTATATTTTAGCCGCGTCACGACAAAACCAACATAGTGGGTTTGCGACCAGCATGGATCCAGACCAGCCTGTGCATCCGCGCAGTCTGATCAGGATCCATGCTGTTCGCTATCAGTTTCTTTACTTGTAATAGGGTTGGTAAGCGAACAGCATGGATCCTGATCAGACTGCGCGGATGCGCAGGCTGGTCTGCATCCATGCTGGTCGCAAACCCACTATGTTGGTTTTGTCGTGACGGCGCTCATTTTGTTTATGCTTGCCAATATGTTAAACCAATGCCTTTTTTCTCAGGGATAAGTTAATGGTATTTATTGTTAACATTTCCAGTATGTTATTTGTAGTAGAATTTACACTTGTTAAAGCACTGGGACCAAATACTTTGAAACTGTCAAGTGTAAGAACTGTCAAGTGTAAGAATATCTTCGAATTGTCTCCCCTGAATTTTGTGCCCAGTCTACACCAGAATGCCAGGATGTCAAGTTTTCATTGGTTGTTTTTATTTGATTTAAAAGTTACAACCAATCAAGTGACAGTATTTATAGGAAGGGTAGACTGGTATCTACATGGGATATTGTTATCCTGCATATAATTTTTTGCAGAAGTAAGACACTTGAATAGTTTTCATTTATTGGTCTCCAGAATACGTTAATTATGTAGCTATTTAATAGTTTGTTATAATTGTGAATGTATCTGTACACGTATTTATACATAGAAATCCAATTATATTGTTATTCCTCCCATATAATATTCTAGGAATTTTTTTTTTTATCTTTTTTTTTTTTCAATCCTAATTATACAACATGTGACGGTCAGTCCGCAGCGAATTAGCTATTCTGTAGTAGGTATATAAAAAAATTGTGTATTACATAATGTTCTAGTATTCGGATTTGTTTGCATCACATGCATACTTACATTACCTCTCAAGCCAGGGGCCATGAGTTTGAATCCTTCTTAAGACTCATATGACACCATTACTAGTTGGTCCAAGCAAGAACCGTATATGCGGCAGTTATTAGTTTTTTAAGTAACCTGCCAACATTTGGTACTCTATTGATATTCAGGTAATAGAATTTAAACAAAGGAAATATCAATGTTAGTGCAATAACTGATTAACTCCTATTAAATTTAGAACGACTTACTCCGTTACCACACTTTGGTGACGAAATTTAATGACACTTTGAAATAGTAAATTTTTTTTGACATACTCATTTTGTTTCAAGTCTGGGCATTAAGTATATGCATTTAATAATGATGTTTTGTTTTTCGTTCATAAGATAAAATTGTGTTTAATTAATATTCATTTGCTGAAAGATTATTATGGTGCTGATTTTAACTGGCACTTTGAATCAGAATTGTTTAAACACATATCTTGTAGTTATGTTCTCTACATTAAGTGTTGCATTGAATTACAATTTAATAAGTAACAAATCTAGTGTATGGTTTAACCCTTTAACAGGTTATATGACCATAAATAAACATTTTTTTGCATATATTGCTGACAACTGTTTATATATGGCCATATATATTATAATACAGCAAACTTGTAGAGAAAAAAATGAAATTTCTTCATAAATTGATAGCAGGTGTGAATATAAAACTATTTAAACGTCACAATTATCCAATGAAAAGCGACGTTACAAACATGCAGTATTATAATGTAACAAATACATTGATTAGTATAATTATGACATGAATAAAAGAGATGCATTTATTCCATTTTGTTAAAACTGTATTCAAGTTGATAATGTGTATATAAAACAATGAATTTTGAATTTTAATCTTACCTATTAGTTAATCAGTAACTAAATGTAATCAATTTGTGTAAAAGTGTGTATTGCTGGTATATTTACGAAGGTTACCTAGAAATTTATTTGAATAATACTTAAACCTGACTACCTCAGTCTTTAGTCATAGGCTTGCCTTAAAAATAGCGTTTCTGTTGCCCTTGTCAAGTAGAATTAGAATGTGTTTAATCTAGATTCTGATTAATTTAAATTAATTTTAATTAGAATTTTGAAATTTTTTGATGATGAATAAAAAACACTTCAATTTTTTTATTTATTTATTTTTTTTTTTTAATATAGTAAAGCAGAATGTTACCTAATGAAAATTTTGTTAACAATTTTTAATGACTTTTTTAACAAAGTTTTTTTAACACTTAACATTGTTAAGCAACATATTTGTTAACATTGTTAGATAAACGTTTTATCTCCAGCATTTAACTAAATAGAATGATTAAAAAAAATGAAACACAGCATATTTTATATGTGTATTTGATTGAAATAGATTGTAGATATTTTGATATGATTGTTAATTTCTTTTTCTTAATGTGCTCTATATGGTGTGTCAATAATCATGTTCTTTATGTATATACAGGTCTTGTGTCTTCTTTTTTCATCCCCCTTTTTTTGCCCCATTTTTCTTCCCAATTTTTATGCCCCACTACTTGAAGGGAAGCTAGAAATTTGTCATACTGTCACACTGTTTGCACGTACTCAGGTGGATTTTTGGCTTATAACTCGTAGGAGTCTATGAGTTCGTTGGAGGGGAAAAAAGTTACTTATATGGGGTGAAAAGAGGTTCCTTATGGGGTTTTAGAGATCAATTCCGGGCTCCACCCCTGCCCACCTTCCGATCCCAATCTAAAAATGCATCAGTGTAAATGGAGACTTGCCCCTCAACTGGGAAACTTCTTTACTTGTATATCTTACAGGAGCAACATTCTGAAAAGTGATTTCAATATCAAAAATACAAAAAATATGTAAAATGATACTCCTCCCCTACTAGACTTGCCAGAATATGAATGTTACAAGAAGCGAAATGACCTCACTTGGTGTGAATAATGGACTGTCCTTGGAAGTTTGAATTAAAGGGAAGTAGCTTTCAACACAATAAGCTAACAATAGGACAGTGCCTGGTTAGACTATATTGATGTGTAAACTGACCTGACTACTGGTGGAATGCTAGCAACATTTAAATTCAATGTATTTACATTGTAGTTAAACTTAAACCTACTAAATTTCTGCAGTGGAATGTGTCCAGCTTTGAGTTTGGAACAGTGCATTTGAAATTTAAGGGATTTCAATATTAAAAAACTTAAGTTGAGCTATCAACAGTATAAAGTCTGGTTAGACTTTACGGATGTGCAGGTTGGCCAGGTGCTATACTGGTTACCAAGGCTATACATTTCAGAAGGCTATGTGTTAAGGTATGACAAACGAGTATAGATAATACAATAATTTGGTAGGTTTAAACATATTTATTTCAGCTTGATTGCAAAACAAGTTCTTGCAACTTATATTACCCACTTTCAAGTCTCCCTCCAGGAACCAACCGGGTAATTGTTACACGTTATAGAAAGTGAAAATCAACAATTCCGGCAAGCTATCATCTTTATTTTTTAATTTATTCAGAGTCTGGTTGTTCGAAAATTGCTGCAATATAAATGTCCATGAATTACATTGCACTCAAGATGGATCCGAAAAACTGGAAAAAAAATTTCTTTATCATCAACAAAAGTATACAAGTGTTTGAATGTACAGAACAAAAACAAAAACTGTGGATGACTATAAACAATTTGATACATAACATGCTTGAAATAAATGGTAATGTTAATGCGTGAATCAGAATAGTTTTGTTCTAATTCTAGAATACAGAAAAATAGAAGACAACAGTATTTCAGTTTCTTACAGTACAGCAGTTAAATGTAAACAAACGTAAAAAGCCAGCAGACGCATGGTCGACAATCAAGGGGAATTAGAGCGAATGTTGTAAGTTTTTATCTACTACCATCGACTGATATATTAAATATATTATTATGCCTACTTGAATTAAAAGGCTGTACACCAAAAAATGAAATAAACAAGACTGCATAGATCACATAAGTGACACAACTTGAAATAACAATGAAAACAATTAAAGGCCCACCACTACTTTGGTACACCTGCTTTGTACTTGCTGTTGTATTAGGATATCTTCCACAGAATCCTCATGTATCTGATAGCATTCCAGCTCTGCTCAACATCAAAGCTGACTCCAAGACATGCAGTGACATTACAAATTACCAGTCAACACACCTTCTACTGAGTATCTGCAAACAGAAACCTACCAGTACCAGCAATAAACCCTGCAACAAGAAGACCTTCCTGGTATATATAACCCTATTACTTCTTGCTAATTCAAATGATGTCCAACTTAACCCTGGACCCCCACTAAACGACAGTACTGTCTACCCATGCGGCACCTGTGACCAACCAGTAACATGGGATCACCGGGCAGTTGTCTGCGACACCTGCGACCAATGGTACCACTTAAATTGCCAAGATGTTCATTCTAGAACCTATAGCATTTTAAATGAAGATAGCGCTATACGCTGGGATTGCTTAATTTGCAACAACCCAAACTACAGTACTCTGTGTTTTGACCTACACTCGCTATCAACGTCAAATCCATTTGAATTACTATCGCTTTCAAGTACAAGTCTACAGAGCCCTAAGACACAGTTAAAACCTCTTCACTCATCAACTCCAGAAAGAAGTGCAAACCCAAAGAAGAAACCATCAAAAAAGCTACCACTTAGAATCCTGAATGTCAACTGCCAGTCCATAAAGAAAAAACAAGACAGAATAGAAAACCTCATAGAGAGCACTAAACCAGATATCATCATTGCCACAGAAACATGGCTGGACCCCTCTATGTCATCCTCTATGTGGGAAGCCATTTTGTTTGATGTTTAATAAAAGGTGTATTTTAGGTGGCATTTTATTTTTATTTTTTACTTATATTATTTAAATAATGGGAGGTTTACTATATTTTTTTTTCATTATTTCTTTTGTATCTTTTTATAGAATGATACATAAGAACTAATTAAACAAATGGAAGCACATTCAGATTACCGGGTTTGGATAGAATTACGCGTTAAGAATTGGTTACCTCCCCTTTCATATGTTTTACCATTTACCATGAAATGAGTTGACGATCGATTTTCTCGGTAATATTTCCCTCAGTAAATTATAAATATCTAATTTAAGTTTTATTTTTGATTAGAAATCGATGCCATATCCTGGAAAAGACCTCGGGTCTTAACCAGGTGTACATATCTAAAAGGTTCAATCCGTTTTCTTTAGTTTATTAAAATTCAAACAGTGTCAAATACACGTGCTGTAAAATTTTTCACCTAGTCCTGAATTATTCAGAAGAGTATAAAAAAGTACTTTTCCACTGGCAGTGTGTATTTTATGAACTTATATTTACTTCGTGATTTCTTGAAACTGTAATAGAAGCCATACCATCACCCATTACAGGGATTTTTTTTTGGGGGGCTTATTTTATAGCCGTTATTGGGTCATATTCCCAAATGAAAATAATATATTATTTTCCCAATCCACAGGAAAAAATTCCCAATTGAAAGTTACAAAATAAAAATATTGAAATAAAAATTCTAAAATCTTTGCAAAAAAGGGCTTCTTCACTGTAATAGTGCTTAAATCTTTGAAGATGCCATCATAGACTGTAATTGTTTGCATCCATTTAATCACTGCAAAATTTCAGTCATGCACTTTTTCCAAATTTTTAACAAAACACCGCTGAAATTCCTTATTCCATGGGTATGGGTTGTGTTCCCAAAATCCTGGAAAAAATCCCTGCATTATGCACGTGGAGTCATAATTTTTAATTGACATAAGCTGGTAAGAGTTGAGGCGGCGTACAAATTGTCATATTGAAAGTCAATACTTGAACTAAGCACATGACTGTGTGCATATTAATTTTTGAGTAACAGGGTCAAAGTTCAAGATTACATTGATCATGACTGTTTCTGACTAACAACTTGACAACTAAAGGGCACTCAAACTTCATAGGAACATTTTGTCTTGGGCAGTAAATGACACTTTCTTTATTTTGCTGAGAACTCAAAGGTCAAGGTCATATTGACCTTTATGTCAAAATGTTTTTGAGCAACAAATTACTTTGACATGCTGACGAGGTGAATGCACATGTTTTACAAACATCTCTTGTTTTTTTGGGGTTTTCATTTTAATTAAAACTGATGAACTATGTTTAAAAATGTGACAACAGTAAAATTTGTGTCAATTTTTCTTCACATTTTTCTGTAAATTTACCATTTCTGCCTGCAAAAAAAGAAAAGAAAAAAAAGACATTTTTATTTCTCTTTCATCACCTTTACCGCAGCATTTGCTTAATGAGAAGTTCCACTAATGAAGGACCAAGACTGATTTTCAGTGATACATTTTATGACAAGTTGACAACTTCTTTCATGCACCTACCTTGTTTCCATTTGGTTCTGTGAACCTACTTTCTACTGTAGTAGTCTGTAATGGTGTAAAACTGGTGTTCAAGTCAGCTGGGAACACAGTGATTTTTTTTTCAATTTTCAAAACAACCTGTGGCTTTCTGAAGGGGAAAATATAGCGTGATAAATCAGAAAAGGGGAAAATCAAATTCCAACAACTTAGAATGGTTTACCCACACATGTTTTAGAATATTCAATTTCAATTCAATTTAACATCCATGATACATGCAGGGGCTATCTGTAGTGACAGCATTCTGTCTTAAGCTGATATGTCAGCAGCTGTTAAGTCATGGCTCTAGTGAAAAAATGTGCAAAGGGCATGTTAGGGGAAAAATAGTAGCATTTTTAGGGGAAAATATACCTATTTAGGGCTAGGGGAAACAGCCTTTATTGGGCTGTAAAATGCAGGGGAAAAAATCACTGGAACATTCTTTTGAATTCATTCAAAATATATGCAAATGCTCTCTTAATCATTGTATTACTTATTGTAATATTATTACGTTCCTTTTACGCGCCAAATGTAACGTCTATTAACGTAGACGTTTGTTTTGTACGGTTACGTCATTTTTATATATGTATCCACTGAGGAAGCTTAATAAAGCGAAACATGTTTTGATACTTAATTTGTGTTGGTTTTTGATCCAATTACCCTAACTCTTAATCATTTAACATTCCAAAATGGAAGAATCCAACATGCAACTGTTTTAGGTTTATTTACCATCCATTTTGCTGCACTGTTCTCAAAAAAGTAATTGTAGGTTGAGAAAGCACCCCTAACCTAAGTAAATATTTAACATGCAATTTTAAAAAAGTTCAGACGGGTCACATTTTGTGAATGCCTATGTCTCAAACTTTCTAAAATAGAAGGAAAGTTAAATGATGAAACTGCAAAACATCACATTAAAATATGCAAAATTATGCTCTTGTGAAAGAAATTGTTTCTGTCAATGAATAAAGGTTCTAGATACAAGAATAAAGATATAATATCCAAGGTTATTGTCTTCCACAGAAGGCAGATGAACAGATAAGTAAACAAAAAAGCCTAGACTATAGGTTTAACACTTTGCTTACTGTCTACCAATTTTTTCATTTAACTTTTGGCAAATGAGTTACCAACTGCATTTTTTATACGTTCAAATCATTATTCATAAAAAATGTATTCTCAGACTGTCTTTACAGAGATGGGGTAATTAGTAGATCTATCAGAATCTTTTCAATTCTTTTAAAGCAGCACGCCTCCAGATTCATGTTAATTTTCATGAAAAATTTTGAAAGGTATTTGAAAGTAAAATATTGTGAGGTGAACAAAAATAGTAATTTACATATTGCAATTGGCACTTACAATCCAAGAAATTACCAAAAAGTGGTCAAAATATGCAAAAACAGCCCTTACTGCGTTAGTAACACAGTAGAAATATGGCAATAAAATACTGCAAATTCAGTCTTAACATGTAAAATATAACTTGGATCTTGAATGTTTTTACCTTTCTTAAAATTTTAGTACATTTTTCTCAATATTAAATTTCTTGAAATATTTTGGCTTATCTGGAGGCGTGCAGCTTTAAAGATCCTGTATGTTGTAATTAAGGATGTAACAACACTTGAGTGAAATTTATAAATGTATATGATTATTCTTCTCAGACCATTTCCAAACATCCAAGAATATGTTAAGTATGTACTGCAAATGTTTATAGGCATTATAAGTAATCCTTAAAATATATGTATTTATTGATTATTGAAACATTTGGCTTAGACTTTATCGAAAATAAATTTCTAATTACCTCCCTTAATTTACATGAAATGCAAATTCAGTAATATCTTTACAAATAATGCTTTTTGAAACTTACAATATTGATAAATCTTTATTTGAGCATCATATTTATGATATAAAACCATAAAAAAATAATGCTTTTTGGAACTTAAATATTGAGTAATCATTATTTGAACATCATATTTATGATATAAAACCATAAAAATAATGAGTTACAGGATCTTTAAATATTATGTTCAACACATGCAGTATAAGCAACAGTCAGATTGAAGCGTGTAACATAATAAATCTGTTAGATTTATTTCTATAGTTGTAAATTTGCTTTCTAATTCTGTCTTACTTTCATTACAGAATATACACTGTATCAAGGGAGGTAACTAGAAGATATACATTGTGATTATTTGTAGAAAGGGAGGTAATAAAAGAAATTTGGAATCGCCAACATTCAAGTAAGCATTTTGTTTGTTTGTTATAAAAGTATACATGTTCCTACATATTCAGTGTATATCTAGAAAAAAATATTATCTTAGAAAGAGATTCAATATGGGAATATAATCTTAATGTTAATGTAAACAATATATGTGAAAAAAAATCTTGAAAATGGAGGCAAAAAGGAAACATTTTAAATGATGTTTTAATCCGTGTTTAGTATTTTAAAAGGAAACATTTGAGAAGTTTTAGAAAATAAATTCTTAATAATAATACATTGAAAGAAATTAAAAATTTTCTGTTACAGACATTATTAGTGTAATCGTTATTGAGTGCGATATGGAAATAAAGGAGTGCGATATGGAATTGACAACAGAAAAGAAACCCTATGTTTGTTCTGTATGTGAATATGCTAGTGAGTGCAGTAGTAACCTTAAAAGACATATGAGAATACATACTGGTGAGAAACCTTTTAAATGTGAGGTTTGTAGTTATGCAACTACACAGAGAGGGCACTTTAATGAGCACATGGCTATACATACTGGAGTTAAACATTTTAAATGTGACCTGTGTAGCTATGCAAGTAACCGTCGAAGTCATGTGAAAAGACATATGTTAACACATACAAAGAATAAACTGCGTAAATGTGATGCATGCGATGATACTTTTGAAGACGGTATTGGGCGGGAACAACACATGACTCGACACATGACTGGTCATTTAGAAGAAAATGGTAATTATTTGACATATAATGATGTTAAAAAGGATATTAAAATAGCAGCTCAGTTGGAGGAGAAACCGTTCAAATGTCAGACATGTGATTACTGTACTGTTGATAGTGTACTTTTTGAAAATCATTTAGCAAGTCACGAAGAGAAGAAGATCTTCAAATGTCAATTTTGTGACTATGTTTGCAATTTGAGCTCAGATTTGAAGAAACACATACATGGTACACATGATGTGGCCAGGAGATTTAAATGTAACGTTTGTAACTTTTCCAGCAATAATAGGGGAAATCTGAAAGAACATATAGCAATACATACTGGAGAAAAACAATATAGTTGTCACATTTGTGGTTATGCATGCTATCATAAAAGTCATATGCAGAGACACTTAATGGTCCATACCGGAGAAAAACGCTTCAAGTGCGGAGTTTGTAGCTACGAGAATAACGACAAACGTTACATGAAAATACATATGAGGAGACACACCGGAGAAAAACCGTTACCGTGTCAATATTGTGACTACACATGTGATAACAATAATGATATGGCAAGTCATTTGGTGATACATACTGGAGAGGAGAACGTGAAATGTGATTACTGTGATTATACATGCTCCCACATAACACTTCTAGAGAAACACATTGCCATGCACATAGGAGAAAAACCATTTCGATGTTACTTCTGCGACTATTCGTGTGAATATAACTCGAATCTAAAAAGACACATGAGCATTCATACCGGAGAGAAAAGGTTTAAATGCGATTTTTGTGATTATGGAAATTATCAAATTGGACGTTTGAAAGAGCATATCTTGGCAAAACATTCATAAAATTGTATAAAAAAAACATGCAATTCATTATCAAGTCATAAGAAGAAATGTATGAGGAAAAGGTGCTCAATTATTACACATGTAATTTAGATTAGCATTGAAACAAAGAGGATGTTCAAGCGTTTTTTTTCTCTATAAATACAGGATTAATATTCATCAAGTTGTATGAAAATAAATATGTCATGACGGGTGGTTGCCACGAGTGAAATATGATAATTTTCATATCTTCAGAGGAAAACAAATCCTGTATTTATAGAAAAACAACCTTAAATATTCTGTTTATAATAAAAAAATTCTCTTTTTTGACCTTACAATTCTTAAGAATTCTCCTTTAATTTTGTATATTGGCTGAATTAAGAAGAAAGTAGTCCGGTAAGTCACCAGTGAAAATACATAAAATATATTTCACTGAAGTGAAAAATAATTTTTACAGTGAAAATACAGAAAATGAATATACATATTTTATTTCATCAATATTTCTTAATTTTTCATTTATAAGTATATAAAGTACATGTATAATTATAATAGATGTATACAGCTGACTCCCGTTATGTTAAAGTTGCTGTGAATGTCGAGATAAACATATTTAAACCATGTATATGTTTATATTTCTGTGTACTTATTTTGATATATTTGTATATAGTTTTCTCCTGTGTAGATGCTAAGTTTAAAAACAGAAAATTGATAAATCTAAAAATTATATTTTTGTTAATTTCATTGAAGAAAAAGGTCAACATTAGCATATGATAATTACATACATTTATGATGCTTGATATTTGTGTACACTTTATTATGTTTGTTGTCTGTTATAATCTTATATTATTATTATTATCTACAATATCTCCTTTTATCATAAAGTAGACTTTCACATAACTTCTGAGGAATAATCCTTAGGTGGCCGAAATAATGTCATGCATATGTAAGTCACAAGAGTTAAAAGCAGACTGAATAAATAAAATCTTTCATAAAATCTTCTCCTATAAAAGAGCTAAATGTACAGACATTTTGGGTATGGCATAACCTTTTAGTTCTTTACAATATTTATACAACTGTATTAAACATACCTAAGGGTTAAAATTGGCTCCGCACAGGGGTTTACTATGTTACCATAGCTTTCTTACACAGGAAAACTCATTTTAATACACTTCTTGAGAGTAGGTATTTGACATGCAGCTATGTCTATTGACCTTTGGAGAAGGTGTTTGACATTAAGCATTGTTCTGTTGACCTTAAGAGTAGGTATTTGACATGAAGCATTGCCCTATTGACCTTGAGGGTAGGTATAATTTATGACATGCAGCATTGTCCTTTTGACCTTGAAAGTAGGTATTTGACATGCCGCATTGCCCTATTGACATTGAAAGAAGGTATTTGACATGCAGTATTGCTCTTTCATCCTTGAGAGTAGGTATTGCTCTTTTGTCCTTGAGAGTAGGTATTGCTCTTTTGTCCTTGAGAGTAGGTATTGCTCTATTGACCTTGAGAGTAGGTAATTGACATTTAGCATTGCTCTGTTGACATTGAGAGTAGGTATTTGACATTAAGCATTGCTCTGTTGACATTGAGAGTAGGTATTTGACATTTAGCATTGCTCTATTGTTCTTGAGAGTAGGTAATTGACATTTAGCATTGCTCTGTTGACATTGAGAGTAGGTATTTGACATTTAGCATTGCTCTGTTGACATTGAGAGTAGGTATTTGACATTAAGGATTGCTCTGTTGACATTGAGAGTAGGTATTTGACATTTAGCATTGATCTATTGTTCTTGAGAGCAGGTAATTGACATTTAACATTGCTCTGTTGACATTGAGAGTAGGTATTTGACATTTAGCATTGCTCTGTTGACATTGAGAGTAGGTATTTAGCATTAAGCATTGCTCCATTGTTCTTGAAGAGTAGGTAATTGACATTTAGCATTGCTCTGTTGACATCGAGAGTAGGTTATTTGACATTTAGCATTGCTCTGTTGATATTGAGAGTAGGTATTTGACATTAAGGATTGCTCTGTGACATTGAGAGTAGGTATTTGACATTTAGGATTGCTCTCTATTGTTCTTGAAGAGTAGGTATTTGACATTAAGCATTTGCCTGTCAACATTGAGAGTAGGTATTTGACATTTAGCATTGCTCTATTGTTCTTGACAGTAGGTATTTGACATTCAGCATTGCTCTGTTGACATTATTAGTAGGTACTTGACATTTTATTGCTCTGTTGACCCTGAGAGTAGGTATTTGACATGCTGCATTGTCCTATTGTCCTTAAGAGTAGGTATTTGACATGCATCATTGCCCTATTGTCATTGAGAGTAGGTATTTGACATGCAGCATTGCCTAATTGTCCTTGAGAGTAGGTTTTGCTCTATTGAACTTGAGAGTAGGTATTTGACATTTAGCATTGCTCTGTTGACATTGAGAGTAGGTATTTGACATATAGGATTGCTCTGTTACCTTGAGAGTAGGTATTTGACATGCAGCATTGTCCTTGAGAGTAGGGTATGTGACATGCAGCATTGCCCTATTGTCCTTTGAGAGTAGGTATTCCCACATGCAGCATTGTCCCTATTGTCCTTGATAGTAAGGTATTTGACAACGGGCAGCATTGCGCTATTGACCTTGAGAGTAGGTAATTTTGACATGCAGCATTGTCCTTTTGTCCTTAAGAGTAGGTATTTGACATGCAGCATTGCCCTATTGTCCTTGAGAGTAGGTAATGCTCTATTGACCTTGAGAGTAGGTATTTGACATGAAGCATTGCCCTATTGTCCTTGAGAGTAGGTATTGCCCTATTGACCTCGAGAGTAGGTATTGCTCTATTGTCCTTGAGAATAGGTATTGCCCTATTGTCCTTGAGAGTAGGTATTTGACATGCAGCATTGCCCTATTGTCCTTGAGAGTAGGTATTGCCCCTATTGCCCTCGAGAGTAGGTATTGCTCTATTGTCCTTGAGAATAGCGGTATTGCTCTATTGTCCTTGAGAGTAGGTATTTGACATTATTTTTCTTGAGAGTAGGTAATTGACATTTAGCATTACTCTGTTGACATTGAGAGTAGGTATTTGACATTTAAGGGATTGCTCTGTTGAAATTGAGAGTAGGTATTTGACATTTAGCATTGCTCTGTTGACATTGAAAGTAGGTATTTGGGCATTTAAGATTGCTCTGTTTGACATTTAAGATTGCTCTGTTGACATTGAGAGTAGGTATTTGACATTAAGGATTACTCTGTTGACATTGAGAGTAGGTATTTGACATTTAGCATTGCTCTATTGTTCTTGAGAGTAGGTAATTGACATTTAGCATTGCTCTGTTGACATTGAGAGTAGTATTTTGACATTCACATTGCTCTGTTGACATTGGGAGTAGGTATTTGACATTAGGATTGTTTCTGCTGACATTTAGAGTAGGTTATTGACATTAAGCATTGCTCTGTTGACATTGAGAGTAGGTATTTGACATTAAGCATTGCTCAGTTTGTTCTTGAGAGTAGGTTTATTGACATTTAGCATTGCTCTGTTGACATTGAGAGTAAGTATTTGACATTTAGCATTGCTCTGTTGTTCTTGAGAGTAGGTAATTGACATTTAGCATTACTCTGTTGACATTGAAGTAAGTATTTGACATTTAGCATTGCTCTGTTGACATTGAGAGTAGGTATTTGGCATTTAGGATTGCTCTGTTGACATTGAGAGTAGGTATTTGACATTTAGCATTGCTCTATTGTTCTTGAGAGTAGGTATTTGACATTTAGCATTGCTCTGTTGACATTGAGAGTAGGAATTTGACATTGAGCGTTGCTCTTTTGATCTTGAAAGAAGGTATTTGACATTAAGGATTGCTCTATTGTCCTTGAGAGTAGGTATTGTTCTTTGTCCTCGAGAATAGGAATTTGACATGATTGTAACATGGCTCTATTGGCCCTAACAAAAGTTAAAAGACATTTTGCTTTTCTTTTAAGTTAAAAATTTTAGGTGGTAAATGATCACCCTTCTAATACTGAAAAGGGGGCATATGTGTTGTTCAACATTTGTTGTTGTTGTTTTTTTTTCTTATTTTTTCTTTTTTAAGAGTTGTTTAAAGCTTTTGTTTCCTTTAGAAAAAGTTGTTTACTGTTTACTGTTGTTTACTTTTCTGTTATAATTAGTAACTATTTTATATTTAGTATTATTTTTGCAGAGGATTCTGTTGTTAGTGTTATATATGTAAATAAATAACAAATGAATCAGTATGTTTTTATTTTATTATCGCCTAGCTGTGTCTTAATATAATACAATGCCAAACAATCTGGCACAATATTCGGACAAAATCAATATACATGTACATGTAGTAACTATCTGTTGGCAAGTTAAAGTGACATTATGCCCATCCACATGTAAATGGTCAGTGAATAGGTGGAAATAAAAATAGCTCAACATTTTGGCAATAATTGTGTTCAATAATCAATTTTATATTTTACTGTGTAAAAATTAAACAATAATCCATGTGACCGACAGAATTTCTATAAATGTTGTTCAAATTGTAATGCTCTGCTCAATTCTTTGAAAAAAAAGTTGGGCAATATTTTAAATTTAATTTAGATAGCTTTTATATTGTATCATACACATTTTTCATTTCTATTTTTGGTCAATCACCATTATCATAACAGATATATTACTCATTTACTGCAAATTGACAGGGAAAATATGAGCATTATGTCACTTTAAACTTAATTATTATAAATATAGCTATAATTAACTGATATCTTGAATTCACTACTTTGCGTAAGGATATAACATTGTAACCCATGTCGGTTATGTAATCCAAGAATTGTGTTCTTTGAAGCATATTCATCTGGTTAATTAAGCATTATTTCTAATAAATTTCAAATATTTAAAAAATCTACATAGCTTTAATTTATGGTTTATGGGTACCTGGCTAATGTTTGTGTACCAAGATAGAGATGTTACCTGACTCCCTATACCTGGGTACTCGAGTACTTGTCCAACTCCCCCGCCCCAACTCTACATGTTTTTGCGTAAATATTTGAAACAGCCAATGAAAAACATACAATAATTAACCTCCTTAATTTGCTGAGTCATACCTATTGATACTATTGTAATTGTGTTGTGTTCTCTTTATAGGTTCCCCCTGGTACCTGGTAGTATGCTCCAATGTACGAGACTCTCTTTTTGTTGCCCTGTCATTGATGTTGAGATATTCAACCAACCAAAATTCTCACCCCCCTCCCACCATTTTGTTGGAATATTCGCATATGAGAATCAATTCTAATTAAGGTCAATCATTTCATCAGTAATTTCTAATGCAATCCATTTTGTGTGTGCATCATGCATATTTTTATACTATATCATTATGACTCTACAATACAACATATTTGGTAAAGAATATTCAGGAACCTTGTAAATTTTTAAAGAAGCTTGCCATTTTCAATTATCATTTTTCTCAAAAATTTCTGGTCAATGTTAAAAAAATCTTAAAAGAACTCCAATGCGGTCTAAAGGCTTTAAATCATTAAATCTAAATTTCAGAAAGACATGGTAGTTCTACTCAAGTGCCTGTTCGTGCCTGAAATAATGCACGGAAGGGCACCCGAGGTCTTCCTCCACCAGTAAAGCTTGAATGTCGTGATTTGACCTACACTGTGTTGATGTGACGTAAAACCCAAAACAAACAAACAAATCAGAAAGACATGCAAAGTATAATTAAGAAATATACTCGGAAATAAATTGAAAATCACATTTTTGTGCTATTCTTAGCCTTATGTGAAAAACTTTGCAATGATAATAAATTTTTCACACAATATATTGGTCTAGAATTACATCAAATGGAACATTAATCTCAAAAAAAAATTTCCACTCCTGTCATGTCAAAAGGCCTCAGTGGAGTCCCTTTCAATGGTCACTATTTTGAAATGTATACATATAGGTTTGTTTTAGCATAAACATGTATACATTTATTTACATCCGTGGATTTACATCCATGGTTTTAGGAAACTAGTTATGGATGGTAATTAATTCATGGTTTACTTTACAATTGTTTCTAATTAAATGATAAGCAGCGTATAAAGATACATCTTATGAAATATTTTTATAAAATTTATTAGCAAAAACATTATATTGTTTCCATACTCTTGATTCACGAAAGAGCTGTAACACAGAATGTCTGTTATTTAATTAATACATATGTGTATTGTATGTGAAGAGAATAAATTTGAGCCGCGTCATGACATAACCAACGTAATGCGTTTGCGACCAGCATGGATCCAGACCAGCCTGCGCATCCACACAGTCTGATCAGGATCCATACTGTTCGTTTACAGACCCTATATCAAGTAGAGAATCTGATAGCGAATAGCATGGATCCTGACCAGACTGCGCGGATGCATGCTGGTCGCAAACCCATTATGTTGGTTTTGTTGTGACACGGTTCAATTATTATGCTGGTATTTTACTTAGCTGTTAAGCGATGATTTTATGCATTGGACATTTGCTTTTAAGACAATATACTATCTTATTTCCATACATGTAAACTTTTTTTGATGATCAAGTGGGAGATTTTTCTTCAAAAATAGGGGGATTTTAGAATTTGCAATAAACAAAGAAGAAAGTTCTGACATTAAAAATAGGTAGATTTTTTTAGTTTGTGAAAATTACAAAATACGCCAGGTTTCAAGAAAAATCTTTGAAAATATGGCTGCAGAAAAAGGGTGTTTCCCCCTAAAGGTGGGAGAGTTCACATGTATGTATTTCTTTCATTCAAGCACTTTGGAAGGATTTATTTTCAAAATTCAAACAACAATTTATGCAGCTGATACATGTATATAACTTTATTCACTTTAAAACACTGAATGTATTGTTTGGATATTTACAGTATGTTTAAATGGATTTATATATATGGCTCAATATATTGTATATTTTTATTGATCACATACCTATGCAGCTTTTACGATTCTGTAAAAATAGTATTGCACTGCCTTGCACTATATAAATGCGTGCAAAATGTTGGTAACAGAGTTACACTTTAGGTATGACAATGAAAAAAGGATTGTTTTAACTGCAAGAATAGTTCTTTTAAAGGCATGTGATAAATAAAGTATTATATTTCTGTAGGTTCATTACTAAATTTATTCAACTTGTTGAATAAAATAATATTATGTTTGCCAGAGGCTGACATAATTATATAATTTTAATCAAATGGTCTGTTTGATTTTTCTGGTCCCTTGAGATCATTGATTTCATCATGCCTAGAAGATTGAATACCACTAAAGACTGTACTAGGGGTTGTTAGGGATGGTGCACTTTTTTATTATCCCTAATGAACAGATTCAATCAAACCAAGTCTGCAATTTTCATGTAATTTTGTTGTCTTCATTACTTTTCCAGTGGTTATTAGATTATTTTTTCTGCCAAGTATATGACCTAAACTGTGTTTGTGCGCCATAAAACCAAACCAAACAAACCAAAATTGTCCGGGTTTAACAGCGTTATAACACATTGTTGGTCACATCATCATGAATTCTATAATTATAAAGCTGTAGTTAGTTAATCAAATAATACTTTCCTAAAGTTTTATGACCTTTCACAAATACAAGAGAACACAATAAAAACAAAAATCTCATAAAAATATTTCTACAGGTAGTATATATTCTTTATCTGCCACATCATACAGTTTTTATTTTATTAGCACTTTCAGTAGTTTTTTTATTTCCAGACATTGGTACATCTTCATCCCCTTCTACAAACATATCTTCACTGGCAGATATATCTACTTTATCTTCGTTGATCTGTCCCGCCACATCGTCCGCCGCACTGTTATTTTTATCCGAGTGTAGCAGGTATGTTATAAGGTTCTCGTATACGATGAATGTTATACAGCAAGCTGGAGTAACTCGTAACAAAGCTGGTATCAGGCCTTTATAGAAACCATACACACCCTCATGTCTGAAAATTCAATAGAATTCTATCTATCTAGGTTTTTACTTAATTAATTTTTTTCACATTAATCCTTAGTAGCATTGTTTAATGAACGTGCCATGTCTTGAATTTAAAACAGACAATGTTATTTTATGGTATGGCTTTCATATCAACAAGCCCTGCCATTTGAAACAGACAAATATTGTTCCATACCCATGCATATATTCATGCGACGTCATTTGCGTTACACAAACATAGTGTAAAGACGCGCTAAATGTTAGTGTTACACTATAGGTCCGTCCATGAAAAATGATTCCTTTTCCCTTTAAACTCTTTATTGGTATGTGATAAAAATTATATTATATTCGTGTAGGTTCAATACTAAATCTATTGAACTTGTTGAATAATATTATATTATGCAAGCCTCAACCATATTATTTTACACAAATTGAATAAAATTATTATGGTGGACTCTGGCTAGCATGATATCATTTTATTCAACTTGTCAAATAGTTTTAGTATTGAATCTACACTTATTCAATATCCTATATATAGACTTTTGGTTGGAAATAACCAAATTGTTGGAATACGTTTCTACATTATATAAATTATGATGATAGACTGAAATGTTCACCCAAGTCAAGTGACATGTCAACAGAGGTGTGACAGTATCTTGTCACGGGTGAACATAATGTTCTATCATCAACAGTGAGATATAATATTTATCTCATTATATCTAACATATCTTTGTGACTGAGGGGTTGCCTTAAATGGTTGAGACAAAAGAATTGCAATAAGAGGTGACTAAATGGGTTTGAGAAACTGGAGTCTATACATCACCAAGCTCCAGGAGCTTGGGGGGTTGACCCCTGGTGTTGCTTTGAGGTTTGTTACATGGTTAGCCAAAATCATCTTTCCTGTTTCAATACCACATGACCTTAACTGTATTGGCGAGCCAAAAACCAAACAAGAACAAGACTGACACCTCAAAACATAACAACTAAAACTTTAAAACCTAGCACTCACTAGGCACCTTAGTGTTGTTTTGGTAATGATGGTGTGTGACATACAGACTGTTACCCCCTGACATATACAATCTGTTTTGGGAAAAATTTTTTCATAAACAGGTAAAAATAATGGGGGCCCGACAAAGGAAAAATAAAACTAAGGGGAGAATTTTTAAAAAGACATACCCTTTAACATTTTGGGGTAATGAATAAATTCTCAATAAGCATATGTCCTCAGCATTTGTCCATACTTTGATCAAATACATGATTATTCTATGAGATATGTAAGACTGGGACCTCTCACTGCTGTTGGTTTAAATCCTGCCTGATATTATAATTTTCGATACTTCACAGTATTTGGCGATATAAGGAATACGGTTCTACTTAAATGTCCCCTCATGTACACATGGAGGACCAATACACACCTCTCAGAGACTCTGCACCAGTAAAGCTGCAAAACTGCAAAATGAACTTTCTCAGTGCCAATGTGACTTGAATACTTTCTAGAAAGTAGTAAAATCTGACATATTTTTTAAAAGCATTGTTAATCTCTTTAATTTCAAGATTATGTAAAATCCACAGACTTGTATTTGTTGCAATGAAAAAACAACACAATACAATCATGTATTGTAATACACCCCTTGTCATGTATTTTGGTTTAACGTGAAGGAAAAAAATGATGCCCTTTTTTTCATTTTGGTTTAACATTAAGATAAATTGATGCCCTTTTATTCGTTTTGGTTTAACGTGAAGATAAAATGATGCCCTTTTATTCATTTTGGTTTAAAGTGAAGATAAAATGATGCCCTTTAATTCGTTTTGGTTTAACGAGAAGATAGAATGATGCCTTTTTTATTTGTTTTGGTTCAAGTTGAAGATAAAAGATGCCCTTTTATTTTTTTCTTTTTGGTTTAACTTGAAGATAAAATGATGCCCTTTTATTCGTTTTGGTTTAACGTGAAGATAAAATGATGCCCTTTTATTTGTTTTGGTTTAACATGAAGATAAAATGATGCCCTTTTATTTGTTTTGGTTTAACGTGAAGATAAAATGATGCCCTTTTATTCATTTTGGTTTAACATGAAGATAAAATGATGCCTTTTTATTCGTTTTGGTTTAACATGAAGATAAATGATGCCCTTTTATTTGTTTTGGTTAAACGGTACATTGACACATAACTTGCCAAACCGCGACATGATTCTGTATTATTTCAGTATTGTTCATCAACTTATATCACTTTCTATAACACTGAGCATAAAAACAGATGTTCAGACTGGAATTGAAATGAAATAACAAATTAAACAATACTTTTCTATTTCAACAATCTGTATTTTTCGACATTTGTAAAATACGAAGACAAAAGAGAAAATTTAAAAAAAAAGCATTTTCACAAAGTCATACATATACCATCTTCAATATAATAATTTGAACACACAGGGAGGTGAATATATCACATCACTGCTCAACAAGGGCACCAAATGCGGTGTTAACGCTCGTCTGTTAAAAATTTTTAGCTAAAAAAGGGGCTTAACTCCAAAAGAATAGCTTTCAGAATTATGCCCCTTGTCTAACAACTGTATATTGTCATGCTAAGTAAGTACAATGTTTCATGTCTCAAATTTCAAAATGTTGGAACATTAAAGTTTTGTCATGACAACAACAACAACGACGCAGCAATCGTAATAGCTCAACTTTTCTCTTTGGAAAAGACAAGCTAAAAATACAATGTGATTCTAATGATACAGGCTACATCGTACATTTTTCTAATAGTACAACAAAACAAATAAATGCAAACTAATTACAATTCAACCCAGTAGGCTCTACATTCCTTTCTATAAAACATGTGTAAAACATAGTTATAACAACAGTACTGTAATTTTCCTAATTCGATTATGTTCTATACATAGATATTATGATATTTGTAAAGTATTACAAATAAAAGTATAGTCACAATACATTGTGAAAAGTGCCCAAATAAATCATGGAAGAGAAATCTAAAGAAGCTTACATAAATGCTTTTGTTAACTAGACGCGAAAATTAATGAAAGTTTATTAAGATACACTTTTTTCATTATCCATCATGTACAGACTCGATCAAACCGAGACTGTAACTTCCATGTAATTTTGTTGTAATTAACACTTCCGAGGGATCACTCCTTTCTCCAGATCTTAATTCTAGCACCAGATTTGAAGATTTAAAGTAAAGTATCAATCTTGTGTTTACAGACCAGTGTACAGTCTGGTATTCGAAAGATTTGCAGTACTTTTTTTCTCCAAATGAATCTGTTAAACAGACAGGTTACCAGTGACAAAAAAAATTTCTTCCTAACCAAATTGGTGCTTAAAAATTTCTAAATGACTAGAAAACTTTATTGTAAAGCTTATTTCTCTCCCAATTTTATCTTATTTTATCAAAAATCAAAAAATGTGGATCAACATGCTCCGAAACTGCTTAACATGATCTATATTTTCATTATAAATGCTTTTCTGTGTTTAATTTGATTTTTACATAAAAAATTAACAAGGCATGAAAACTAAATCAATATCTTCACAAAACACATAGGAGTCGCGTCACGACAAAACCAACATAGTGCGTTTGCGACCAGCATGGATCCAGACCAGCCTGCGCATCCACACAGTCTGATCAGGATCCATGCTGTTCGCTAACCAACTCTATTACAAGTGGAGAAACTGACAGCGAACAGCATGGATCATGATCAGACTGCGCGGATGCGCAGGTTGGTCTGGATCCATGCTGGTCGCAAACCCATTTTGTTGGTTTTGTCGTGATTCGGCTCAATTAGATACTTTTATTATCAAATACTCAAATACTACTTTTACAAGAGATTTTTTTTATATACAGAGATTCATTATAAACAAGCAAATTAATTGGATTCCCTGATAATCAACACAAAAATCTAACCAACTTTACTTACTGGTACATGTACGCATAAACATAATATCAAAACAGTTGAAAATTTCAAGTTACTTTGTCCACAATAAACTAAATGGAAAAATGGACAAGTGTTGAAATCCTCTATTACCAACACATATGATAAAATAATTTATTTAGGACATAAAAATATTCTGTCTCACAGAGACTGGATAAAAATATATACAAAGGTATATAGAGGAATACACCAGTTTTAACAAAGCACCTGAATTTCACATTTCCATTTATTTCCATAAATACCAGGAATAAATACACATGATTCTAATAATGCCAGGTGGGTCATTAAAATTTAAATATAATTGTGGTACATTTTTATTGCTTGACATTAAATTTTACTGATTAAACAATATCAGAGTAAAAAAATAATTTTTCACACATTGTATGGCCTACCATAACTTTTTTGACGTCTAAATCTCTATAAAACAATAATTAACAATTTCAATCCATGATTATTATTGAAACAGATGCCTCAGTGAAATAGTTAATGCAACAACAAAAAGTGTACAAAAAAGAAGTTTTTGACTAGGATAATAGCATCTGATTGCAGGCATTCAAATCCATATTCCAACATTTAAAACAGTGTCTCAATTACAGGGCAATAACTGGATAGAAATTGACACTGTCACACATTTTACAATATTTGGTGGGTACTATAAAATTATCATTTTCCCACTTTAAAAAACATGAAAAATTTAATCTAATACCCATTTTTAATAAAATTTTTTCTTGGCAAAAAATTAAAGGAATGGTCACCAAAAAATCATTTTGCAGCATTGTTAAATTATACATATAAAAAAAATAAATTTGATAATATATATGTGGGTCTATTTAAGTGAATACAAAATCCCCGCCATACAAAAAAATTGATATGCATAAAGTGTAACATATGAAAATACTGATTTTAAAGTTACTACATAATAAAAGGTAAACCCCAAAAATGTTTAAAAATATACCTTTAAACCCATTACTTTAAAAAAACGTGTGAGTCGTGTAACCCACAAATTATGTTACACATATAACATGCCACATTTCTTACATGCAGCATGTTATACAACATATATCATATTATAATATGCAAGACACATAACATATTAAAACACGTTCTAGACGACCTTTACACACTTATTCTTGCACATTCTAGTCTGAAAGACATCAGGGATATAGACTGTATATCAAAATATCCGTCCTTGCGATACCTCACCCAGAGCGCCATCTAGTGTTTAACCCCATCATATTTCTTCATGTCACTTCACAATGTAATCGTCACAAGTTCCTTAATGCCACTTCACACATTAGAAGTCACTATAAATCACTTTATCACAAGTTCGTGAAGAAATAATGAACCTTAAAAAACCTCTTATAATTTAATAGCCCTTCCTTCACCAGAATTAAGTAGAGTTCAACTCTGTCTATAAAAACATATTGGCACTCTCATTTCACATTTCAACTTCCACTCAGGAATTAAAACAGCACCTGTAGTTCACACACAAAAAAAATAACGAAACACAAAAAAAATTTTCCATGTCCCAAAGCTCAAGCACTGGAAAAAAAAAGAAATTTACATATTATTAAATCCCCGTTTTCTTCGTATTAAATTTCTGGGCTTTTGAAAGTTTTAAACAATATATAAAAAACAAGTTTAGGAATGTCTTTATTGAACTCACTGTATTTCATCGTCTATATTTACACCCGTCTTGTCTTGAGTGATTTGGCACTAACTTTTGTAAATGGTCTTGTCGGTTTTCCACGTTTTCCAGTTTATCACATATTCATAAATCATAAACACGATGCAAATGTTAGGGGTCACGTGCCATAAGTATACTGACATCCCCTTGTAGAGGCCCCTTGCCCCTTCATACCTAGATAAACAACAAGGTGTGAAAACACATTCTACAAACATGTCATATCAAGGGAAATAATTCATACAAATATATATATAGAAGAATATGAATATTTACAACATGTTAAAGGGACTCCACTGAGGTTTTTTGACATGAAATGACAGGAAATATTTTTAAAATGTTTTTGTATCAATGGATGTTGGTCTTGACCAATAACTTGTGTACAAAATTTCAGATCATTCGCTTACACTGTTTCCTATGAATAATCAAATTTATTGTGCAAAATGACCCCAAAATGAATATTTTTCACTCAAATCGGCTAAAAAATCTCATGAAAATTCATATATCATCCATTGCAGAGTTTTTAATTTTAAGAGTGCCAGTTGAGTTTTGAATTTTTTTTTCAAATTTTATAATTTTAGGCTATTGATCCTCGGTGGAGTTCCTTTAAAGTAGTGTTATATATACTTGAAAACTCTCTGAATGTTCAAGACATGAATGACTTCCCCCTGGTTTGGCACACCAGTATAGAGCCAAACCAGCCTGCACATTCATGCAGTCTGACTAGGCTTTACACTCTCAGCTGTCAAAGATTTAAGATAATATATTCCTTAACCCTTGAAATCCCTTGGAATTTAATAATGAAAGTTCTGAATAGAACTGTGTAAATTTTGCTTGGTAAAAATTCAGTATGTTGTACATAAACTACTCTTCAGTTGATGAATTTATCTCCATTGATTTGACATTATTATAAATTGTGTTTTCCTACAAAATGCACAACATATCTTACTGTAACGTTATCATAATTATTTCAGTAAATTATATCACATTATCATATGAGTCGCGCGATGACAAAAAAAACAAAGTGCATTTGCGACCAGCATGGATCCAGACCAGCCTGCGCATACGCGCAGTCTGATCAGGATCCATGCTGTTCGCTTACAAACCCTATAACAAGTAGAGAAACTGATAGCGAACAGCATGGATCCTGATCAGACTGCGTGGATGTGCAGGCTGGTCTGTATACATGCTGGTCGCAAACGCACTATGTTGGTTTTGTCGTGAGGCGGCTTATCATATCATATCAATTCCAGTCTTCATAATCCTTAAATTTCATTGTATCCAATGTACAATAACATGGATATATGGTTTAAGAATAAAAAAATATGATGAAACAATTCACAAATGTCCCATTCGGAAATTTCTTATTTAAGATGTACTGTTTACACCTAACCTTACTAATTCCTTTTTTACACTATGATTATTATTTTTTAGTTGGGTTTCAAGTCACATGAACATCATTAAGGTCATATGGCAACATTCAAGCTTTATGTATTCAATGCTTAATGAGGGTTATCCTTCGGCCCTTTCAGGCACTGAGAGTACAGACCCCGCATTCAAGCTTTACTTGTGGTGTACCCCTCCCCTGCATAATTTCACGCATGAGTGGGCACCCAAGTCAAACTGTAAACTATCTGAACAGCTTTCTCAAATGAAAGAAACTACAAAGTTCCTGGCAGGATTTTAACTTACAGCAATGAGAGGCAAGTTGTTTGAAGTTGTGGAACTTAACCACTTCGTCTGGGGCACCCTTTAACCCACACATGAAACCCCCAATAGTATTTTTTCTATTTTTATTGAATGTATATGGTGTTAAATAGCACAGTGACCAGTCACATAGAGAAATAGCACTAGCTTTAAAGCACTCCTTAAACATTACAGTTTTGGGCATAACTGAAAGCAACAGTCTTCAACAAAGGCTAGATTCTTAAAGCATCACACCTCCTAGTTCACAGGTTATTTTGGTTGTAAATTAAGAAATGATTTTAATATAGTTAATATATTGTCTAGCATTTCTAAAAATATTTTAGGTAGTTTACAGAACATTCAAACAGGTTAATTTACCTAAACCATGTGTCAAAATAGTTGTAACTTCATTAGTAATATGGAGAAAAAAATTTGAGGATAAAATAGTTAATTCAAATAGGTATTACATGGACTACACGTAATAAGGTTTGTTACAATGTAACTCTTAGAATTTTTTCCCCCCTCAGTTTGATTGTATTTTATATTTAAAATTTGATAAAGCGTGAAGAGCCCTAATTTACTAAAATTTAACTGGAAATTGGACTCTTACTTGAGAATTTTTTGAACGACATCGATGACTCCACTATAGCTAACATGTTGGTCCTGTAGTCGAGCTCGTAGCACCTGGTATGGATACGTGATACAGGCGGCTATAATCTTAGATACCGCTGCAAACGAAAGATATTCTACTGTAGTCTGAAAACAGAAATAACAATATAAATATTTTGTTCAGAAAAAAATCATTTATTATATAATTATAAATGAAATATTGATAAAATAAAATGCATATTTCCATTTTCCGTATTTTCACTGTAAAAGTTTATTTTTCACTAGTGAAACATATTTTCCATAATTTCACTGGTGTCTTGCCGGACTATTTTCTTCTAAATTCAGCCAATACACAAAATTTAAGAGGGAGAGGGAGTCTTTCAAATTGTAATGTCTAAATAGAGAATCATTGGATTGGGAAAGAATCGTCCGCTTTACTAATTCAAATATAGAGCAGACCACTAGATTATTGGTATCGAGGTGTTTTCTTTTTTGATTATGTATTTAATAGTTGGTAAATTTCATTTCCACCTTAATTCTTTTGATTTGATGATTATATACATCAATTTATCTGAAAATAACATATTTAACCTTAGAAAAGCTGAAAGCCACTTTAATGAATCCAGTATTACTGTATTACGACAATAAGTATATATAATTATAATGTGTATATAAGTATACTCAAGTAACAGATTACAAGTTACTTTCATAAAAACATACTAATCCATATTAAATCTTGCATGAAATAATCTAACACAAACATCGCGTAACATAATACATTAAGTATTAAACCATATTTACCATTTACAATACACTAACACATTTTAAATAATTAATAACATTACAATGGTACAATGTCTGTTTAACGCTAAAATCATTAACAAAATTAAATAATGCACTTGGTAATTTCACTCAATATATTAATATAAATCCACGGATCAAAATCTAGCTTCTTTATCAATGTATAATTCTATTTAAGTATCAATAACTTAAAACTTGACGTAATATATTAAATATAGCCTCAGAAAAAGGTACAGATTTAGATAATAAGATTTTTCCTCTTCTGACACTAAAATGAGAATACAAAATGTATTAATAAATTTTATCATACTTAAATTGAAAATTTACTGTAGCTTCAAGTTTACAATATGGCAAAATTTTAAAACAACAAATTATAGCAATTATATACAAACCAACATAGTGGGTTTGCGACCAGCATGGATCCAGACCAGCCTGCGCATCCGCACAGTCTGATCAGGATCCATGCTGTTCGCTATCAGTTTCTCTACTTGTAATAGAGTTGGTAAGCGAACAGCATGGATCCTGATCAGACTGCACGGATGCGCAGGCTGGTCTGGATCCATGCTGGTCGCAAACCCATTATGTTGGTTTTGTCGTGACGCGGCTCAAATTATAGCAATTATATACAAACCAATCTTGTATCAACTGGTCTATTCTGTCTTTGGTTATAATAATTCTTCATTTCCTCGTACGTCATAAACTGTATGGCACCATGTGATATACCAAATACACCTGGTACAAAACCCTGAAAAAATATTCATATCGTAACTTTTTATGAATTTGTAAATATAAAGTTAAAAAATTTCATATCTTTATATACAAAACCCTGAAAAATATCAATATCACAAATTTTATGTATAATTTGTAAACTTGCAAGTTCACAATTTTAAATTGAAACTAGAATTGATTTCTATATTCAAACTAACATTACACTTGTAAGTTAAATTTCATCTCTTTTTATTATACATGTAACTGTAATACAGGAATGTTTTTGGTATAAATGTGTGAAATGAGTCATTTGATATTTATTACATCCCCTCAGCATGCCACTGTTTAAACTACACATGAATGAAAGAATTGTATACAAAATCTTAACATTGGGAAGCCAAATATAAATGAACATAATAAATAGTCAAATTTTAGTTAATATATACAGATGATATCACACAATCTTAAGTGCGATAGAGTTAATATAAAATACTTTTGTCCGAAACTTTTACTGTATAGTCAAAGATGTGTTAAAGACAACTCATAATAAAGGCCACCCTGTGAATAAAAGACCACTCTCCAACAAACCTTCATTGATTAAAACGAAAATAATTGCTTCCAATTAAGGACGACTTGTCTGTAATGGTCATATTCAGTCACTACTTTAGATGGTCTTTACTCACAGGTGTGACAGTATATCATAATAATTATGTAATACATTTAATGTCCATGCAATCATTCTTTCTTGTCTGTGATGACAGACTGACTTTTTTTTTCTTTATAATAACGGCACCAAAGTTACATAATGTTTAACAAAAGTCGCTCATTTTCATGTTAACAAGTTTTGTTTTACAGAAAAAAACAACAACAAAAACAATAAAACTGTCAACATCAGCAAATTAAAACCTCTACCAGCTGTTTAAATGACTCATGTTAAAGGGTACCATCAACTATTCATGACAGTTTCCCAAAACATAACCACTATCTGCAGTAATCTGGCAAGTGTTTTTTCCCCCCTATCTTAAATGATTCACATAATAAATTTTGGCCGTGTTCCTATATTTGAACTACTGTGACAGGACATGAAAATAACCTGCACTGATTTTTTCTTAGAAAAAAAAAAATCATATCCTTAAATGTTGGCCTTCAAAGGTTTTAAAGATACAGAAATTATTATTTTAGTGACATTAACTTCTCATAATGTAATGTTTAATTGATCATAGATAGTCAATAAATTTAGAATCTATGCAATTTGCAATTTTAATGGCAAATAGGCAATTTGTTATAGCAAAACTGTATTAATACTGGGTGTAAAAATTGACAAGACATTTAACACATTCAAGAACTCCCTTTGAAGCCTTAAGTAGGAAATTTAGCTTCGTAATTTCTGTATTATTACCAAAATGTACCCAATTAACAATAAAGTACATTTTTTATTAACAATATCGATACTTTATAGTGAAAATCCTTACATATGCACAATAAACATGACAAGCAGATTTTAAAATATAAATTAACCGTGTCATGACAAAACCAACATAATGGGTTTGCGACCAGCATGGATCCAGACCAACCTGCGCAACCGCGCAGTCTGATCAGGATCCATGATGTTCGCTTTCAGTTTCTCTATTTGTTATAGAGTATGTAAGCGAACAGCATGGATCCTGATCAGACTGCGCGGATGCGCAGGCTGGTCTGGATCAATGCTGGTCGCAAACGCATTACGTTGGTTTTGTCATGACGCGGCTCAAATTAACAATTATATGACAATTTAATAACTCTTGTTCATTTCATTATGAGAAAATTCACACACATTTTCTAGAATGTTAACAGACAGTATTCCATCATAAATAACTGTTTTATAACTTAGTGTCTAGTTAAAATGTCTATTTGTATCATGCATGGCAAAACATAATAGTTTGTAACTTGTAGATACCCTACATTTACTAAGTCTAATATTACAATATAAACCAAGTAAAGTACACTTTCAAAAAACCTTTAAACCTTTAAAGCTGCATGCCTTAAGATGAGCCCAAATATTTCAAGAAAATCAAATCAGAGAAAATGATTTAAAGATTTTAAATAAAAGAAAATAGATTCAAGATTTGAATAATGATTTACATGTTATGTGTGATTAATGACTGATTTCTCAATATTAATCACCATATTTCTACTGCATGACTAACACAATTAGGGCTGATCTTGCATATATTGAATTTGACCTCATTTTTTGGTATTATTCTGGATTGTACGTACCATTTGCATTGTGTAAATTACTTTCTTTGTTCACTTCACAATATTTTACTTTTAAAAACATTTTCAAAAATTTTCATGAAAATTAGTATGAATCTGGAGGCAGACTGCTTTAAAAATATGAAAACAGCTACCAGTGCCCTGTTTTAAAAGTATATTAACTGACAGGGTTCTGCAAAAGTGGTTGATTACCTGTTATGGTAAAAACTGCAGAGGCCAGCGATTTCTCTACCCCTGTGGGTCTATTCTAGGTTTTGAAAAACAGGGGGGGATTTTTATCGAAAAGTGAGAATTTATTACATTTGTTGATTTTTTCCTTAATTCTCTATGTAAAATTTTCCGCCTGCCTCTGAAGAAATAGGGGGGAATTCTCAAAAATAGGGGTGAATCCCCCCTCCTAGAATAGACACTGGTGGGTAATTGAAAAGCACAATAAACCTGTCATTAATTAGTGACAAGCTTATAAACAGTTGTATACATTAAGACCACAATGATCCGGTTTGCATTGTATGCACTATTTATCCATGTAGTATATGAAATGACTCAATATTCCACGATCTTATTATCTTCTAAGATCTTGGAAATTGTTATTTGTTTTTATCTTATATTTAGGAGTGTATTACATTTTGTGTGCATTCAGGACAAGCGAATGTACAGTAACATTTTAGTATCCTATTCAATGATTAATTTAAATGTACTGTATATTTCTGTATGACAAGACACAATAAAGCTTTTGTTTAACAGGTGTCATTTCTATTTATAGCATTTAGCTGAATACGTACTGTTAATATCAAGTTACAAAATATGTACCTTCTTTACCTGTGACAACTAATATACAATAATATTTTACAACTATAACAGTCACAATTTTAAGTGTGTCCATTTTCAGTGAGAGTGCAACAATGCACACATCAACTCTTTCTTTTCTTTTTTTCTTCTTTTTTTTTAATATATTAAATAATTTAAGTTGTAAACTATAGGTATTACCGATGTCCATAATTTCAGGAAATTCAAAAGTTACTTTAACTAAATTTGATCTAAAACTTTTGCATCAGCGTTTACAAACAAGACACATAATAATTGTTAGTAAGTTGTACAGATACCACAGAGTATTTATTTTACTAAATCATTTAAACAGGTATGAAAAAAAAATACAAACAAGTAATTCTAAGTAATTAATAAATATCTTGGTGTTCTGTTGTTATAAAATTTGTCATCCAATATAATTACATGTATATAGTGTCAGTATGCTTTACATTGAATCAATGACAGCTCTAGTGTCTATGATATAGAATGTTGTCACCTTTGCTGAGCTGATATCTACCTTGTAATGAATTTTAAAACAATTTTGGACTACTCAAGTCAAGTCAATTTTATTTATAAATCGGATTCATATAACAATGGTTGCATGTCACAGCTTAGAATTACAGGTATTAAGTACTGTTTGATTTTCAACTAATCAACATGTCACAATGAACAAACAAGTAGGTAAACTGCATGCTTTTCACACATTTGATGATTCAACACATCTGAGCGTCACATTTATTTGTGATTGTACTTGCCTTGTTCATTATTTTATGTTTGGTGAAAAATACAAATGACCCCCTCAAGTGTTTTAATGAAGTTAAAATGAAATAAAGGGATGGCAAATTGTCTATATATGAATTTTAGGGTTCTATATTACTAACTACACACTACAGTCCCAACTGAAACCCCCTTAAAATAACTGTAGGCAGTTCCAATGTCAAAGATGTTAGGTCTTTTATACAAATTAAACAGGATTACTATAATTACATAATATATATCCAAATATCAATTATTGGAATTCACTTTTCTTGAACATAAAATTTTGTGGTTTTGTAACAAAGAATATTTTCGTGGGTACTTAAAATTTGTAGACGGTTTACTTTTCCAAAAGGTAAAATGTAAATAATGTAATGCATAATCTAACAGCAGACGAAATGAAATTTCATTGGCTCTTAAATTTGTGGATTAACCTATCAACGAAAACCACGAAAATAAGTGCCCCACGAATAATAATAATTTTACAGTACACATACCTTATACAAGCCTCTAATGCCCTCATATTTATATAGTTTCACTAGCGCATCTATAGTACCATTGTATTTTATACAGTCTGTAGGTCGACTCTCGTACTGTAAACAGAGGCGCGTCTTTGCTACCCAGATTGGATTGGTCAGTACTAGGGTTAACAAACCTGAAAAACAAATTTGTTTATTAAGACATTTAAACAAGAACTTATATGACAGAAGGACAAGAAGCTCTAAAAATAGAAAATTTTTCCAATTCTGACCCACAATCCCTTACATAAGTGTGAGATGCATTGGACCTTGGAGTTGATCAATTTCCGCCATCTTGCTTTACGTAACCAAATGTGTTTACATTTTCATCCTTGACTGAGAATAACTGACAACTTTTTAATCTTTATTGTTTGTTGTTTTTCTTGTTGTTTTTTTTTGTGGTTGTTTTTTTTACATTTTTGCAACTTCTTTCCATTACGATAACAAATTTTAGATAACAAAGCTGCGTACAGTGGTTTTTTTTTCAATTTTCAAAACAACCTGTGGCTTTCTGAAGGGGAAAATATAGCCCGATAAATCAGAAAAGGAAGAAATCAAATTATGGAATTTACCCACACATTTTTGTAAAATTTTCAATTTCAATTCAATTTAACATGCATTGTACATAGCGGAGGCTATCTATAGGGACAGCATTCTGTCTTTTAGCTGCTGTTAAAGTTGTTCTGGTGAAGAATGTGCACAAGGCATTTAAGGGGAAGATATTAGCATTTTTAGGGGAAAATATACCTATTTTAGGCTAGGGGAAACAGCCTTTATTTGGCTGTAAAATTAAGGGAAAAAAATCACTGGCGTACATATCAATAAATGAAGGAATAATCCTAAAACATTTATAAGAAATAACATGATATAACTTAAAATAAGTCAGAATAAGCATTCATTATTACTTATTTATTTATAAGTAATAATAAATTAATAATAAAAATTTATATTTTTATTTGACTACAATCATGTTTCTCTTAAGTGATCAATATAAGACACAAGATTTTCTTTCGACCAAAATTGAGCTTAGATAAATATGCGCATTAAACTACCAATAAGCCACTTCTCAAGGACACTAGTTAATATGGCAGTACATATTAATTATTCTGTGGCACGAAAACAACAAAAAGATTACACAAATAAAGATTTACATGTACATAAATAAAAACATGCCTTAATCTACTCTCTAACCTTGAACCCCACATGGAATAAACAATCTGATAAGAGCTAGAATAGTAAAGAAATAATTTCGTTTTTTTTTTCATTTGTTATACCTTAGAGCCTGTATTTAGGAATTATGTCCTAAAAATAGGACAAGGTCAAGTATCATGTTCTAAATATTGGACAAGGTAGAGGAGAATCATGTACAAACTACATACAGGTGAAGACTTAAAACAAGTATATCAGAACTAACTGTTAAAGAGCTGAATAACCTAGTTTATTAACCTTTCCATAATCATGGGGAAATAAAGATGTAGCATTATTTTTGACTTTTTTAGATAATGTAGAACAGTGGACAACCTCACTAAAATATTCCCTATGGTCTTATATTGATTAACTAAGATTATTTCAATTATTGTAGTTCCTCTGGCATTGCAAATCACCAGAAAATAAACTAACATCCCTGGGGCGAAACATTTCTTCTTATTAATTCTCAATAAGTTTTTTGCTCTGATTAAAAAAAAAAACAACAGATTTTCCCTTGTTCCCTTTTCATAAGCAATGCAGATAAATTTCCCAAACGTTAACTAAGAGCAAGTGCTCCGCCTCGTTTTTGGCCAATTTATAAATGGTCTACGCTAACATTGATTGTCTCTGTAGTCAATACACTTTAACATTAGAGACTTTGGAAGATTCTAAATAAATCATTATATTCACATGACTTCAAATTTGAACCATTAAATCAACATCTTTCATTTTCATAAAAGAAAATGGTTTTCAAAGACCCAATTAAATTGTTCAAGTGCACACTCACTTTTATATCCATAAAATGCACATCAACTTTAAATGAAATTGTCCATAAAATTACACCCATTATGGCCATATATTAGATCATTTTGAACATTATTATAAACTGAAGAAATTACCTGCTTCTGAAGCTATCATGATATGTTTTGTGGCTCCCAGCGCTCGCCTCGTGTCCCCGTCCTGCATCCATGTTTTAATTGAGTTGTAACTGTATAATATAAATAAATAAATATATATATCTGATACAAAATACAGTGCAAGCAGTAACCTCTCTCTCAAGTACAATGGTTCGTAAATTACTGAGAACTCACTTAATTTTGTGGTTTTGTCACGAAGAACATTTTCGTGGTTCTTAAATTCGCAGACTGTTTATATTTCTGAAAGGTTAATAATCTTACAGCATTTTGTAATAAAAATTTCATTGATTTTTAATTCGGGGGGAACCAAACCCAAAAAATTATTTTCCCCTTTAAAATAAAAATAAATTTGGGCAGTAACAATTCAAAATTTGGGATTTCTGTAAAAACCAAAAGGGACTTTTTCCCCCAAAAATTTTGGAAAAGGGTTTGCTCTACTGAGGTTGTACAGGGCCTTTTCCAGCTATCTTTGGAAAAAATCTGGCAATATGAAAATTTGAGAAATTTTACACTATTCCTTTAAAGAAAAAGACGGTGAAATATGTTGAAGGAACTCCATTGAGGTTTAACAGCCTAAAAACATAAAATATGAATTTCTTACATAGATCAGCTATGACACTTAAAACATAACAATATGCAAAAGAAAATTAAAAATATACTCTGAAATACATTGATAATCGTATTTTTGCGCTATTCTAGAGAAAAGCATTACAATTTTTCAATTTTAAAAAAACAGATGGAGCGTATGAAATAATGATCTGAAATTTTGCACATAAGTTATTGTTCTAGACCTGCGTCAAATGGTATATTAATCTCAAAACATTTTTTTCAGTCTCATCATGTCAAAAAAAACAACCTCAGTGGAGTCCCTTTAATTTTATGATAACAGAATAATAGTAATGTTAAAAGACTTACAAGAAAAAGTAGAGACCCCAGGAGATACCTGCTCCCCATACATTTGGTGTCACACCCTGATACAACCCTGTGACACCACCCGTAGAAAATATTGAGCGTAATGCATGGAACATTCCCTGATACTGTGGTCGCTTAGCAACAGCCACCCCATAGCCCTCGTGAACTGAAATACATAACATATATATTTGTATTTTAATTAAACTACATGTATTAATTTATTACAAAAGTAACTGTATGCTTACAAATCATGGAGCATGTTTTTAATATATATCTTTTTTTTATGTTTAACCAAGCAATTTTTAATTTGGGATTCTTAAGCATGGACAATTGGTAGGCTTGATAGCATTCACATTAATTTGCATGCATTTGTTACATGTAAATTGAATAATTAAAAAGAACTGCACATGTAATAAAGCAATATTATATTATATTATGTATGTAATTTAAAATATTCATATTTTCCAGGTGATAACTAATACATGTGGAGAGATTCTTCTCATAGAGTCAAATATATAGATCTAGAATCAAAGTTGTTGGCAAAATCATTTTTTTATCAGTTAGAAATGAGCCAAGAATGTACATTTGGCTGTCAAAATCACTATTAGCAACCAGGTTCAGAAATCTTGCATCATCTTTTTTATGCACAGCACTATTTGTAAAGCAAATACATGTAGACACTACCTACCATGTTAATGTTAAAGTGCAGTGTATTGACTTGAAGGAGAAATAATATGTCATTCTATACCATGAATGACACATGGATTTCCCTATTGATTATCTATTCTTTAAAATGTGTACCATATAGACAATAGTCTATAGATCATGAGATGTTATTGTGATGAAGTGTTTGCTTGACAGTGTGAAAAATATGCAAAACAGGGAAATTTAGTAATATTGATTATTTTTCAATTCAAACTTCCTACTCGGTCCTAGTGGTGTGAAACTTTTTATTAAAAAAAAATAAAATAAAATAAAACAGGAAGCCTGGTGCATTGAAAATTGTTAAAAAAGCATTTTTTTCTCCTTTTTTTACATAATTATCATATATTGTGAATTTTCTTCTTAAACTATAAAAAAACTGATATGTACACAGTAATTTAAAAAGTAAAAACATTGAACTTGTGATTGACTAAAACAAACTTGATGGACAAAACTATAAACAAAAAAACATAGTTCTGGCTTCCATAACTTTATATGTCGCTTTTATTTTGACATTGTGCTACAGTACTATAAAACCTGTTCGCTGAAGTATCTTTAGCTATAAAAACATTAACTATCAACGCAATTATCTGAAATAAACAAAATCATTAACTATCAAAAAACTATCTGAAATTAACAAAAAAATTAACTTACTAGGTTCATTATGGAGCATTCTGTAGTATATTGTAAGAGAGGTGGATTATTTGGTGCAGTAAAATAATCTTCAGTAACCATTGTTGATCACCTTTCTTGGTGATTAACATCATAAGACATTGTCAAATTACCCAGACACATACACAATTTATCTAATAATTACAATTAAGCGCACACCAGAATTAAACAAGAACTACAGCAATTTTTTTCTTGATTTAAGTGGTTTCGAAAAATGAACCCATTCTTAAAGGGCACAACAGGTGGCATGTCCCATTTTGTACTCTCAGTGGCTGAAAGGGCAGATAGACCCTCATTGAGCATAGACATGGTCACCTTCACCTACATATATGTACATAACTGGGTCCAAAAGGTTCCAAGATTTTCAGTTACATGTACGCTTGACCGCACATTAAAATATTAAGATAATAACGATAATACCCAAGTTTGAATAACCATGTAATTATGTGTTTTAAGCGATTTCTATTCTAGGATTCGAAAAACAGGGGATTTTTATCGAAAAGTGAAAATTTATTGCATTTGTTGATCTTTTTCTTCTTTCTCTATGTAAAAATTTCTCCCTGTCCCTGAAAAATAGGGTTGAACTTGAATTCTCAAAAATATGAGTGTATCCCTCTTCCTAGAATAGACACTGTTTTAAGATGAGTAAATATAAATAACATACAGCTAACAATTAAATATTATAAATCTACATATTTAAGACCAGATGTTGTCAGTAGTCAAAATATATTGACGTGCAAAAGCTTCAAATCACAATGATTCCGAGATATTTTTGTGGGCAATCTCCTGGATTAGACCCCTATGTATTTTTCAGGTGTAAAACTTCTATATAATACACTAAAGAAAACGGAATGAACCTTATATATACTCCTGGTTTAGACCCCGGGTCTAAACCAGGATGCTGGGTCAGAATCTCGCTTGATATTCAGTTGATATTGCCCACACACGTTGTCAGATAATGATAATCTAGACTTTCGCCAACAGTGAATTACCTTAGAGTTTCTTCATGAAAATCTGAATGAGTATACTATAGTTAATGACATCACTTTTGGTGTAACACAATTCATGTACGGATTTTATTAATTGGCCGAAATGACCCGAGTTGGTATTGGGCCGAATTGTTAGTGACCAAGGGCGAGCGCATTAAAAATTTTGAACAAAATTGAAATATCTTACCTTGGAATCTTATTTTGACTAGATCTAGAGGATGTAAAACTAGAGTAGAAACAACTCCACCAGTTATACCCGCAGCAAGGTACTCCCATTTTACGTGTTGTAACAACGTCTTTGGGACTGGTCGGGAGGTCGTAGACAATCTTGACCGATCCATTCTTAAATATCACTTTCAGATGTATATTGAACAATTAAATAAAATATTAGAAGTTAATAAACACAGATTAAAACGTTCTCTATTCAGATTCATTGTTTCCCACCTTTCCTGTTCACAAACCGACATAAAATCGGAGAATAAACACAAATTTCATCATCATCGTGTTATGTATGGTTCAGTCGGACGATATCTAGATCAGTGACGTCATAGGCGGTGTTATAGTATATTTACTAAAAATCATTAGAGCTGCACAGGGGTAGGCCTAATGGTGGGCTTTTTTTCCCCCGAAAGGTTTTTAAAGTAAAACATTTTAAGGCCTCTTTTCCATTTAAAAACTTTTTGATCAGGGGGTTCCGCGTCCGCTACCGTTCGTTTAACAAAAAATACGTTAAAATTTTTCCCTTTTTGTCAGTTTACTATCCGCTTCCGTGAAGGCATCCGCGACGTTTCGCAGGATGAGCGATTTTTTTACGGACGCGGACAGTCACGGACAGGTCTCGTCATGACAAAATGCCTCGAACGTAATTAAACACTTTATCGATTTCGAAAGAAAATACTAAAAAGCTCACCAAAATAGTGTTGGAGAACCTATAAGTTTATGATGCACCAATGACAGATTAAAAAAAACAACATCTGGTCTTCGGTTGCTAAAGAGATGTTATTCAAAAACCTAGTCCAACTAATTAGACTTGTCAAAGAGACACCGAGATAATTTTGGACGGGCGCTGTCTTTTTCCAAGTCCAACTACGAACTGCATTTTTATGCACGGACGCTTCCCAATTAGAAGTTGTTGTAACGGTTTGACAGTAATAAAAAAGTCTGTAAAATGGGTCAAACCGTTCACGCCAAATTAATTAGGCTATCAAAAACCTAACTGGTAATCAATGTTGTTCCTTTTTCTTTTTACCAAATTCTTTGATGTTACAACTGGTTTTGGTATTAGAATGAAATTATATCATATTCTACAAATAAAGTTTCCTTTTAAAAGGAAAGGCTTGCACAGTTGTGCCTTCATCCCAACCCTTTAAAATTGTTTTTTTTTTTTTTTGGTTTCAATTTATTATCACATTTATTTTGAATTACGGTATTTGTATATCATAAAGGGTTTATTTAGTTGTTTTTTTTTTTGTTTTTTTTTTTGGAAAACCGAATATTTTTTGTCAAAACGATTTGAAATATATTCTCTGTTGTATAAAACTAATAAAGAAAATGATCAATCGTAAAAATTATAGCGTGATACTGAAGGAAAACAAATGTGCACATTTCATTTCCCCTTTTTCGCAGCGAAATCATCCCTTTGCTTTATAGACAAGTAAATGCACTAAAATACTTCGTTACGTGGTACCAATTAATAAGCATGTGTCAACTATGTTACACGATCACAAATAGACGATGCGCTAACTGTAGATCAGCACGTGGCAAAATTAATGATATGCATGGGCTATTTTTAGATTACCTCACTGCGTTCAGTAGATCTAAATATAACTCGATCATGCGTGGACCACCCTTTGAAGACAGAATACTACTACAGTCACTGTATAAAACTAATACAGACAATAAAGTTTCCTTTTAAAAGGAAAGGCTTGCACAGTTGTGCCTTCATCCAAACCCTTTAAATTTTTTTTTTTTTGGCTTCAATTTATTATCACATTTTTTTTTGAATTACGGCATTTGTATATCATAAAGGGTTTATTGGTTTATTTAGTTTTTTTTTTTTGAAAACCGAATATTTTTTGTCAAAACGATTTGAAATCTATTCTCTATTGTATAAATCTAATAAAGAAAATGATCAATCGGAAAATCACTAACGTGATACTGAAGGAAAACAAGTGTGCACATTTCATTTCCCCTTTTTCGCAGTGAAATCATTCCTTTGCTTTAGAGACAAGTAATTGCACTAAAATACTTCGTTACGTGGTACCAATTAATAAGCATGTATCAACTATATTACACGATTACAAATAGACGATGCGCTAGGTGGCAAGGTTAATGATATGCATGGGCTATTTTTAGATTACCTCACCAAGAAGTTGGATCTAAATATAACTCGATCTTTGAAGACGGAATACTACTACAGACTGCAGTCACCATTCTCTATTGTATAAACCAATACAGACAAAAAACAATTAAAAAATAAACTAACTTTTGCGTCTTGAAAAACAATTGAAACGGAACAATTTCGTTTATAATTTATTACGGTTAAACCGATAAATCAAGTAAAAATAGAAATCCTATTTATATAAACAAACTGGGATTACCGAAGTAACTAAAATAGCGTAGATTTCCGTAATATTACTTCGTCTGATTCCGCAGTATGACGGAATCGCCCGAATTGTCACGATTGCAATCGGAACTACATCGGCTATTATCATTAATCCGAAGAGTGACGGAAAAGGCCGAAAAGTTGCGATTGGCACGATTGCAGCTGGTTTCTTGTTCGATCATGCACCAACAGATGTAAGCAGGAAACCACCTAACCGGAACAAGTTTTCCATATGAAATGGCTTGCAGCCATGGCTGCAAGCCAAAAAACAAGTAAAATGGTTTCCTGCGGGGAACATTTATAATGATATAAGATATTTCATTTAACTATTTTCAACATGGTTTGGGGGAACAACATATAGTCGATCAATATATATAGAAGAAGGTCTTTGGAAACTGGTGACCGTTGATGACCGGAGAAGGCCGAACAAAAAACAATTATTTCTTTCTAAGAAAATGATTAAATAGGCCTACCATTTTTATGAATAATTTCGAGCAAAAAAAAATAAAAGTAAACACAAAAGTCTACGCAGAAAATATCTCTATTTATTATGGCAGATGCCACTTCGATCGAATATTTCAATTTTGTAGATTTTCAGTATAGCAATTTATTGTCTGTAAAATTTTGAGATAGATATTAAAGAAACATTGATAATTTTCAAACACATCATTCAAGTTTTTCAACCTTAAACAGTAAAATATTTATAGAAAATTAGAAATATCACGTAATAATATTTTGTTTAAATAAGATGTAATTCTGTCTAATTCCCTAGAGGTAAATCCGTCATGTATCGGCAAACGGTATTTAGCCAGGTTTTCGAAAGGGTCAATTAACCAATCATGTAAGGTTTACAGATCACGTGCTCCTCCATGTACCGAAAACAGGTCACGTGCTCCTCCATGCCTCAAAAGTTAAACGCGTACCAATACCCTGCGGTCTCCAGACCGCGGGGAACAATTATAAAATAAACTAACTTTTGCGTCTTGAAAAACAATTGAAACGGAACAATTTCGTTTATAATTTATTACGGTTTAAACCGATAAATCAAGTAAAAATAGAAATCCTATTTACTAGTATATAAACAAACTGGGATTATCCCGAAGTAACTAATATATGCTTAGATTTCCGTAAATATTACTTCGTCTGATTCCGGGCAGTATGACGGAATCGCCCGCATTGTCCCGAATTGCAATTCGAACTACATCGGCTATTATTCATTAATCCGAAGAGTGACGGAAAAGGCCGAAAAGTTTTGCGCATTGGCACGATTTGCAGCTGGTTTCCCGTTCAATCCATGCACCAACAGATGTAAGCAGGAAACCACCTAACCGGAACAATTTTTCCAAATGAAATGGCCAATAATTATCCTCTGTTCGCTATACTATAATTAAAAGTATATAGAAAATAACGTACCTATGGAATAATACTCACGGACATGCACCGGACACGGATCACGGACGCGGGTCACGGATCGCGTACCAATGGAATAGCGGCCTTATACAATATATTAAGCTCCATGGAGAAAATAAACACGAGTGTGCATATTTTGTAAAGACATATACTTGGTGATGAATGTCATTACAGCTTTACATCGATTTCAATCCAGTAAAAGATATAAGCTAGGTGGAATGGCTTTTTGTTTCATTGGTTTCAGTATATAGATTTATAAAATGTTGCTGCATTCTGTCACAGATATACAATAATTACATACATGTATATTTATAACTCCATGATTCTGTTAGCTTTATCAAGCCCAATAAATTGTACGTCAAAGCTTTGGACCTAAATCTATGTAAAATCCGTGGTAATATCAGTTTGTAAAATCGGTCTGTCTTGCAGTGGAAATATTGTGAATAGTGCACCATGAATGCTTTTACAAATAAAATACACTTATTATTATGATGATTTTTACAATGAAAACGTAAAATCTTTTAATTAAACATTATTTTACATAACACGGTGAATAACACAATGCACGGACTCGCGGGAAATAACTGACATATATGGACATCTTAACATACTTTTTTTATCATATTTAATGTAATCTACGAATCAAAATCTGTTAAAACAGAAAACGTTACGTGCGGTGAAAGCGGCTTTTAAAAAATCTGCATCCGACTCATCTATAGATACGATTGTTCAATTGCCTATATAAATGCAATTATACACACAAAATAGAACAATAAAACAAAAGTACCCGGAGTTCTAGCTTTATCTGAATACTAGCTAATAAATTCTATTTTACCATTTAAAGAAGATGTGCCACCTGAAACCTGGTACATCTATATATATTTTTTCTCATTGAAACATGCAATAGAATAGCGAAGAACGTATGGAATCCTTAAAAATGCACAAAACGGCAAAATTGTTGTAGGTTCGGTTTTCTTTATAAGTCGAACACCTTTTTAAATGAATTTATATGAAATAAAATGTATAAAAGCAAATTTTAATCATTGCAAACATACAGTAAGTTGTACGTAGACTTCAAACTCCCATATTCATTTACAATCGTTGTTGGTAAACATACATTATTAAGATCTATGTAATACATCTTATACATAGTTTAAACTCCGTAACATAAATTTTACCCAATATCGATTTTATCAATGTAACGAGGTTTAGATCACGACGTATTATTCTATTTTATAAGCGCCCTTGTTTCACCCATTAATCTTTTTACTGTGACGGCGTACGTGATTTACTTGCACCTATTTAAGGTTTACCCTTGTTTATATTTATAACGTTGCAACCTTAAGGAGCTATTTATACATATCTTCTTCTTCAAAATAAAGAATATCTGTGTCACCGAATTTTTAACAGATCGAGATCTACTTCTTATGTTTTTCGATGGAAAGTTAAAAACGGTCAGTGACCCCGCTTGTTTACTAGGCACTGTTTATTTATTGTTTACTGAACACAAATATGCATTGTGCATATTATCTTGAACAATTAATATATCTAGTTAGTATGAGGCAGATTCGTTTAATTAAAAAAAGACCCCTATACACTCTATGCACCAACAGTACATTCTATTTAAGTCTAAGCAGGGATCGATAAATTTCTCCACTTTGTATCAAATCAAAGTACATAAGTACAGTTGGGCAAAATTTTACACACCTCAATACGGAGTTGGAATTTCTTTGTAAAATGCATATTTATTAAACTAACTGCAGAGAATGTAAGAACAAATGTGAAGTTGGCATCAGTACAGTGCCTTTTTAGATAATTTGTCAAGACTGTACACGTATACCGCATTTTTGTGTCGCCTTGACATAAAGCGACATATAGGGCGGTGTCGGCGTCGTCGTCGTCGTTGTCGGCGTCCCCTTAAGCTTGTCCGGAGCATAAGTCAGTCATTATAAGTCGGATTGACTTCAAACTTGGTATGCATGCTTCTTATAATGACCCGAAGTGCAGTGCACAAGAACCGGTACTCTGCACTTCTTAATTTTTGAGTTATTGCCCTTTGTTAATTTTCATACTTTATTTTTGCCCGGGCCATTCTTATGTATAAAAACTTCATAGGATGATAGATCTCATTAAGAAAAAGTGCAGTGCACAAGAACTGGTGCTCTGCACTTCTTATTTTTTGAGTTATTGCCCTTTGTTAATTTTCATACTTTATTTTTGTCCGGGCCATTTCTCCTAAAGTATAAAAGCTATGGACTTGAAACATCATAGGATGATATATCTCATTAAGAAGAAGTGCAGTGTACAAGAACCGGTACTCTGCATTTCTTATTTTTGAGTTATTGCCCTTTGTTAATTTTCATACTTTATAGGCACCAATGTTTTATGCACTCGTCATTTCAGAGAAGATACCAAACAAAAAATTTTGGACGATGCTGTAAACCTTACTTGCAGGAACGCCACACTAAAGCGTATAATTGAGACAGACGGCATGATAGATGCTGATGACAGCATCTGCTTTGGCGAGAAATGTGATAAGTTAACAGAAGACTATTGAACAGAAAACTTCGTAAAACATTTTAAAGACAGGATCAGACCGTACCTTTAAGAGAAAGTCAATGTCCCAGAGCAAAATGACATATTGTCCTCAAACTGGGCGAACAACAATTGCGGGTCCGCAAACCATACATTCAGACAAACCATCGACTAGAAGTCGAAACCATTGGCAGACTTGGTGAATCCATTATATTACCTTGTTTATGGTCAATGTAAGGATTTACGATCTGCTTTACTTGGCACCGGTGGATTTTGTTTGACTGAAACTCATGCCAAATATCAGGTCAGTAAGAGTAGATGGACTGACATGACATCAGTGCAAAGAGAAAGATTCCCCAGCAGGATTTTGATATCCTTTTAAAGAATAAGCGTATGCATGTTTATTAAGTGAAAATCACGCGTAAAAAAATTAATTGACCTGTGACCCCCTCTGGAAGAATAGTAAAATGCCAAGCCTCAAATTGAAACACCTCGGCTTTTATTCTTATCCAGAGTTTGACGGTAAGGGCCGAGAAGATGAAAATGCCCAAGCCCTCTTTGAACTATGCATGTCCAATGGAAAAAAACCTGCATTTTCGCTTGAACAGTGGTCTATAAAATCGTTTTGTTGGCGCAAACAGTGTGACATGCAAAAAGCAGCCTTTATAGAAACTACCTTTAACAAAAGCAATAGGAAATTTTGGTTGAGATAGAAGGAAAATCACCATTCAAGTCCAATTGCATGTTATGTGCGATAAAGAATAGCCACAAAGTGAGAAGTGGGGGCGCAGTGTAAAGTTCATTGTAACGAAGTTATCAACAGGAACAAAACATAACAGAGTGGGTTAGCATGGTCAAACTTAAATAAAAACACTGAAAAATTGATTATGTCTTATTGCAAATTCGTTTAAATATTTTGTATCGCCATTAATGCAAGATTCATTGTCCTCAAAGGTATGAGTACCTGTGAAATACTGGCGTTGAATGTACGACCAAAGCTGCCGAATAACATCAAGGCCCCTAAGAAATGCTTGTTGCAGTTGGGTACGCACTTTGCACTTCAATGTGTCCATTTGCAATACTATGATTGTTCACTCCTTTTCACAAACATTCGTAGGTCAGAGTCTGACCCACCTTGCAAGGCCCATGCCAACTCTCGATCAGTAGTTTTTATCATTGTTGCACGAATATGGTATCTGTCTCAATCATAACATTAATTTGAAACAATTCCCAAATGAATTCAAAAAACGTCAAAAATGACGTCACCTGTATGGCTTTAGAGGAGGACCCGTCTAATAATACAGATTGGGACCTGTCAGACCTATTTAAGTATGAAACCTGTAATGCCATAGCTATATAAGAATTTCACATAGGAGTTTTTCATGACTCACCTTACCAAAAGCTTTGAGTGAGGTTTACAAGAAATGACGTTTACTAGCATGCATTTTAAGTTGCGGCATACATGAACTTTTTTATTTACGAAAACCATGTTTGGAGATGGTATTGAGTGACAAACGACACATCTTATCTTATCTGATTTTGTCATGAATGTGTATTTTCAATTTTAAAATCAATATGTTAATATAAACATAACTAACTTAAATAACTAAAACTAAAATTTATTGATTTGTATGTCTCGACATGACTTAAAATACAGTGAATTTATAGCTCTGGGGTCTCGAAATTACAATTACCATCCGTTTGAAATTAGTGGCATAAGACCTATTATCTACTTACATACACGAGTAATTATTATTACATCACCGTTTAATGTTGACAACATGGCGGACACGAAGCATATGAACGTCAAACATAATTTAAATGTTGTTATTGTAGCCGTTTGAAAGCAAGAGAAGCTAATCGATAGTTTAAACTCTTCTCGAAACGAAGGTCGATAATATTGTGCTGGTGGTACCCACGCTATGTCAGGTGCAAGCACAAAACTGACAATAGACTCTGATCCTACTTTCAATTTGGACAAAATGGCTAAATCACCTCTGTACCGAACATGCAGAATTCTCTGTCACCTGTTTACAATGATAGTTGTAAGGTTCTGGAAGTTGTGCACATCAGCTTGTCTCATGCTGCTTCTTCTATATTGGTTCTATGGCGGGGCTTTGACGTTTTTGTTTTTAATGATTTCAATATATGGTGAGTATAGATTAGCCCACTTAGACTCATAGTTTAAGGAAGTGGCTAGTCTAATGTAGACCTAACGGACTTGTTATGATGGTCAAGCCCGGCGTTTCATAGATTAGCAAGGTCGGCATGAAAAAAAGAAATGTCATTTCAAAGCAATGTTATATTTAATATGAAATTAGGTAAAGTCTATGAATGGGGAAGTCGGTTAAAAATCGTTTATTTTTCCGTTTTTAAGGTGTCATTTGGTATTTCATGCACCGCTTTTGTTTTCGCTGGGAACACTCGATGGTTATTATCAATACCAAGTTGCGATTGTCCGTTATCGCCATTCGGTATACCTCCCTATTATCATTGAGTTACATTGAAAATTGCGGTGCCCAAATAGAACTGACACTGAAAATTTCATTGATAGGTATAGAATTCAATATATATACAAATTGTTTTTTATGTGATTTCCTTTTAAAATACATGTGTTGTCTATAGCCGGGCAAGCTTCCCCATATAAATTACAGGATTAAGGAAGTTGCTAGCTGCACTGGCCCATAATGCTAGCCTAAAGTTCTAGCCATTAAGTACAAACGGCCTATAAACGTAATACATAAAAGGGTCAAGTTGGTCCTATACCAACTGCCACATCTTTTTTAAATAGATAACAAACAATCTAATGAAATTACAGAATATTTTCCGTGTAGTGAGAGACTTTAAAGAAATTCATTGTTAAAATGAATGTAAAATATATTAGGACAAGTGAAGGAAAGATTAAAAGATTAAACACAACCAGTCAACGAATGTTAACCTCCTCAACACTTTGATTTCTTATTATGATTTTTAATTTTACATATATTTCAAGTTTGTATAAGGTTACTTTATTTTTCTGAGTCATTTAGCACAATTAAATTCTAGAAAAACAAGTGGAGTGAATAATAGTTTTTCGGTCCAGTTCTATTTCAATTGGTACATAGGTCTTTAGAATATATTTCCAGTCACGAAATTTCAAAAGAACTCAGTGGTGTTCCTTTAAGATACAAGTAGGATAAAAGTAGGATTTTGTGGGTGAGATTAAAATTAATAAAAAAGTGTTGAAGCACCACAATAAATACCCTATTCCGGTATGAACAAGGTGCACCACACTAAATACCGTATTCCGGTATGAACAAGGTGCTTGAATGATTAAATGGTAAAATCTTGCCTTTCACCGGCCAAAATGCACTCTTAGACCTTTAATTCATCTGTCCACATAGATTTATATATGATGATGAATGAAAAATGTTATAATTGGCAAAAAAAGTCTATATTTTTCTACTTTATGATCATGATTTTTGCAAGTGTTTAGAGGTGCTGCTCCATTAGTTACTCTGGTGAGTTAAATCCAATTACAATGGTGAGGGTTTTTATTCTTTTATTACAGGTTTGTTTTACTATGCACAGGACATGTTTCTATACTATCCCGACCAACCACCAAACTCAAGGATCTTTGTGGACCAACCAGACAAGTTCAAACTGCCATTTGAAAATGTTTTTGTGAAAACAAAAGATGGAGTGTCAATTAACATGTATTTAGTAAAAAATCAGAACACATTTGCTTTTCCCACAGTAATGATGTTACATGGCAACGCTGGAAATATTGGGCACAGGTAAATTAAAATGTTTATTGAACTTAGTTAGAATAAAATGTTATTTACATGTATAGGTTAAGAATACTTGTTCAGTCACATTTAATATGGCCAAACTGCACAGACCAATAATGTAGATTCAGTGTTTATATGACCCTGTCCTGCTCTGTCATTCCGTCATCATCAGTTTCCATTCATTATCTTGGCAACAATGGCACACATTCAACTCAAATTTGACATATGGATACATCATAGGAATATGTAGGTCAAGTTCTAATTTGGTCATGGTCTGATGACTTGACAGAGTTAAGCCCCTTGATGAAATTTTCAGTTCCCTTTCATTTGTATCCCAACAGTCAACACATATGGATACAATAAAGGAATGCTCAGGTCAGGTTCTCATTTGGTCTTTGTTCCATGATTTTTAAAAAAGAGTTATCCCTCTTGAAATTTTCAGTTTCATCTCCCCAACAGTTGTACAATATATATACCTATTAAACTGATATTTATCAATATACAATATACTTTATTGTTTTATGTTGTAGATTAATGATGACATACTATCTATATAAGATAGCACATTGTAATGTGCTGATGGTGGAATATAGGGGATATGGTAAAAGTAGTGGAAAACCTTCTGAATCAGGTACACACAACTTTTGAATATTTATATTTTTTGCACAAGTAGGTCCATCATTCATTCATGCCTGTTTTCTTTTTCTTTACTTATTTGCTCATATTGGACTTACCCTGCATTCTATTTGGAACAGTATATTATAATTTGTAAGAGTGTCAATATTAAAAACATTAACAAACAAGCCACACAAACTAGAACATTTAGTAATTATTTATTGCACAAGTTTTTGCTATATGCCTTCATAAGTGCAAATCAGAATGAAATTGACATAAAACATTATAAAACATTTTTTTAATATAAATAAAAGCATGAAATTCAATTAAATAGCAATTAAATCAGTTTATTCTATTCAGATAAAGGCAGCCATTTACATTTTCAATCAATCAGTATTGCCCTACTGAAGGGGATCATTTTAATGTTTTGAAGAAAAAGTCATGCTCATATAATGGCTATGGCATCGTTTTAAGGCAAAAACGTAGCCCATTTCCAAGCATTTTTAAAGTTATCAACATGAATTGGTATACTTGCTTAAAATGTCAAGGTGTAGTTGTAGGATAAGGGGCATAATTCTGAAAACTTATTTTTTGCAGTTATGCCCCCTTTTAACTTAAAAACTTTGAAATTTTTTGTCATATGTAATGTAATCATTTTGAGTACAACAAAATGTCATATCTTGTCATAAAGGAACAAAGTTAATGTTGAAAATCTAAGGATTTTATTATTACAGTTGATTATATATTTAACACATTTATTTTGTAGTCGTTCAAACAGTTTGCATTTTTTTTCTAAACTCAACACCCCTAGTTTTATCCCCCAATCACAGTCCATACTTTCCTGGAATATTTCTTTTTATTTTAACCTTTCAGGTATATATCAAGATGCAGAGGCTGCTTTTGAATGGCTGTTAAAGAGAGAGGACATAGATTCAAAGAAAATATTCATATTAGGAAGTTCACTAGGTGGCGCTGTATCAATTAAACTGACCTCTAACCCTCAATATGCAGGCCATATAGCTGGTCTCATGTTAGAAAATACCTTCACCAGCCTACCAGATGTAGCTAAATCTTTATTTAGCTTAAAAGCTTTAGATTTTCTACCTACATTCTGTTATAAAAATCAGGTAAGTTGCATTGTTTAAATGCTGCTATTTTAGTTTAGTTTATACAAATTTATTTTAGTTCGATTGTGTTGGAAGCTTTAAGCATATTGAAACATTTTTGAAACATTCATGCATCTGTTCCTGAAACCAATCAGTATTAAGCAATGAATGTAAGGTTTCTTGCTTAAGGAAACAACAGCTTGCCCCTGACAGGGTTTGAACCCACGCGGTCAGCAATCTTTGAATTACTGGTCTGACACATTAACCACTCGGCCCGCTAGATTCTGCTATTTCAAATCCTATACTCTAGATATATTTCAAAATCAGAAGGAAATGAAGAAGAAATACAACACGTCAACACTAGTGCAGATTTCTAAATTAAAAATTATAATTATGAAAAAAACAGGATGAGGGAATGATCTGAAAGTTATCACTCCACACCTATATCAGATTGTATACAATCCTCAGAAAAATATTTCCTGGCCTGTCATGCCCAAAAACCTCCGTGGAGTCCCTTTTATCAAAGACAACATGTAATTCAGTTGGTATACTTTGTGCATATTGTAAACATTTATGCCAGGCAGAAATTTGATCATTATTTATCTTAGTTTGATTTTGAAGATAACATGTTGTTTGTTTGAACCCTTCTTGATATAATTAGTATTCAAGGTTATAAACAAATTCTCAAAGGTCAAACTCAGATCTCAGGCATTTGATTGGTCAGACACTGGCCCAGAATGTACTCTGACCAATGAAAACCCTGAGATTTGAGACTGACCTCAGAAAAAGCTTTATAATCTCAAGACCTGTATTACTATCGTGTATGATACGAAAAGTTCTAACATGACCCACATTTTTCCCTTTTGAACAAAGGACCAAAGGTGTGTATGAATATGCAATAAAATAACTGTTGACTATCTGTAAATAGACATGTGACGTAACCATTAAAAATGCAATGAGATGAAAATAATAATTTTTTTTTTTTTTTTATGTCATGTTAGAATCAAAATAAAACATCCCAAGCAGTGATTTTATCACTTAATGAAAACACTGTTTGGCATTCAGATGCGCAGCATTATATCAAATATGTATTTAATTCTTTTCATCTGAACTCCAAACAGTGTTTTTATTTAGCTATATAATCACTGCTGTGGATACATCATTTCTTTAACATGTTTGTGTACCTGGTAAGACTCAAACTCGCCATCCCTGGACTAATTAACTAATAGGCTAACTTCAGACTTTGTATAAGATGTGTAATTACCTACATTGTACTCTCTCTTTCAATCAGCATAAAATCAGCATAAAAAATGTGAGTTTTATTGTCATCATCTTCATAATCGGTTGTGATATCAAGAAAATATATCAAATATTTATTTTTCAGTTCCCATCAGAGTATAGAATAGGTAAAATCACAGTACCAACGTTATTTTTGTCTGGTCAAAGTGACGAACTTATACCTCCAAGAATGATGCAAGCATTATACAATGTAAGTAAAAAACGTGAAATGTTTAACTTCGATATTTGAATCGTCGACTTTGTTCAGGTAAGTTCAGTATTAAATATTTCAATTTATCACATTAGCCGTTGTGCAGTGGTGAAATAAATTCATTAAAAATGATATTACACTAGTGTAAGAACACTTTGACATCACATCATTTGCGATACATACAAGCATACTGTTAAAGCACGCCTAATGTAAGGGTAACACTTTAGGCGCGTAATTGAAAAATAACTCATCAAATAGCAGAAAATCTGTCTTATTTTAGATGTGATAAATAGAATACTTATCATTTTTCTATAAAAATGCACTCGAAATTAAATACAGTATGATTTAAGTTATCTTGTTCTCTCCCACAGCTCTCTGGCAGCAATTTAAAACGTTTAGTGCCTTTTGAAGGTGGGACTCACAACGACACATGTTTATGTCCAGGCTACTATGAATCTATATCTCAGTTTATGTACGAGGTACGTACATGTTTATAATTTGTTTGACTATCTCATGAATAAGGAAACAGGCTTTCTTTAACATTTTCATTAAAATTATTTTGAAATAAAAAAAATCATTTCAGGGGCATTTGTCAGTATATTTGTATAAAACTGTAAACACTGGAAAGGTGCATTCAAAATAAAGTCAATTGTCAAACAAATCAATGTTCTTGTTTGAATTCATTTGTAATTGTTAAAGTTTCGATTTCAAATATCTAACTACATTATTACTAATTTCATGTCATAATTTTATGTCTCCTCTTTAACTTCAGGTAATAAATAGTTCAAAAGGAAATAAAGACACAAGCCAGGTTACTATAGAGACAGACTCCAGTATAATCTGAAAAGTGTTTAAATAAGCTCATTTGAGCACATAGCTCTCAGAGGTGAGCTTTTGTGACAATACGTTGTCTATTGTTTGTCATTATCCACAGTTTCTTTAAACAACATCTCCTAAACCACATTATAGGTTTTGTCCAAACAGCACATGGATGAGCCCTAGGTAACATTTTATAAAGTTACATTATTGTTTCCAGTCTAATGAACTGTTATGTTTGTGGGGATGTTCATGTATACTGACTAAACAAAATGTGTTGTAGTTTCCAGATTTGACCTTTACTAACCAACAGTTATATATTAGAGTAATAATGTTGGAAGTGACGTTATCGTAAGCACGGAACATCACGTTATATAACGCTCAATGATATGAATGTTACCAATTCCCGACATACTAGTCTTTACACGAGATGAAATAAACATTATTGACATCTTTAAAAAATCTTCTCCTCAGAAACTCCATTGCATGGAGAAAAGCTATTATCACCTTGTAACCCTCTACATGTTTTATAAATTATGCTTGTTGGCCCTACTTTAGTTTACATAGACTTATGGAAAATAGTATGACCAGAGTTTAGATGTTTTGCATGTAGCATCACCATGTGGTCCTCTTCAAAAGTTGTTAAAAAATCTTGATTCCTGGGAGACAAAATTACTTAGACTTACCTAATGAGATGCCTTAAAATCTTCTACTCAGAATTGTATGCCATGGAGCTTCTTGTCCATTGGACCTCTACTAAAGTTGTATGAATTATGTCCCTTGGATAAATCTGTATGAATTATTTTTCTTGGATAAATCTGTATGAATTATGTCCCTTGAATAAATCTGTATGAATTATGTCCCTTGGATAAAAAGTCTGTAATATCCTGACATCATCTTCACATTCAAGTTTTATGAATCATGGCCCTTCCAAATGTAAGCATAACACCTACTTCTGTATCAAAGAATCATGACCTTTTTATAGCAATGCATCTCAGGTGAGCAATTTAGGGCCATTTTTGCCCTCTTGTGTTTTAGATTGTTAGCAAAGAATTCTATTGCAAGGAACTCTCAAGATGTTACAAGTAGCAGATGTTATCAGAATGTATTGTGAAATAATCTCATTTGTAAATCAGACTTATAAATCATGTTGAAGACATTTTTATTGTAAATGTGTTTAAAATATATGTGAATTGAAACAACAAAACAGCAGCTTCTGAAATGAAAATATCAGTGACATGTATTGTTATAGCTCCACATTACCAGTTGAATTAATGAAGTTTAAATTTATTTTTAGAAACTTGTGAAGCTCTTGTTTTCAATAAACTGGTCACTTAATAATGCTATAATGAACCAGGGTTTTATCAATGGTCGTACACCCAGTTGTAGCTAAGATTTGGTCGTACGACTGTTTTGTTCATAAAACGGCACTCAGTGTACTATATGGATGTTATTTATAGTTGCGATGCTTTATTGATACATATCTTTGTATGGATATTTCATGCAGCGATATTTTTTTAAATATTTGATTAAAGATACGATCATGTATTTTGACTTTTGAAAAACCAGCAATATTGTAAATGTTATTTTTCATTATTTATTGTTTGACTTTTAGAGTGTTATCAATAATAACCTTTAAACTATATATGTTTTTCGTAGTATGTTGTGGAAAAATAAACTGTATCTTTTGCTTTGTTTTCAGTAGGATCAATGTATTTCTATGTTTTCAAAAGAATTAATATGTTGCAAGAAATAACATATTGCAATATTTGTTGAGTGTATTGCAATATTTTTTGACTGTATTGCATTAATTATACATTCTTGTGTACATATGTATCTAAATACAGTTTGATTCTTACATTCCATTTTGTTAAAGGCCCTTTATGCCTCAGAGATGTCATCAGTTTTATTTCTCAAAAACTTTTCATTTTTGGTATCTTGTTACAGTTTTGCCACATAAGTGAACCAGCTTCTACTTCTTTTGCTCTGTTGGCAATGGGTATAATCAAAGTGAATGAGTATTTTGTATGGAAGTCAAAATACTTCATGTACTTTGTTTACATTTAGCTTCCTTTAGGACACATAACAACACATTCAGGGTTGATAAACATCTTAAATGCACTAAATCTATTATTAAAAACATAATTGAACACATGTTTGACATTTCTAAAGAATTGAAAAAAATATGGATTTCTGAGGCATGAAATAAATGAGGCCTTTAATAAAGATGCAACAAATAGATAAATTCATTAATATTTTACTTGCATCAAATGAGTTAAGATTTCTTTCTGTTAAAGGAAATCTATATGTAATGAAATATTTTTATAATATTTATAAATGATAAAATGAGCTGCGTCATGACAAAACCAACATAGTGCGTTTGCGACCAGCATGAATCCAGACCGGCCTGCGCATCCACGCAGTCTGACCAGGATCTATGCTGTTCGCTATCAGTTTCTCCACTTGTAAAAGCTAACAGCATGGATCCTGATCAGACTGCACGGATGAGCAGGCCGGTCTGGATTCATGCTGGTTGCAAACGCACTATGTTGGTTTTGCCGTGACACAGCTCAAATTATTTTGTTATTCGATAATGTTATGGTTGATTTTTGAAAGGGTTTTAACATTTACCTAACACACATATAAATTGTATGTTTACAGAATAAAATGTTAGAGAGAAAACATTATGCTGTTATTTTAAGTAGGGTATATATAGCAAATAACAATGATTTCATGCACACACCAATTTCACCATTTTGGAAATATACAAACATATCCCTTCCATACAGGTATTTTGAAATTATCCTTTTATAAAATTAAAAAAAAAAAGCCTATTAATTTTGTAAAAAAAAGCAAGCCACCGGAGGCGTTAAGTAGAGACAATACGGTAAAGATGATAAAAAGGTTTCTAAAAATAAACCTGTCATAATGAAAGGTTTCTAAAAATAAACCTGTCGCAATATATACACTGTTAACTGTTGTTATGGAATTTTTAACATGTCCAACTTTCAATCTGTACAAAAGCTTTCATCATTTGAGTCAAAGTTTCAAATATGTCAAGAAAGTGATTTGAGTGCACATAATCGAACTAACATAAACATAAATTCTGTATAAACAAAAAAATACACAAAAAAAAACAACAACACGGAGCAAGTTTGTTTTTATGAAACATAAAAAGAAGCAAACTGTTTCCTGTTATGTTACATACCGAATTACATGTAGAAGGCATCCGTGGCCTAGTGGTTAAGGTTATTGACTTCACTCCACTTGCCCCTCACTGCTGTGGGTTCAAATCCCAACAGGGAGTTTAGATTTTTCACGTGAGGAAGCTTCCCAGCAAGCTTACAGAATGTTGGTGGTTCCACTCATGTGCCCATTCATGCCTGAAATAATGCCCGAAAGGGCACCTGAAGTCTTCCTCCACCAGTAAAGCTGGAACGTTTCCATATGACCGAAAACACAATCAAACATACCAAATTTATAAGTTTTCCATGCAATTAAGATTTTTTAAAGGAAAATAAGTTTAGAGTGGTCAAATGCATGTAGTGCTGGTATATACTTAAAACAATTGTCATAAAATTTTGTTTGTACATTCATTTGGTCATTGGCTCACAGATTTGTTTAATGAGTTCAGTGCTTCTTTGCTTAGATTTTTATGTGTATTCGATGATATCATTCATTACAATTATGGTATTTTTGTTTGTTATTGAATTATATATGTTCGCATGTAGAATTGAGTGAGTTGGATGTTTATTACAGTCTTGCTTATGTCATTTAGATATGAACTAAATATTAACTGTGATAATGATTTATGAAGAAATATATATATATTAATATAAGATACATGTATATAAGAATTTTGAAAAAGTGAATAGTAATAAAAGAATGAAACACTTGTTTATGTAACTTTTTTCTGCCTTTTGTCATATGTAGTTACTTTAGTACTTAGTAACCTAGGCTATTTACCATATACAGTGTACCAGTAGTTTCAGCCCAAAACCAAATTGGCCCCAGTGCAGAAATTGACCCTTTTCCATATAGAATATATATTTATAGTTTGCTTGTTTTTAGCACACCTGTCACAAAGTGACATGGTGAGCTTTTGTGATCGCTTTTCGTCCCGCGTCCATCCATCTGTAGACTTTTACTTTAAATGACATCTCCTCATAAACCGCTTAGCCAATTTCATCCAAACTTCCCAGGAATGTTACTTTGGTAGTCAACTTAAAAAATTGTTCAAAGAATTTAATTCCATACAGAACTCTGGTTGCCATGACAACCAAAAGAAAAAACTTAAAATATCTTCTTTTAGAAAACCGAAAGAGCTAGAGCTTAAATATACATCAACCAAGTTTGTTCAAAGAAATGCCCTGGGGGGTCATTGATTTTCCTTATTTGTATATAGCAAAAACTTTAAAAATCTTCTTTTAAAAAACCCAAATAGCTAGAGCTTAGTTATAAAATATGAAACATCTTCTAGTGGGTGTCTACTAAGTTTATTCAAATGAAAGCCCTAGGGTAAAAATTGGCCCAGCCCCAGGGTGTCATTGTTTTTCCCTTTATGTACATAGTATAACTTTAAAAAAATCTTCTTCTAAAAACCCCAAAGAGCTAGAGCTAAGATATTTAGCATGAAACATCTTCTAATGGGTGTCTACCAAGTTTGTTAAAAAAAAAGATTGGCCCCGCCCCAGGGGTCATTGATTTTCCTTATATGTGTATAGTAAAAACTTAAAAAATCTTCTTATAAAAAAACCCAAAAGAGCAGAGTTTAGATATTTAGCATGAAATATCTTCTTGTGGCTGTCTACCAAGTTTGTCTAAATAAAAGCCCTGGGGTCAAAATTGGTCCATCAGGGGGGGGGGGGTCATTTTTTCCCCTGTATGTATATAGTAAAAACTTAAAAAAATTCTTATGAAAACCCCGAAGAGCTAGAGCTTAGATATTTATCATGAAACATCTTTTAATTGGTTTCTACGAAGTTTGTTCAAATAAAAGCCCCTGGTTTAAAATTGGCCTTGGCCCAGGGGCCTATATACAGGTGAGCGATTCCAGGGCCATCATGGCCCTCTTGTTTTCTGTAACTGGCTATAACTTTGTTATTTATAAATGGATTAACTTCATATTTATACTTATCTTTTAGGTCAGGACCTTCATGTATATCACACTGAAATTGACCTTGACTCATGTATGATCTTGACCTTGAAGGTCAAATTATTTTATTTTCACTGATAAACACTATAACTGGCTGTAATTTGGAAATTAATCAATGGATTCTTTTCATACTTTGGCAAAACAACCTTTTGGACAAGACCTTTTAAAAAGTTGAATAACCTTGACCTTGAGCTTTAAATGGCCCTAAAGGTCAAAGTATTGAATTTTGGTTAAGTTGTTATAACTTTGTTATTTATGAATGGATTTGGATTTGATTCATATGTGGGCAAACCAAACAGACATGTGGAATAATTTAGATATGCCCTTGACCTTTAAATGACATTGACCTCAAATAATTCAGATTTGATTTTATTTTCTTTATTAACTTTGTCATTGATTCATACTTGGACAAAACAATAAGTGTGACTAGACAGGCCTATTATAATTAAAAAAAGCTAAAACTTATATTTTTTTATTTTCTTTTTAAAGATTTTTTAAACCGTTTATTTGTTTGCTTTTAGAAAAAGTAAAAAAGTCAAATGTTGCCCTCGCCCGGCGGGGGCTCTTAGTCATCTTCAGGAATAATGTTAAAAGGACCTTCATAAAATTCTGTATTCTAGCGATTTTACTCCTGTGGCATATCTAGTTATTAATGTGTTCACAATTAACTGTTTCCCCGATAAACATGTCACATGATTCATGAACTTGTTTACAATCAAACTCCTCGAATACGCGAAGCGAAGCAAAAGGGGATCACTGCTCAGGAGTTAGATTTACAATTTGCTGCTTGGTTAAAATTATCCATTAGTAAGGTTACACTAATTTCTCTTTATTATTTATCCTTACTTAAGAACTCCTCGCTCTGTTTTGAACTGACTCAAAATTTGTAAAATATTGATGTAATACGCATAATGTTATAATAACTTCAAATTGTATGAATACTTTTATTATCCATATTGTCTGATATGTTTATGATAACGTTCATTTTCAATTACTTTTAATTCACCGCTTCACAGTTGATGTATTTACGACACTAAATGTTAATAAATAACTTTTCCAAAGTTGTATGAATACTTCTTACATCTACATCCATATTGTCTGAGATTATGTCTTCATATGGAATAGACGGACTTTCATTTTCAATCTACTTTTAAATTACACCGCTGTCACCCATTTAAACTATTAATTCCCTGTTTTATAAAATAGAATCCAATTTACCTTCGTTAAGAACAAGGTTTGAACAGTACGTACTGTACTAAATCTGTATTAAAATGCATATATTCATTTCTTTTTATTTCTTTTTACTACTTCTCATCCTCATCTTTGTGCTGATCAACGACTTGTTGAATTTTGTTTACACGTATTTTATTTTCATCTGTTTGACTACCGGTATATTTAAGTTCGGTTTCTTCAAATTCATAAATTCTGGACTGACCACATATTTCTCTGATACCTATGAGGCATGTTATTAACGCCCCAAGTCCGAAAAGGCATGCACTGAAAATGTAAGCACCTCTTTGATTTCCATACGAGTCTGAAATCAGGCCTGAAATAAGAAACATGATCAACGTGAGATAACAAAAGTCGCAAAAACATTGTCAGAAACCTTCCCAGCTAAACGTGCAAGAAATCCTGCTAAATTTGCAAGAAGCCCCGCAAAATGTGTAAGAAGTACCACTTAATGTGCAAGAATCCCGCTAAATGTGCAAGAAATCCCGTTAAATGTGCAAGAAGACTCCTGGGTGCTTCTTGGCTGGACCTGACGGGGTGAAATATGGAACTGTACGTAGCTCATTCCATACATGGGATTAAGATCTTGGGATCAGGCCGCTAAGTCCAAACGAGTAATACCATGTCTTTCCAAGTACTCTTGGACGACATTGGGGCGGGCATTTTCATACATTACCAATTGCACAAGAATACAACCTTACCTGGGTGTTGAGGACCTCATCTCCATACCGCTGGGCAGTCAATGTGCCTCTGTCGAGGACAATGATGTCAGTACGCCCATCCAAGCGGATTCTATCCCAGACCATTATTGAACCGCCACCATAGCGGTCGTGTTCCGCAATGTTTGCTGTATCAGACCATTATTGATCCGCCACCATAGCGGTCGTGTTCCGCAATGTTTGCTGTATTGTACCGTTCCCCTGACTTTCACCATACTCTAGCACGCTTATCTGTGTAGTCCAGGCAGTACCTTGACTTGTCGGTGAAGAGGATAGGCCGCCAGTCTATCCTGCTCCAACCAACATGGTCCATGGTCCAATCATATCAAAGCCGTAAGTGGTCTCGATACAGCGGGGTCCCTATACATGGTCTTCTCGATCGCAGACCACTTTCCTGCAAACGTGTACGTATGGTTGTGTTGACACACACATCCCTGAAGCATTTTGAAGGTCAGAGCAAAGTTTGGTTGCAGTTGCAAAACGGTTTCTTCGTGCCTGTATGAACAGAAAATGATCTTCAGCCGTCTTAACAGGTGTACCATGCTGTTGGAACCTCGCCCAGGCTCGAGTGATAATCTTATGGTCCACACCAAACACCTCACCAACCTCACGATGTCTAGCCCCCTGCTCCACCATACCAACTGCCCGCCACAACTCTGCTTCTGATAAATGCCTTCTAACATTTGCATTCGCCATTATTCAATCTTAAATGTTCAATATTTCAATGGAAAATGAAGAATGAACACCCTACACGTGTCGGTACGTGTATGCTGTGTCTAATAAAGACTATCAAAATACAGGGTCACCTTGTTTGCACTACTTGCACGTGGAAATGGCCTGCCATTCAAGGTTATGTGTACACAGGGTACACTCTCGATACATTACTACACGATTTACAATGTAAATATCATAACATTATATGATGTAGAATGTACGATGCTATGCGGAAAACTTGGTGCTTAGCAAACTTTGAGGAGTATATATTGCAGTTGTTGCGTACTTGAATGACCGACTGTATACATGTGTATTCAGGGCATTTTGTTCCACGATGTTATATGAATTATTCTCCATATAGCAGTGGTAACATGATCAGTGCTGTTTAATCGAAAGTCGTGTTCTACAGACACAAAGCATAATAAGGGATCAATGACGTGGTTGTTATTGTGTATGCCTCTTAACCTGAGATCAAGCCCTACTGTGTTTGTAACGTCTGTGTTCCCTATACGACACCAAAATAAATACTGGAAATCTGTTCACTTGTGAAAGCGTCTTCTGCTTGGGGAGAGCATCAAGTGAGCTAAAACTTCTCCGTTACAATTGAGTACTAGTATGTAATGGTCATTTGTCTATTACCGCTGATTCAGAAAAAAAAGGAATCGGTCATTTGCGGAGAAATTGTTAAATCCAGGAATGTTGGTAAGTTGAATCGTCTGCATTAATATGATACAAAACATTGTTTTGAACTCGGCGTAAAAATCCAGACAATCAAACAAGAAACGGAATCGAGAAAGGCTGAATTAACATTTTATCACAATCGATGTAAGATAAATATGTTAAAACAAAAAAATAAAAACCAAGTAACCAGGTAAACCATAAAGGTTAATAAGTACAGAAAGACTTACCTGCAAGTGGCATACCAGACAACATTGGAATCCCTCCCAAACTGATGACCAGGCCATAGGCCAGTCTCATTTGACTAACAGGCACAACATGAGCTGCCATTACACTGTGTAAACCATTAAATCCACCTACATAAATATATATTTTTTTCAGAGCATCTTTTTGTAGAACAAAAATAATTAATTAAGTTCAAAAGTTTATTACCAAGGTGTTTGCTTTTCTAACAAAACTATAGATATTTCACAACAAATACAGAGTTGCTCTCCCCCATTATTGCTTAACAAACACACATATTGATGGTTTCAATAAATATGCTTTCAGAAAGAAAAGTGCGTTTTTGACAATATGTGATGAGCAGAAGTTTGTTTTGTTCGGATTTACGGCGCATCAACATAATTTAGGACATATGGCACCGAAACAGAATGTTTTTGGTTAATTTCGGGTGATACAAATTGTACAAACCTGGAGCAAGAGATGCAAAGACTCCAGTAATTCGAAGCCATTCTGTCGCCACTTACGATCACGTATGGACAAACGGTGGCCGCAATTCTGATGTCATGCCTTAATCCGTAAAAGCAACCCCACAGCCACTAAGGACGATTCCTTTATAACTCATTTATAAAATTCAGTATTGTATTCTGGTAGTAATTATAAAATGTAAAAAAAAATAATCGTATCTGTCATGCACCAATCATTTGTAAACCTATAATCTTTTTATCCCAGTTATTCGCAACATGGTACTGCTATCCCGTACTACGGTTATCTCGTGTTCCAGTGTTGAAAGTCCTTTGAGTTTATTTATTTGTACGTGCTTTATTCAACTGTTCACCTTTAATAGTCCCTGCTATTTTTTTGAACATAGGGATAGAAATGACTGGTTCAGTATAATCTTGCATTGAAGCAGGAATACATTTATAATTAAGGGAGTCTTACTCTAATGCTTTCCCGCCAAAAACAATTCTAACATCGACCAATATCGTAGCAAATCGGTTATTTCCGGAACGTTATTTTTTGGCATTAGATTATTTACAAACACTCACCTATTTTCGCTATGTACTAAATTCCGGTAACAAACGGTTAAAAAATTATTGTTACAATTTTAATGTCGAATAAAAGTTATATGTTATGTTATGTTATGTTATGTTATGTTATGAATACCGAAACTTGTGAAAATTAGCGTTCCGGAAATGACCGATTTATTACGATATCGGCTGATGTTAAATTTTTTGGCGGAAAAGCATTGCAGTAAGACTCCCCTAACTTCACTTACCTGCTCCTAAGCCAAGAACCGCTGCAAGAGCTATGAATGATATAAAGGAAGACGCCAAGGTTAATAACGCCGTCCCTATACTAAACAGTAGTAAACCAAAACTGTGTACGAATGGTATAAGTTTTGTCACTTTATGCGATATTGCACCAAACAGTAGCCGCCCACAGAAATCTGTAGCCCCGAGAACCATCACTATGATATAAACTTCCGTCGAACTGCGGTCTGCCTCATACATAAGATCTGGTAGGAAAGTAGCAGGAAGAAAGAGTCCAAAATAGGCCACAAAAGAAGCTGTTGCATACAAGACGTAGTTCATGTTTTTCAGCAGTTTAATCAATGCTGTTTTCAAATCAAATGGATCTGAAAGGGAATAACAAGACGAAACTGGTTCAGCAGTATCAAATTTGTTAAAACGATTGTACTAAATACATGTATATATAAATAGTAGGTACTTCAAACATTTCTCTCTATCTCACAAATTAAAATTTCCTTGGGTTCAAACTTTTCTATCGGAATACTACCGGTATAAACATTCCGGACACTTCGCCGATTGCACATAATTATAGTCATTTAGGAAAGGGCTAAACAAGGTTCACCAAACTTCTATATTTATTACGCTATACTAGATGAAAAATAAGTTATGCCAATAGTTTATTTTCTGCAACTGTTTACAAGCGTTACAGGTTAGTAAGTAATTTTCTATTATTTTAAGTCATTGCAGTTTATTTTTAAATAAATCGTTTTTACCTTCAACCATGTGCTCGTCTCCTTCAACAGTAACTTTCTCAGGAGGGAAAAATGTCAGTCCTGATGGTATTCCAATCAACGACAAGAGACTTAGGAACATAAAAGTCTTTCTCCAGTCGAATTTTTCAATTAATACAGTCATGACAGGTGGTAAAATCAAAGTACTCAAAGGAATCCCAGCATTTGCAACGGTCATTGCTACTGGTCGCCATTTGTCGTTAAAGTGAGGCCCGAGAATTGTGTTTCCACAGTAGTGTATGGTTCCGGAACCTAAACCTTGTTTTTAAAAAATTTGGAGGAAAAAAGAAACAACATTGAATATGTTATTTTCAGATGAATCGTTTCATATAATTGTCAAATCAAAAGGATTAGGTGGAAAATGAAATTTGCCGTCGATAAAATACATAAAACTATAAATATTAATGTTGCGTTCCCGATCTTCTTTTTTTATAAACGAACGTCATTGTGATCTGAGAAAATTACTAAAATATTTAGTTTGAAACGACACAGGATAGTTTTTCCATCAGAAAAAACAACAACAAAAAACAGAAGGCCTCTTTAATCAGCATAACAATTGTTTGGTTTACACACGGTATTACATATGACCGTTTTAAACAAGTTCATGTCTTATCATGTAAAACTATAATTCTGTAATAATTAATATTCATATATAATCCATTCGTTTTATTGTTTAATAAGAGAAGCACGTTCGTAAAATTCAAATAAGGGTGAAATGTGTTTGTGTTTTTGTGATAAGTACAGTAAGATAAATGAAATTTGATATAGTAACTTCATACATTTGTCCCGAAACAGATCTGTAACAAGGTGAAAAATATATGTTATGGATACATTACGAGTTTTTTTTCAGTTAGCTTTGTCCGAGGCCGAGGATAAATAGTTGTTTGTCTCTTTACGTCTGTAAGAAGACACTTTTGAAGAAAATACAAGTAACTGTATATCTGACTTGACCTTTCTGTTGAAAATGTGTCAGAGTTAAATCGTATACATATACATGCACAGTGCGTTAACTAGAGTGCAGGTATTAGTTACCCGCACTTCAGAGCATGCCCTTTGATTGGTTCATTTTTGCTGGGGTTTACTTATTGTGACGGCAAAGAAAGAGAAGGCGATAGAAATATCATGTTCAGATGCTCGTTCATTGGTTACTTTTTCTGGGGATTCATATTGTGACAACAGGGAAGGTGTTTATATGTTTGACTATGATACGCCCCCTCGTACAAATCAGATAGCCTCGTGTTTCGATGCTCTTTCTATTACATAATCCTTTGCGCTGTGAATTTTTATATATTTTAAAGGCATATTATTTGGCCAATATAAGCTCTAGTTAGGAAACTAAAACAAAGCAAGATGAAAAATATTACTTTTAACACTTTAAGTGTTCAAAGGGGGCCTTTAATGTATCAATGGTATTTGAATCGAGAAATATGCCGTAGGAAATAAAACGCAATAAGATAATTGATATGAATGTTCACAAGTGTACGAAGCAAGGAAAGAAAAACATGTATAATTTGTGTCTCACGGTATACACGGTAGTGTAGTATATTACAATGAGAAAGCATCAAGTTGACAACAATGATCCAAGATAGGTACGGCTTATAGAAGTGTATACTCTATGAATGTTGACATGATTTTCCTAAGTAAAGCGTATACGTTTTCAAAATTTTGAACACATCAACATGATAAAAACATGTCCGAGAAACATTTAGTGTCCAATCCTTTATAGATATTAATTTAAGCCGTCCTGAAATGTAAGGAAAGTAGTAAAGTTGTCGTCTGTGCTAAACATGCTCGCCCTCTGTGAGCAACACTCTCTCGTTAAGGAATATGCACAAATAAATACCATAGTCGAAACGTTACTTTATTCAAAAAAGTAAGATAAATAATAAGATTTTCTGGAATAAAAACTTTAAGCAATAACGCATACTAATTTAATTAATAAAAAATCAATCGGATTACAATTCTCCTTCTTAAAATAGAGAGAAAAAAGACATTATTCATATACACTCATTCAAAATCGTCTTTTGCAAATATCAAAACAGCAACATATCTTTTAGATACTTTTAACAATAAAAAATACAGCCTTGATTGCGCTTAATGTGTGTATTTAGATGGAATTTCCAGTCAAATAATGTGTTTCTCTGAATGCTCAAGGTTGTGAAATGAAAATAGCTACTTAAGTGTATGTATTTGGATATTTTGGTAAAGAAACATGCTCACGCTTTCGTTGTGGAACAATTGTCGTTACTCGCGTCAGTACCCAGTGTAAATGGCACCAAAAGTTTCTTTCGAGAAAGAAAGAGTATCGAAACACGGGGCTATCTGATTTGTGCGAGGGGGCAAGAGTGTTTTGATGTTCTTTCTCTTTAAATTGTATCATAGGCAAAATTAAAACACGTTCCCTGTTGTTAAAATATGAAACCCAAGAAAAAAGTAAATTATTAACGAGCATCTAAATATGACGTTTCTTTCTCTGTCGTTAATAACATTTGTATAAAATGCATAAAAGTTTGTATTATGAATATGTGTGTGTTAACCTTAATAAATATCTATCTCACTGTGCATGCATACGTGTATACGATTTAATTCTGATGCATTTTCAACAGAAATTAAGGTACAACAATATTTAAATGCACATTTGTCAAAATCATGTATCATATGTTAATCGTATGTATATATTTCACGTCTTATGTTTTGTGAAAAGCGGGGGGAAATGAGTGTATCTGCACCCGAACTATGAAATATAAACTGATGTCATTAAGTTGATAAATACATGTATTATCGATAACCGCAGTATGTTCTAAAATACAAACTACAATGTATTTTAACTCGTGATATTCTTTAGTTGTAGTAGTGATTTACTATGAATTTGCTTTAAAAAAACGGAAACAGTCCTAGTTAATTTAAATTTCGACCATTGCTGAAGAATAAAAAATGATAAGGATCTTGCAGAGCTTTGGACAGTCAATAATTAAGCATTTACTTCTATTAAACATTACAAGGAAGAAATAAACATATACATATGCGATACTTTTTTTTGTCAAAGACAACATTTCCTTAACTTAATTTATAAAGAATGTTATAACTTTAAAAAAATACTTATTTATAACTTTCCGATGTAAAAAGATATCTTTTTATGTGTTTACCCTACCAGAAAATCGGCTTATTTTTTATTTTTGCACTAAAATAACATGTATTAATTACAAACCAGCTATCAATCCATACGTGAAATATATTGCTGTCATCCCTGTTGCAAACATACTCGAAAGCATACCGACTGCAAGGAGAACAGCACCGGCAACTGCTAGCCATCTTTCCCCAGTTTTCTGAGTCAGTATTCCAAGTGGAAACCCTTCAATAGTTCAATGGTATGATTATTTATGATATCTGATGATGATGATAATATTAAAAGAGAAATGTTTTCAGCATCATGATAAAATATTATTTGTTGCAAAGCAGGGTAGTTTTGCATTGAAGAAGGTCTGTTTCTGGAAATATTTATTTAATTAAGTTACTGGTCTACATATGTTACCGGGCATATTTAGCCTTTTAAATAGAGATATTAAATTTTTACTAGGTCAGTACGATTTTGGGCGTCTTAAAACAAAAACAAGAGCTCATACTCGCTCGTTTATATTCAATTTTCAATCTAATTTTATATTGCAATCTACGTTTTAGTTGCATGTTTACTTGTTAGATCGAATTGTTTAAGTTATCTACTTAGGAACATTAAATATTACTTATTGAACTAGAATGAAATAATATTTTGTGATAAATTGATAAACAGATATTCAGAAATATAATCATAATTTATATTCATTGTGTTGACTATCATAAACAACTGTATTGCTTTTGTTTGAAATTTCACTGAAAAGGGAGTATAAGAAGCGGTGGCTACAATACAAGAACGGTGCCGTGACCAGGATCCGAGGTTTAGCGAGACAACGTAAAAGGCAACGAAAGAAGGCCGAGTCACACGAGATTGCGGACCAATTGACAGATTGATGAACTTCTTAATGCTGGGGTGAGTTGTTGCTCTTCTTGTCTGAAGTTGTTTAGAATTGTTTAGAGCCATGATCGAGGCTGGCATAGGAAATTTTTTACATAATGTTTCGGTAGTAGTATATATCCAAAGTATTTCAAATTTCGCATTTGAATAAATTACATAATTACTTACACAGATCAAAATGCTCAGTCAAACTTATATTATATATTATACAAATTTATGTTAAATAGAAATATCGAGCGTTTGGGTAGTTTCGTTGTCTAAAAATAAACGTCAGATTGAGTACATTAAAAGAATAAAAAATATAAAAGCAGATTATCTGAGCCGTCCTCCCAATGTCTATCCTGAATAAACGTCATCTGTAACAGAATTTTCGGACGTAAATGACAACTCTTGAGCAATAAATAATGAAAGTAAAGGGAGTACGAACTCGGTGAAACTTTAAAATCTAGATAAGTCCCTCTTGATATAAACATAAGTCCATATTGATATATCACATACATCCCTATTGATATGTATATAGGTCCCCATTGATATAAATATTATTAAGTCCCTTTTGATATAGACGTAAGTATATTGATATAAAATAAGTCCCTTTTGGTATAGACGTAAGTATATTGATATAAACATAAGTCCCTTTGATATATGTATATATATATACAAGTCCCTAACGATATATACATAAGTCACTATTGATATGCAGATACGTTAAGTCCATATTATACAAGTATAATATATAATATATGATAGTATATTAATAATGATTACGTTTATATACGAAATTATAACTGCGAGAGACGGGATAGATCAAATGGGAAGGGTGGGGGAATAATTTCTTATATATCTGAAGATATTACTTATAAACGTCGGCATGACTTTGAAATAAATGATATTGAGTCAATCTGGTTACAAATTTTTATTCCAGCTGCAAATCCTTCCTTTTAAATTTTGTTTATCGTCCTCCCAATTCTCCTCAGTCCTGGATTGATTTGTACGAAGAGCAAATTGAAATGGTCGATACTTCACTTATTGAATATTTTATAATGGGCGATTTAAATATCCCTTATTTACCAGGACAGGAAATGGAAATATTTAGAAACACAAAATGGAAGAACACAATAACTAAGTTCGGTTTAATACAATTAATAAAACATCCGACGAGAACAACAAATAAAAGTTCATCTATAATTGATCATATATATGCAAGTAATACTGAGAACGTGAAAGACATTTTCGTCTCATCTCTATCTATGAGTGATCATTTTCCTGTATGCATGGTTTATTCAACTAAAACTAACAAAAATAAAAAATATGGGTTGCATAAGGTGATAAAATATAGAATGACTAAAACTTTTTGTGAAGAAAATTTTCAACGTGATCTTTTAACATCTGGTATAGATATTACTGAAACAATAACAAATCCAAATAACTCTTTAAATTTCTTTTACTCTGTTTTAAATGAAGTATTAGCAAAACATGCGCCAATGAAAGAAAACGCGTAAAACGGGAGCACCAACCTGACTGGTTTACAGATGAAATAAAAAAACGATAAATTTGCGCAATAAGTGCCATAATAAAGGAGATTTCGATCAGTACAAAATTTTAAGAAACAAAGTTACTTCGTTAATTAGAAAGGCTAAGAAAAATTTCTTTAATAATGCCATTGAAGAGAATAAGGACTCAAAGTATGTATGGAAAAACTTGAAAGAAGTTTCTAACATCAATCAAACTAAACGGATAACACTTCCGTCTAAAATAGAAAAAAATGATGGAGTAATTGAGAATGAATTAGAAATTATCAATGAACTAAATAAACATTTTATCAACATTTCAAATATCATTACAAAAACCACTTTTTCTGAAAACAATTTTTCCACTTTAAAAGAAAAAATGGATACATTGCTAGGCTCTCGCGTATTTGATATTCCTTATATAACGACCATGGAAGTAAAGCTAATTATTTCAAAATTGAACACAAATAAATCTACAGGCCTTGATGGTATTGGCCCCGCAATTTTAAAAAGTTGTGGGGATACTATTATTCCTTGCATAACATCTATTATAAATAATATCATTCATTTAGGCTCGTGTCTTGCCTGTGTTTAAATCACGAAGTAGAGACTTTTCTGAAAATTATCGCCCAATTTCAATTCTACCCACCATCTCAAAAATATTTGAACGACATATTGCGTCACATCTTCAGACATTTTTTTTCAAAATACAGAAATTATACATGACAGACAATCAGGGTTTCGAAAAAAACATTCTTGTAATACAGCATTACTAAGATTAATTGATGCCTGGATCAAAGATATTGATAATGGTAAAATGATAGGTGCTATTTTCCTTGATTTAAGAAAAGCGTTTGATCTTGTCGATCATGAAATTTTGATACACAAATTGAAATTATATCTTTTTTCTAAAAAAGCTGCAAAAACTATACTTAATAGACTGATGCGTTCACCAACATTAGATATTTTTAATAAACTTACATGGCTGAAATTCAATTTCAGAGCGAAATACCACACAGCAATTATGGTGTATAAATCTTTAAACAATCTGGCACCGTTATATATGAGTGAAATTTTTAGTTTCTCTCACAATGAATTGCATAATTAACGCTCAATCGCTCATAAAGATCTTGTACTGAAAAGTAAACCTCATACAAATTATTTAAAGAATTCTTTTTCTTATTTCAGTATTGACGTTTGGAATAAATTACCTATTACTATCAAACAATGTTTGACTTTACAATCTTTCAAAAACAACTGTAAAATTTATTTTCTAAGTTTACAGTTAGATACATAATGAAAATTGATCACTTTATATTTTAATTGTTGCAAATGTTGATATCATCATTTTCTCTCTCTTTCTTTTAATCATTACGAGTCTATCTATAATTACCATAATTAATATGAGTGTCAGTCGGATGAATGTATAAAAATGATCTAACCTTTACATTAAATAATATATATTTTTTTTATCTATATACCAAAAGATTTTAAATATTTGTATAGGTCTACATTTTTTCTTTGTTATTGTTAAATCAGAAGGCCATACTGAAAATAAGTATACTTGTTACTGTAAACTTTGTATGTTACCTTCAATAAATAAAGATTTTATTATTATTATTATCCCTATTACATATATATGTATATAAGTGGCTATTAATATATACGTAAGTCCCTATTGATCCCTAATGATATATACATAAGTCCATATTGATAGCTACATAAGTCCCATACTAATGTATACGTAAGTCCCTAATGATATATATTTATGCGAAAAAACATTAACCGAAAGTCTAAATCGAAATGGGAGAAAATGAAATTAAAAACGTCACAATACATATATGCATATCTGATCCCCACATCTAGTGTCGAAATTTTCCTATGATCAAAAATACTTACCTACAAAACCAAGCAATGAATTAAACATAGATGCAGTCCACGCAGCGTCCGACTGACTGGTACCAAACTCTAGTCGTATTTCCCTGTACAAAATCCCGAAGGAAAAACTCATTCCTGATGACAGCATTTGAGCAAAATGGCTCCCTATAACTATCAACACTTTTCGCGTCACCATCTTTTATCAAATATTTTGTCAATACAATTTCATTCAAATAAAGCTCTTATGAAAAGAGAGAAAAAAATCTTTAAAAAGTCACAAACGTATGTGACCGTAACTTTTTACACATTTAAAGTGGTATACATCGTGTTTATCCATGTATAATTTTATTTATAAAGCATATTTTTAATGTATGGAAGACATGGAGGGACATACATGGAGGGACATTTTAAACTTACGGATTTAATCTTAAAAGTTAGGCATAAGAAGTAATGTGTACTGAAAAAAGCAGGCATGTCCATTAGTTTGTTAGTAAGACAGAGAACAAGAGCTGTCTGTAAGACAGTGCGCTCGACTTCTATAAGTGGTTTATAGTAGAACAGTTCCTTAAATGATCTGTTTAACAGGGTAATAAGACTTAACTTTAAAAATTTGAAATTGGACTTGTACGACTTGTACAAAAACGTTAATCGAAATTCTAAGTCAAACAAGGAACATAATTGTTCTTAAATTATCAATTGCGGAGCGGATGATGTTCACTAACAAGTATTTAAAGTTTCAAAGCAACACCTCAAAGGGCATACAAAGCCGGAGATGATGCGAAAAACCTTAACCGAAAGTCTAAGTCGAAAAGGGGGATACAATTTTAAAAAATTCACCTTACTTCTTATGGCGGGGACACTGGGAAAATGATGAACTAGAGGCAATTCCAAGAAAGACAAAATATCCCTGTAACATAAACATTATAAATATAACTTCAGTATAGAAGGATACACACATTTCTTCACATAGTGGTACTCTCATTTACAAAAATCTAGAACCTCTAAACAATTAAGACCTCCGAGGTCATTCATATATATACGTACTTCAAGTTGTAAGAATTTAGTTCACTATCAAGGTAATCAAGTAAGATTTTCATCTTATTTCTGCTGAAGGCTGCAAGCGTGTTCCTAAATATTCTGCCGGTGTCAACTGATTCTACCTATGCGAGCAGTGCATATATAGATAAGCTTGCACATCCATCCAGCACATAAAACACATTTTAAAATGGGTCCATAAATTTTAAATGGTGTTGTCCATATTGAAATATGAACACCCTCGCCCCCATTTAAGTTATTTATCATTAATTGTTCATTTTCCGAATCCTAGTTGAGCTTGTAGCAAAGGAACGATTCATATCACTCTGCCAGATAGACACAAGTTAAAAACGTGTCCTGCGGGGAATAGTTTTGAGCGTTCTTTAGGGATTCTCTCTATTTTATCGCCACATCAGCGTTGTTTGTGCCGTGTGGAGGCCGTAAATAGTCGACCCATACATTCAATCAGGGATGTTATATTTCCGATCCTTAATTAAAGATCGTTCAGCACAACGTTATGGCTACGTACGTGCTTGTGGTATTTTTTAGTTCTTTCTATTCGGCTATTTTCTAGTTGGGTGGTTCCAGTATTCCTCACTTGAATACTGTTTAATCACCCTTAGGATATGGGGCCTGCTTTTTAAATTTGTCTTTTGGCAGCTTATTTGTGATATGCAGGCTTCATAACCTCTGACCCCCTTTCAAAATTCCATCCATTGTTTAGGACACATGCATTCTTTTACTTGTGGATCGTATGCCGCTTTTCATGGAATGGCAAGAAAGTGTCACATTGAAGGTTCCATGATAACCGCCGTGTGAACACATCTTTTTGTCGTTTTGTGCGTTCATTAGGGATTCTTTATTTCTCTCTATTTAATATTCTTAATACCAGATATATAATAGTTGATCTTATATTATAGTTTACAGTAATCGGTCAATAACCGAAGATCTTAAGTCCAGGCGTGTGAGATTTGTCTTCCAAACGCCATGATGATACCCCAGGACCTTAGTCAATAATAGCTGTACAGTCCGATTAAAATATCGATCATACCTATATATAAAAGTGTTAGTTTCAAAAAATAAAACAAGACATAGTACAAACACCATGAACATAGTTCAAGTTAAATCGATGACTGGATCTAATACTTACCTGTTGTGAATCCTTTGACCATATAAATAGAAACTTTTTTATGAATCATTGCCAACAAACAAACCTGTCATTGAAAATCTATTTATTGTCATTAGAAATACAGTTTTTTTAACTATATTTCAAGAAATACACGATAATATTGAGTGATTAGGGATCTTTAAATATTATTGAAACTGCTCCCTGTACAACATAAAGATGCTATTGCCTATCTCGTTTGAGTCTGGATTTGTGAAATCATGAAGACGCTTGTGAGAGTTCAAATTAATCCAAGTGTTTCTCTTTCACAAATTGACGATATATCTAACGTTTTATTAGAAAATTAACCAACTGTTGTAAAAGACCCATTTTTGATTGGTTTTGTCCAAATTGAAATATGGACACCTCCATTTAAGTTATTTACCGTTAACAATCGCATCTTCTTGTCCCTTTCTGTCAAAGTTCGGATAAGAAGTTATTATTGATAATAGCCTTGATGTCCCGATTGTAGCGTTAATTATTTATTTTCCAAACCCTAGTTGCGCATGAAGCACAGGAACGTAGTCATCCCACTCTGCCAGATAGAAATTACCAGCGACTAGTTGTAAATTGAACCGTTTTGCTATATCCCTAGCTTTCTGAAGGCGTCTACCATCCGCTGTAAATATTGAATAATTTATTTAGATTTACAACATGCCCACACTTCGATTAAGAAAATAAAAATGATCAATTATAGAAGTTGTCATCAATAGGAATGCATCGAAATTCCCTTTCCTTTACTTATTTATTTTAATACATTAATTTATCTTAATGTATATATGTACCCTACAATATGATTTATGTTTCATAAAGATAATTTTATGAATAAATCCACACATAATAATTAAAAATTAAAAAAAGCACCGATTTTATTGTATTGTCCGAATTATCCCTGTATTTCTGAACTATATAGCACAGAACAACGGACAGATATATTTATGAACCTATTTATTAATGTTAAAGAATAGTATACATGTGTCCCTACAATATGGTTATATAAATTATTAGATTTTTTTACCATCAAAATTCTGCTATTTCTTATATTTTGTCACATTTTATGTAACCTGTTAAGGTCTTATGTTAATACAATAACTTTTCTTGTATATGGTTTATTTGTTCACTGTACGGCTTTTTCGACTACATGTATTTTAAACATATATTTTTTAAAATTAGAATGAATTTTTAGATGAGTTGCTGTAATATAATATATAGAATAACCCTCAACATGTTTAATATCTTAAATTGCCTTATCAAACATCGCTCAATTTGCCTCAGATTTTTCTTCAAATGAATATATATTAAGTTTTATTTTGCCATATATACTGTCAAGTAGTTTGCTTTCTAAAAGATGTTTTTGTGATTTGCTTGCAAGGAAATGAACCCTCTATACAGTCATCTATTTCCTAAACATCTTTTCAAAATCAAATTATTTGATAATAATTATTTGCAGAAATTAACAAACAACAACCTCTCTGGCTGCGATTAGTCCTCTAAACTTGAATTTTATACTGTTACCACAAAGCGCAATACAAACACCTCTAACTTGAATTTTATACTGTAACCACAAAGCGCAATACAAACACCTCTAACTTGAATTTTATACTGTAACCACAAAGCGCAATACAAACACCTCTAACTTGAATTTTATACTGTAACCACAAAGCGCAATACAAACACCTCTAACTTGAATTTTATACTGTAACCACAAAGCGCAATACAAACACCTCTAACTTAAATTTTATACTGTAACCACAAAGCGCAATACAAATACCTCTAACTTGAATTTTATACTGTAACCACAAAGCGCAATACAAACACCTCTAACTTGAATTTTATACTGTAACCACAAAGCGCAATACAAACACCTCTAACTTGAATTTTATACTGTAACCACAAAGCGCAATACATACACCTCTATCTTGAATTTTATGCTGTAACCACAAAGCGCAATACAAACACCTCTAACTTGAATTTATACTATAACCACAAAGCGCAATACAAACACGATCCCTATGGTGTATTAATTAATTCACAGCATGCCAGCGGCAATTAAATTTACCCATGAGACTAGTCCACACCTTGGTATAAACTGTCCTCTATTCAGTCAATACTTTCTTTGAAATTTCGAAAACATAAAGAATGATCTGATGCAGATTGAACATTGATTGACAGGAAGATAGAAGGCAAGTTGAGGGTTATTTTATATCAGAATCATAATATTTTAGTAGTTTACCTGTGTTATTTGGCACCCTTGGTAAATCCTTTGTTTCTATCTTACCGTTGGTTTGCTTGAACAATAAGAAAATGTATCTATGTAAACCTGAAAAATATTATAAAAGAAAAACAAAATGTAGATTAACAACGCTTAAAACAGTGACAAACAACGATAAAAATATAGAATCAGTAAAATTCTTGAAATTATAACATAAACAGACAAGCCACACAAACACGAACATTCAGTAATTATTTATTGCATACGTTTCGGTATTTATATAATTCATTCAGTCTACCTAATATGAGCAGCGCCACGACATAATGCGTTTGCGACCAGCATGGATCCATACCAGCCTGCGCAGTCTGATCAGGATCCATGCTGTTCGCTTACAAACCCTATTACAAATAGAGAAACTGATAGCGAACAGCATGGATCCTGATCAGACTGCGCGGATGCGCAGGCTTGTCTGGATCCATGCTGGTCGCAAACGCATTATGTTGGTTTTGTCATGGCGCGGCAGTTAGATTAACTATCACACCTACCAGTTCCTTTAGGTGCTCCAGATCCAATGTATGTGGTCAACTCTTCGCCAGTGTTGATGTCATTGTTTGTAATGTTCATTACCAACCAGTGCTGGAACTCACCAAATTTAGGATCTTCTCTCGAGGGAGCGTCAGGATCTAGTGTTGGAAGAGAGATTCCAATATAAATAAAATTTAAGAGTTATTATGGAGAGCTAAATATTACAGAATACGAAGAGACCAAATATTACAGCATGCAAATTGCCAATATAAAGCAATAAGCTGATAGCCAAAATAAACAGTGAAGCGCCAGGCAAGGACATGGTGCAATGCACTGTGATACAACAATAAGCAAAGAGACAAAATACTACAGTATTGCAAAGTGCCGAAAAACTTACATTATGTAAATAACCGAGATAAATCATTTTACAATGCGCTGATTTTGGACAGTTTGCTAATTACCGAAAGCCCATTATATTTATAGTGGTCAATGACCTATAAACAATTAGCTGTAGTACACATAATACGGCAGAGATCTGTCCCCCTTCTTTGTTTTTGAAAAAACACTGTTTACCGTAATATTAGGTCGAAGCGCCGAATTAAAAGAGCTATGCGAATTGCTACTCAAATCAATGACAAACAACAGTAAGCAATTGCCGATAGAGAGTATGAAGAGAAATAATACTGTTGACAAGATAGAACAGTATACAAAATGCCAATATAAATAAGCGAGAAGCTAAGATAAGACTGTGAAGCTGCAAGAAGGAGCAGTAATAAGACAGCAGAGAAGTTGATTATGCGAGGCAGAATGCTGTGCGCTGACATAGAACAGTATGCAAAGTGCCGGTATCGATATAGGGCACAGTATGCTTAGCATTAAGATGGAAGGTTATGAAAAGCACGTTGATAGAATAGTGTACGTGCAAGCGCTGAAAAACTGCAGTATATATAAGTGCCGAGATTAAACAGTATGCACAGCACTGAACGAGATAGAACAGTGTGCAAAGTGAAAAGATTAATGAAACTGTATGCAAGCCACAAAAATATAGCAGTATACAATAAGCAAAGATAACACAGTATGTAAGCCTAAGATAACAAGAAATGCGAACCAACAAGATAGAATAGTATGCAAAGAGCTGAGATAGAACATTATACAAAGTGTCAAGATTAAACAGTATGCGGAGTGCAGTGTGCAAGAATTAAGATGAAAAAAGTCTGCGAAAAGAACAGTATGAAATAACCGAGATTGGACAGCATGTGAACAGTCAAGACAGAACAGTATATGAAGCACATAAACGATTTGATTAGAGCCCTTTCTGCTCGCTGTAATGTCATAAGATCAAACTTTGATATTTTACCGTGACAAATCAGTGTAAAGAATTCGCTAGCATCTTGCTCAATTGTAACAGAGGGAACGTCCTTGACATTGGTTGGAGTTTGAGTATCCCCTGGTCGTAACTCAGCGTTTCCAAACTTTATCTGTAAGTGAAACAGTGAATCTTGTATGGTTGAATAAATAACTGTTTGTAAAGCTCTACATAACTCGAGAGTAAATCATTTGTTAATTATAATGTACATTACACGATTATAAAACATTTGATAAAGAATGTTGAAAAACATTTTAGAGGATGTTAACCAGTTAGTTACGATTTCTTGTAATTTGTTTAGTATTTTTATTGATTACATGTTTATCGCAATCTTCTCTATAGCATTTAATCCGTTCGTCTGTGAATGCATACGGAGATCCATCTAAATCAGGAGCAAAAATAAACATTGCATGCCCAGCAATGTGGCCACATGGCTAAATTGTCAACGGACTAGTAATCTAAGGATTGCTGGCCGCGTTGGTTCAAACCCAGTCAGATGCAAGCAGTTGTTTCCTCAACGAAAAATGTGTACAGTGTATCCATAAGCTTATAATAAAATTATTGCATACATCTGAATTAACAAATGAACATTGCAGGCTAGGATACATCGTTGGATACCCACGGTTGATTAACATTGTTAATGGTTCGACCATGGGTATCCGACGATGACTAGGATATTGTCGGGGTTTTTTTTCAACCCCAAATTGTCTCTTTGTATTGCACCTTCACAATCGAGGCATTATACAAATAAAAAAAACTAAATGAGTTTTAAATGTCTTACCTTCAAAGCAGCCGGTGGTACTTCATCGAGAACATCCGGTATCAATCCGCTTGTTCTAAATACATCCATTTTATATTATAACAGGGATTTATATTAAACTTATATATACTCAATCTTAGGACGTACTAAATTTTAACACGACTATATTATATCTTTACATAAATATAGAGAGAGTTAATTATACGATTCAAATCTTAATACTTAATATATTTGCACAGATTTTTATCGGGTTAATGTAGAATAAAATCTAGTACAAACTATATTTATTTTGTTAGGTAAAAGATTATTGAGAAATTTGTGGATGCTGACTAAAACAGTCACGTTATTTTGCAGCATATTAACTAGATTATTTCGAAAACAATTATCATGATAGTTAAAACCTGTCTCTTCGTAGTCAAGGCAAGGGCATTTTCCACTTAATGTGCCGTTTATAAAACAGGTTTGCATAGAGAGAAAAACACGAGACCATTTGAAAATACATGTACAGTGAATATAATAGAATAGAAAAGAATTCATTTCCGATTATCAGCCTTTTCAGGCTTATCAAAAATAAATTATACATGATTGAACATAATAATGTGTTAAGATATGAGACGCATGTTTAAAGTCATGAACAATAGCAAAATGTTGTAGCTTAAATATACTTTGTTTTGACATTTTAACACCATTCTATCACCAATAAAATCGTCCTAGAAGTGGACATTCATTCAAGACATTCTAAACCAACTACCTATACAAATGCGGGGAATATAATGCACACACATACTGATTGTTTCACGGCAACGCAAGCACTTTGCTCATGGATGGAACACACTCAAAAGCACCATCGATGTTTGGACAGCATTTTTTGTATACAAATTCTGGAAATCAAAGTATCCTCTGAAAGCATTATCACAAGCAGAAAATTATAAGAATTTGCAGACATACGAATGTTTGATTGAAGGCTTGTTACAATGAAGGATAATGAATAATTTTGTGCATTTAACATCAACCTCACTTGACACCTGCTGTTGTGAAGTATAAAAATCTGGAAACAAAGTGATAAAAAAATATTCAAATGTCAGATGTCATATAGACACAGTCTAGGAAACAATGTTATAAATTTTGCTGAATTGTTTGTCTTATTATATGTGGATGACGCAGTTATTTTATCCGAATCGGCATCCTATTTACAAAAAGCTTTAGATGTATATTAAAATTATTGTGATCAAAATTGATACTTCTTAATTAAGTTTCTTATATTTTCATAATGAGTCCATAGACACTTCATTTCTTTTAAATTAAAAAAAAGAAGATTTTTTCAGAATTCATGGACCACGGATTTATATTACAATATAAATCCGTGCATGGACCAAAGTATTATTTCACTTTTTTTCAACTTTAATAACAGCAAAAACATAAAAGACTATAATTGCAGAACAAGCAACTAAAGCCATGTATTGTCTACTTAAGAAAGAATTATTACCCATTTACCCATTGATACTGAAATAGATGCATTTCGAAGCACTGCAAAAGCAATATTTTTATACGGCTGTGAGATATGGGGATACGAGAACATTGATATCATTTAACATGTACAGCTTAATTTTCAAAATATATTTAACTGTAAAACCTGATGCACCTAATAATAATGTGTTTATGATGGAATAGGTCTTTAACCCATAAAAAGTAATGTTAAAAAGAGAATATTTTTTCTGTGTTACTAATGCAGAAACGGTTCCATGCGTTCACGGTCTTCAAATAGAATTATATTTGAAAGATCCTGATTGATTCAAATACAAAGAATTTAGAATATTTAGATATGAAATATTTATATTCGTTATTATAACTAAACTTATGTTTACTGATTATTTGTTATAGGCCCGTTGTAAAGAGTAGAGAAGAATCTGTGATCAATTCGACAGCCTTGCATTCCTTATGGCGATTCTCCGAGATATATCCTCAGAGGTCTTGGTCGGCTTACTTGATCACTTCGACTCAACGTACGGTCCATGGTGATACAGACCAGTTTTGTGAAATGCACGAATTCTAAACTTAGTTTTGGAGTGTGTATGAATTAACTTTAACGGCACATTATGCCTCAGAAACAAGTAAAGTTTTAATTCTTAGAAGAGGTTAACATAGATTTTATTATGTTAAGATAATGGCTTTTAGAGATTGTTAGATGCTTGTTACCTGAACAAAGTAGCGATAAATGTGAAATAATTTGTCATAAAAGTAGCAAAATGTAAGCAAAGTAGTATTTTGACTTCCATACAAAATACTAATTCACTCTAACAGTTCTTAGTGCCAAAAAAACCAACAGATGAAAAAGATGGTCAATGAAATTGGCCAATGAGTAACTTTTAGAATACTATAAAAGTACACCAACATTAAAAAACTTTTGAGAGATAAAATTAAAGCATTTTTGAGGCATAATGGGGCTTTATATGAGTGGACAAATCAACATGCAACGTTTTAAAAAAAAGTTGGAACAATGGATTTTCGGCAGGTTTTATCAGTTATTAAACGCATTTAGAATCTAGTGGATTTCTCTTGTGTTTTTGTACATTTTAACTTGCCTAAGGAGAATATTAATCATTTGAACTTTATAAGAGAATTTGTCTTTACTTGCAATATTAACGTCAAATAAATATTTAAACAGTGAAAAGTGTATTGTGTTCTTTGTCTCGATTTTTCTCATATTTCATATTTAAAATTTCAAAAGAAATTGCGTGATGCTTTCTATATATTAATTGTTATTTTTTGTCCAATATGTTTTGGAGCCATTTATTTAGAACTTCCATTACAAGTTTAGAACACATTAGGACGATAAATTAAGTTCCCACAAATGTTGAACATCCACAGCTGATAAAAAAATATGTTAATATCAAACATGATAAAAATAAAGAACAAAACAAAAAAAAAGATCGATATAGGTAGGGACATCTAAAACATTCGAAATACTTTTTTCCATATCTTTTTCTGGCAAAGAGAATTTGGTGTACGTCAACCATAATTTGAACTCCAGAAAAACTATCCTGGGAAACATCAAAACTGTGGTAGAGGATAGATTAAACTTACAAATACTTAACATTGTATTATCAGAAAATACAGTGCTATGAAAGAGCTGTCGTTTTAAGTTATACCTTAAAACTGAAACTGGCATTAGTTCAAATGTGTTATAAATCTGCGCATACAAAAACAGAAGTCTTATGCTAGTTCTTTTGTCTGTTGCCCTATATCACTATATTGTCATGAAAAAATTCTATTCCATTTCAATACATATGTAGATCAAATGAACAGGTATTCACTCGGGACACTGCATATCAATTTCAATATATCGGTCTGTCTTATAGTGATTATAGAAAAACAAATTTCGGGATGTTACTTTTTCAAAGAGGACTACCGTCAGGCATATTATGGCTCAGAAATCAATATATTTTTAATTATTTAGAAATATCAAATGTGTGTTAAATAATGTTTTAATAATATATTTAAAGCATTTTAGATGTTAAACAACTGAAGAGAATAACACTGAACATGCAGTAATGTGTCGTAAAGGGTGCCAAATGTAAACTAAGTGGTATTTTGACTTCTATACAAAATACTAAATTACTATATAATGATAACAATTGCCAAAGAGAAGAGGAGCAAAAGATAGTTTATTTATATGGCAAATGAATAGCTATATATACAGTATGGAAACTGAAACAAGATATGTAAAAAATACATTTATAAAAACGCCAGCATATCTGAGGCTTAATGGGCCTTCAAGGAAGGCGTCAGGTTTCACAGTAATAGTAACGATTATGAAGAAGCTAGATCGTGGGAATGATACGCACGCAAATACGAAATATGATATATTTAAACACCACAAAAAAGATACAACGAAATACAAATCGCATTATTTTTAAACTAATTAGGCAATATCCTGTTACCTGCGTTGTGTGATTACAGGGTTTTGAGATCATCGTGTAATCTTATGAGTTCATATGTTCAGGCTCAGTCAAACCGAGTCTGCAATTTTCATGTAATTTTGTTGTAATTAATGCCTCCGGTGGATCACACTTAATCCAGATTTTTTTTACTAAGGAGATAGAAGAAATAGAATAGCAAATAATGTAATGCTGCGTATTTACAAAAAAAACAACAAAAAACAACAAACAAACAACCAAACTTTATAGGCCTACATCTCACAATGGAGATTATTCTAAGAAACCGTATGCCGGAATAACGCATGACATGTGCGATTGTTTCGCCGAATCTGTGCAACGTTTGGCCGCTATATTATCCGCATTACAAATGTGTCCAGGAAATTGCTTACTTCGGCTACTGTATTCTAGGATACGTTCGATCGTTAGTAATGAGCAGGGCATCGCATATAAACATTTTGTCACGAATGATATTTTAAAAAATCTGGCATTTTTAAATGACCTTTAAAATACGGGAAACATTATATTATATTAATGCTGCCTTCCCATGAGAATATAAATAATAGAATCAAGCAGTATACAAGGCCACAACAGGCTCAAGCGGTGTCTGCAACATTGAAAAATATCACCGTGTTTGGCAAATCCTCATGTTCTCAAAATTAAGGTTTTCATTATTTTGGCAAAATAGTGCGTCAATCACATCTTTTCGGTCCTTTCCGTCAAACTTCGGATCCATATTAAGTCCGAGGTTATTTTTGATAATAGACGAGATGTTCCGATTGATAGCGCATCTCTGTTTGAAAAGTGCACTTGATATGAACGCAAAGCTCCGACTACTTATTGTTTTTAAAGGATTTTAGACGAAAAAGCTTGAAGATTAACTATTATTACCCAAAGAAAATCTAATTTATTGCGTTTTGCGCTGTAATAGTTAAGCTATTTAATTCTATCATTAAATTGTTACTTAACAGGACTTTCTATTTTTGAGATTTTGATACCATTTAGGTATCATGCCTAAAAGATGAGATATATTCCTAATTAATACATTACAGAGACGGGCCGGAAAGTGATAGTCGGCCCTGAAATGATTAATGTCCTCGGGGGGTGAAGCCCTCAGGTCCATTATCTATTTAGCTGACCGATTATCACCTTCCGGTCCTATACTCTGAGGTGTATATTTCATACAAGATACAAGAAACTTTATTTTAAGTCGGTTAACAAATTACAAGAAACATTAGCTAATAAGCTATTTACCGACAATAACAAAGACATAAAAAGATATTTACTAAAATATAACAGATCTGGAAAGTAAAAACATTTAAAACTAGTAGCAAATATAGGCATGAAATATAAGTAGCCAGATTGAGAAGAACTATACAATAAGATGACAAATTAAAGCAAAGTATATTGACATGTATTAAAGGGACTAACAGTTTCAAAGTAATGAACGACTGTAGTATATAATGAGCTGACAATTTCAGTATTATACATGCAGCAAGGTGAAATAAATAAAAAAAAATATAATTAAAATATAAATTAATTAAAATAGTAACAGTTTACATCTAAAGTTTATACATATTTAAAGGTTTACTAAAAAAATTGACTTACTTAAAAAGTACATGAAAGTTTTTATGATAGAACTTAAACTGCATGAAAAAAAAAAGATAAAGCACATGCAGGGTAAAAAAAACAAAGTTAACTAAACTTCAGTTGCATGCACAGCCTAATGAAAGGGAAAGTAAGAAGCTTTAATTAGAACAAACATATAAGCCAAGACAGCAAAGATACAACTTAAGCATAAAAATACAGGGTTTAAAGGCAAAATAACATACAGCATTTAATCAAAGCATCAAAGCAAACTAAAAAGGGATGCACACTTACAAACGTGCAGTCTTAGCAAAACTAAGCAAATTAACAGACACATAGCAAATTTACAGACACATAGCACATTTACAACTAGGGCCACACCAGACCTTTATCAGGTATTACCATCTCATATGCAAATAGCTGCAATTACACCAAAAAGAATTTAATAACATGCATAAATAATTGCAGAATACTTTATAATGATACATTAATGGGACTTATTTTGTCCAAGATATAGGACTGCCATTATGAAACGTATAATATGAAATACTTTAATCGTCACATATTCGCTGTAACAAAATTTAGAAATATATATATATATGTATTATATCGTAGACCTAATATATAGGTCTTTTCTGTATATCATTTCAGCATTTTTTTTACAAAACGTACTGCAGTACTGTATAGTGTTGTTCTTTAGAACATCTATACTAGGAAAATGAACATTTATACTAGGAAAATGTATCATGTAATAACTTATCTATAGTCATTCAGGAGAAAAAAGACTTCATAGACATAATCATACATGTATATGACTTTGTGTTATGGGAAATTAACCGCGTTAAACGTAGGCGAAATTCGTGCTACAGTTATAGCCCGTGTCGTAATTATCTGCTCCGCATCATTTGACTATCCGCCGTGTGTAGAGTAAGCCGCAAAGTGAGGTGTTAACCGGATAACACACATTTTAATTAGAAAACTGGAAACTTTTTTAAAAATCGTTTTGTAGAATAATATAGTTTTGTGATATTGTTATTTTCATTTGGTGTGAAATATTTATACTCTTCAAGGTGGGTATATTTTTATTTCATTACTATTATTTTAGAAGAAAGAGGAGGTATTTGAAGTCACATGTTAATTGCTAGAATTTCGGATGACAACAAAATTGAAATAATCCGCTAAGTTAATATATGACATGCAGTAGACTTACAATATTTGACAGTCACCCCACATACTGATTTTTTCTTTTTGGTTTATATTAAATTTAATTCCTGATTATTTTTATTAAAGGTAAAGAAGCGCACTACAAAACTATAGAATTTGTCAGTTTATGGTGCCAATAGATCTGTGTCTCTAATAAAATTCATATGTTATTTTAGTCCCGTTTCTTTTATATTTAGAAATAATAATAAAAATGCAAAAAACAAGACCCAATTTCAGAAATAGTTAAAGTAGATAAAAACTCCTCAATTTTTTAATTGGTTTCTCCCTGACTATAGTCGTGACTTACATGTAAAGCTGTTCAACACTCATATCATCCAATCAGGTGCATGCACTGTCATTCTGTCTTGTTGATCATTGTGAAGAATAATTTTTAGCTCGACTATTCGATAAGAATAAGTAGAGCTATTGCAGTCACCTGAGCGTCAGTGTCGGCGTCTGCGTCGTCGTAACCACTTATGTTAAAGTTTTTGTAATAGTTCAAATATTTTCCAAGTCCATTGACATATGGCTTTGAAACTTTGCACACTTGTTCACCATCATGACTCCAACCTGTAGACAGGAGGAGGTAACTCTATCAAGCATTTTGACAGAATTATGCCCCTTTTTCAACTTAGAATTTATGTTAAAGTTTTTGTAATACAGTGGAGCCTTGCTAATCCGAACCCTTCTAATCCGGAATCCTTCCTAATCCGAACGAAGTGTCCCGTCCCGATTTTATTCGTTCTATTTTCAATAGTAAAAAACCTTTCGGATCCGGAACCTGTCTACTCCGAATTCCGGACGATTTTTTCAATTTTTGTTCTTATTTTACTCTAATATTTACCTCTCGGATCCGAACAGGTTTTGCCAAATGTTACACCTTCATTCAAAATAACAAATAATCGCACATCTTGCAGGTGTAAACATACACCAAACTGATGTGTTATTTCGCTTGATTAATGGGTGAAACGTATGATCTGCGAAGGTGTGAAAATTACACTTAGCTTGCCTTAATATCTTCTTTAATTGCTTAATTGATTGTTTTTCGTCACATTCAATAAATATTTTGATACAATGCAATAGAAATATCTTTTAATTCTTTGTAATGGATTCAATGAAAATTAATGGAAACTGTCAGTGAATTCGGATAGTCGCTGAATCGGATAAGAGTTAACAACAATTGACAAATGCTGGTACGAATATTTTATCATGTTTCGGCCTCCTGTTTAACATCGTAGGTTAACTTACCCTTGAGGAAATAGTATTTTTGCTTATTTATTTATTTATAGTTCTTTATCTTTGTATTCATATGTAATAAAATGAACGATAAGACTGCAAAAATAAAATATCTAAATTGCAAATCCCGTTTTCTTTCCTTAAACTATTTTACATATACATGTAACATGAAAAAACATGTAAAAAAAAACCTTCTAATTCGGAAACCTTTCTAATCCGGAAACCTTTCTAATCCGAACTTTTCTTCTAGTCCGGACGAGTTCGGATTAGACAGGTTCCACTGTAGTTCAAATATTTTCAAAGTTCATCGACATATGGCTTTGAAACTTTGCACTCTTGTTCACCATAATGACCCCAACCTGTAGACAGGAGAAGGTAACTCTATCAAGCATTTTGACAGAATTATGCCCCTTTTTCGACTTAGAATTTATGTTAAAGTTTTTGTAATAGTTCAAATATTTTCCAAGTCCATTGACATATGGCTTTGAAACTTTGCACACTTGTTCACCATCATGACCCCAACTTGTAGACAGGAGGAGGTAACTCTATCAAGCATTTTGACAGAATTATGCCCCTTTTACGACTTAGAATTTATGTTAAAGTTTTTGTAATACCTCAAATATTTTCAAAGTTCATTGACATATGGCTTTGAAACTTTGCACACTTGTTCACCATCATTACCCCAACCTGTAAACAGGAGGAGGTAACTGTATCAAGCATTTTATTTTACTATCAAGCACTAAGAATAGTCGAGCGTTGCTGTCCTACCGACAGCTCTTGTTTGTTAAAATGTTTTAAATACATGTTTGTATAAGAGAATACAAACCAACTTGTAACCAACCAATTCTTTTTATGATACATGAAATGACATTTAATTTTTATTTAAAATATGCTTAATCTGTGTGTATATTCTAGGCCGCGCAATTGCAGAATTCATTCATAGATCGTGCACAATTTTTAAACATGATATCAAAACGTGTAAAATTTCCAGTTGGCCTGTTTGTTAACATGAACACTGGAAACTGAATGGAGATAATTCCAACCTAATTTAAATCAATATATATATATATATATATTTTTTTTTTTTTAAGTTTAGCCACTCATAGGCAACTCATGAAGCCATGAATATTTATTTCCATTCAAGAATCGGTTGAATATGTCTGTGTTTCAAATTATTAAGGAAGTGCGGACATATATATGAAAATTTATGTCAGAGAAGAAATACATATTTATTGGCTTTTTAACATTTTTTGGCATAGGCTAGCAGTTATTTGTTGATGAAACCGGTTGATGCTGGTTCAGATTCCTGTAACATTTGTTTGATAACTGCCCAATGTCTGGTGATACTTTAATGACTGAATTAATAAGCTCAGAACAAACAACCACATGGCATTGGAATGAACTCTTTGTGTTTTCCTCCTATTTGTTTCATACGAAATAGAATTGCACTAACAAGTTTTATGCAATTAAGGAAAAATGATTAAATGTTAGAATATGCAAGTTTCAGTTGAATTTCTGGCATGGTTTAATAGAAATATAAATATATTGTCCCATAAAATACAAAAAATACGAGAAATATAATAATATCCCATTTAATACAAGTTATTCCTTTTTTTATGTAATATTAACTAATATTTATTCAAGATTTCAAGTAGGTTGGGATGAGACATTTCTAATTTCTAAGCCTTGCCACCTTTTTATACATAGATTTACTTTTAGATACCCTTAAGAATAACAAAATTGATCTTGTATTTTTAAAGTATAACTTTTAAAAATAAGCCTTTACCTTTCAGAATAAAGCAAAAAGGATTGTTTGCACATGAAGGTGTAGCACTTTAAAGGCTTCAACAAATAATGGACTATTGAAACCCCCCCTTGTTTGTTCCTGTTTGTTGCACTCTTAAAGTTTCTGTACCTTGTGATAAACTAAAATTGAGCCGCGTCATGACAAAACCAACATAATGGGTTTGCGACCAGCATGGATCCAGACCAGCCTGCGCCTCCGCGCATTCTGATCAGGATCCATGCTGTTCGCTATCAGATTCTTTACTTGTTATAGGGTCTGTAAGGGAACAGCATGGATCCTGATCAGACTGCGCGGAGGTGCAGGCTGGTCTGGATCCATGCTGGTCGCAAACACATAATGTTAATTTTGTCGTGACACGGCTCAAATAAATCAGCTATCTTGCTGGGATAGAAGTTTGTGTTTAGCGGATAAATTTCCTGCGATCTTTAAAAGGAAACATTGGACTTTGTCTTATATTTACCCACAGTGGAAAAATCGGTAAATAAATTTTTATACAGTTTCATTTATAATATCTTAAAGACCTGTCAAGTTGCAGAAATGTTGTTATTTTTATTTTTCAAAATCTTTTAACTTTTTGTGTCCTGTTACAGTTAACAAAAAGTTCCTAGTTGGCCAATAACCTGAACCATTTGTTGCTTCTGTTGCCATTTGGTAATTTAAAAACAGTAATTGAGTATTTTGTAAGGCAGTCAAAATACTGCTTTGTTTTAATTTTTACATTTTGCTGTGTTTATGAGAAATGTTGTTACATTCAGCGCTACTCTCTCCAGGTGATTAGCATCTAACACGTTCTAAAACCATTATTTAAATGTTATAAAACTCCTGTTTGATCTCTCTAAAGAAGGATTTTTTTTTTATTTGTTTCTGACTCTGAAGCATGATGTGCCTTTAACTAAGTAAATCAAGTAAATGTAAGAATGATATATTTCATAGAAGTGAAACAGAAATTTCTGCGAAACAACAGTCTGAGATCCAAATCAAATCCCTTCTGTAAGACAGTAACAAAGTTTGGGTATTAATCAGAATTCTGATTCAGTAGAAATGAATATAATAAAATACTATATAAAATTAATTAATAATTTATTGCAGTTTAAGACAGTCAATAAATTTTATGTATTAGTTGGAAAATAAACGAAACAACAAATATAATTTAATTTATATTGATATTTTATCAGTTTGGAGCCACATTCATTAATTATAAGGATTCCACTTTGGGTTTCTTTTTAACTGGAGATTATTTTTTTCTGATTTATGTTCCATCTGATATAGTATTAGGTCTGGACCAATAATTATTTTATTAATTTGAGATGTCATTTTTGTTTTCGTTTTACATGTACAACAAAGAGCATTTTCTAAGTTAAAAGCATTTTAATCAAATTTTTTTTAGCCCACAGCCTACATGAATATGGTAAATACTTGATTTCTTTTTCTTCCCCCACCTCCTCTCTCCCCCAAGTATGAAATACAAGATGTAAATTTAGTTTTACTTTACTTTTCAAAATGATGTTATAAAAAGTAATTTCATGCCAACTTCATGCCAGTACTGAGGTTTTTTTAAAAAAAAGAAAAAACACAATTAAAAAACACCCATTTTATAAAATCTACGCCAACATTTTGTAAAATTGCAATCTCTATGTGAAATAGATTTAAACTATTTTATGTGGGACTATCTCTGAATAGGTTTAAGATAGTATGCTTCTGATATGATGTTAAAAGTTTATTCTTCTCCTTTTAAATTTTTCAATTATTCAGTTATACAGTTGACTCAAAAGGTGTGAAGGTCTCTTTTTTATCAGCTATGTTTATCTGTTATTCTTTACTGAT